TTTGATGATCCTCTATACTTGCACATCACAGAAAATCCAAATTTATGCCTTGTTTCACCTCCATTAACCGAGCTCAACTACTCGTCTTGGAGTAGGTCAATGAGGATCGCCTTGGAGGTTAAGAACAAGTTCGAGTTTGCGACTGGGAGCATTCCGAGTCCAGCAGAGAATGATCCGAAGATCGGATCATGGAGAAGATGCAATCGCATCGTGAGTTCATGGATTTTGAAGTCCATCAGCCCTAATATAGCAGAGAGCGTGATGTACTTCGATAAAGCGTCGGATATATGGAGTGCATTACAGAAGAGATACTCACAACCTGATTCACACAAAATCTCTGATATTCAGAATGAAATTTTCAGGAATGTTCAGGGAAGTATGACAATGAATGAGTATTTTACCAAGAGCAATGCTCTTTGGCAGCAGATGAATGCTCTAAGGCCCTTGTTGTTGTGTGAATGTGTGCCTAAGTGTTCCAGTACTCTAATGAGTAGAATGCAGAAGCAAAGAGAAGATGATTATGTAATCCGATTCTTAGAAGGTTTGAATGAGGAATATGAAACCATTAAGTCTGGAGTGTTGGTTATGGATCCAATTCCAGAAATGGAGAAGGTGCTCAACATGACCTTGAAAGTTAAGAGGAAGATCAAAGGTTCTATCAGTCAGAAGTGCAGTGACTTAATCCAATCCAATGCAGTTTACAATGATCAGACTCAAACTGCAAAGGAACACTCATTGTTGGCAGTAGCAGCGTCCAACAATAGAAAGAAATTCACAGGCAATGGAGGGAAAAATGTTCCAAAATATACCTTCTGTGGCATGCTTGGGCATACAATTGAAAAATGCTATAAAAAGCATGGTTATCCCCCAGGATGGGTTGCAGGATATAAGTCCAAGAATAAACAAACTCAGGATACACAGCAATCATCAAGTGCAGCTATAAACCAAGTAGGTGATATAGGCATTTCTGCTGATCAGTTTCAAAAACTTCTTTCTCTTTTGCAGAATCAAAATAAGGGGAATCAATCTTCTAGTAATGCTGTTGTGACAATCACTGGTCCAGGAATCAAACCAAGCTTCAAAAACTCTATGGAGGTTCCCAGTGAAGGTAGAACTATTTCTAATCATTCTCTTAATGTTATGCTGCATTCAGATGATTTTTGGATAGTGGACTCAGGGGCTACAGACCATATTACCTGCTCATTAGATTATTTTGATGCATATGAGAGGGTTCAGGGAATATCTGTTAAGCTACCTAATGGGGAAATTGTGAATGTGACTCACATTGGACAGATAAGGCTTAATCAAAACATTCAGTTGTCAAATGTGCTGTACATCCCGTCTTTTACCTTCAACATTATCTCTGCAAGTAAATTGACTAAGCAATCAGGTTGTAGATTGGTTTTAGAAGCTGATTTTTGTACTGTCCAGGCTCATCTTGGAACAATGGATGGTTTTGCTAGGCAGAGAGATGGATTATACATGGTCAGTGATCCTCCTGTTAAGAAGAAAGCTCATTCTCCTGTTTTGAATGAGTTCCAGTGTAATTCCTTGTCTTTAGAAATATGGCATAACAGATTGGGTCATTATCCCATCAATAAGATTTCTGTTTTGAATGGAATAAAACACACTATTTCTCATAAATGTAATGATTTGGTGTGTGATGCCTGTCACTTTGCTAAACACAGGAGATCCCCTTTTCCAACTAGTATGTCTAGGTCTGAGCATTGTTTTGATATAATCCACATGGATGTCTGGGGTCCTTTTGTTGTGGCATCCCTCAAAGGAGAACATTATTTTCTAACTATTGTAGATGACTATAGCAGGTTTACTTTGTTGCATATGATGACAAGTAAATCAGAGGTTAGGACCATATTTCAAGACTTTTACAATTATGTATGCACTCAGTTTTCAGCCAAAATTAAAACCATAAGGACTGACAATGGTACTGAATTCCTAATGAGAACTTTCCTTAATGAAAAGGCATAGTTCATCAAAGATCCTGTGTGTATACTCCCCAACAGAATGGGGTGGCAGAGAGGAAACACCAACATATACTGAATGTAGCTAGGTCCTTGAGGTTTCAGTCAGGTTTGCCTATGAATTTTTGGGGTCATTGTGTGCTGCATGCATCCTATCTCATTAGCAGGTTACCTACTGATGTTGTTAATGGGAAGACTCCCTTTGAAGTCTTAAACAACAAGACTGTGGATTATGGGCAACTCAGGACTTTTGGTTGCTTGTGTTTTGGTGCCACTTCTCTCCACAAGGCAGAAACAAGATGCAATCGAGGGCAAGAAAGTTTTTTTTTTTTGGGATATCCAGCTAATGTGAAGGGGTATATCCTATATGACCTTAGTAATCAAGTTGTTTTTGTTTCAAGAGATGTTAAATTCTATGAACAAGTCTTTCCATTCAAAGATCAGAGTTCAACAACCACACCTGAACTTACAATAACTGAAGCCCTCAATCCTTCACTTCCCTTGGTTCCTGTTTCCATTGAAGCTGAATTCAACAATGAGGCTGAATTTGAGAATTGTTATAACAGAAACAGTGAACAAGATGATATCTTGATCAATCCTGAGACTGGCCAAAATGATGACATTGCATATGATAATGGTGATGAAGCAATGGCTACCTATGATGAAACAAATATTGAACACAATGAAGAATCAGACACTGAAACACTTGATCATGCAGCCACTAATGAGATAGTTGCTGATCAGCATCAAGCACAACCTAGAAGGTCATCAAGGCCCAAAAATGCTCCCTCCAAGTTACATGATTACTACTGTCATAATTCTATCCTGAGAACTTCTGCTCATCCCATAGAGAACTATATTTCCTATGACAAGTTACCTTCTAATCATAAGTTTTGTGTTTCTTCTATTACCTTTGCACATGAGCCACAGTCATACCATGAAGCAGTACAACATGAGGCATGGAGGAAGGCCATGCAGTCTGAAATAGAGGCAAATTATGCTGTGCATCCGTATGCACCATGCATGGTGCATACGGATGCAAAAACGACGTCGTTTTAATAAAACGCGCGTCTCTCCTTAAAAATAAAAAAATCAGGTTCGATTCCCAGCAACAACATATGAACTAAAATTCCATAATCGATGAACTATAATTCCATAATCTAATCTATGAACTAAAAATTCCAGAATGAATGAACTAAAATTCCATAATCTATAAACTAAAATTTCAGAATCGATGAACTACAATTCCATAATCGATGAACTATATTTCCATAATCAATGAACTATATTTCCATAATCTATGAACTAAAATTCCAGAATGAATGAACAATATAATGTTGTTGCTGGGAATCGAACCTGAATTTTTTTTAAAGGGGAGACGCGCGTTTTTTAATAAAACGACGTCGTTTTGGCATCCGTATGCACCATGCATGGTGCATACAGATGCACAGCATAACGATTGGAAATAGAGGCCTTAATTCAGAATGACACATGGACTCTTACGAAACTGCCCACTGGAAAATCACAAATTGGCTGTAGGTGGGTTTACAAGGTGAAACACAAATCAGATGGTTCAATAGAGAGATATAAGGCAAGATTGGTTGCAAAAGGATACACTCAACAGTTAGGTGTGGATTATATTGACACTTTCTCTCCTGTAGCTAGGATGACTACCATCAAGACATTTCTAGCTTTGGTAGTGGTCAAGGGTTGGGACATTCTACAACTTGATATCAATAATGCTTTCTTGCATGGTGATCTTGATGAGGAAGTCTATATGGTGCTACCTCCAGGCTTTGAGAGTGACACACCTGATCAAGTCTGCAAACTAAAAAGGTCCTTATATGGTTTGAAATAGGCTAGTAGGCAATGGAATGCCAAGCTAACAAAGGCTTTACTAGTTGATGGTTTCCAGCAGTCCTCAGCTGATCCTTCTTTATTTACCAAATCTATGAACAACTCTTTCATAGCTTTGCTTGTATATGTAGATGACATTCTAGTGGCAGGCACAGATTCAAGTCAAATACAAGGCCTAAAATAGATGTTGGATGATTCTTTCAAGATTAAAGATCTTGGCAAGCTGAATTACTTTCTGGGAATTGAAGCTTTTAGAGATCCTAATGGTCTTAACTTGTGTCAAAGAAAGTACACCTTTGACATTCTACAAGAAAATGGTTTTCTTAATGCTAAGCCTGCAAAGACACCATGCACTCAGAGCCACAAACCTTCAAGTATTGATGGCATCCTCCTGTACAAACCTGAAAATTTTCAGGAGATTAGTTGGTAAACTCCTATATTTGACAAACACAAGGCCTGATATTGCCCATGCTGTACAGCAGCTATCTCAGTATGTGGATAAGCCAATCGATGCACATCTAGCAGCAGCTCATAGGGTATTAAGATACCTCAAGGACTCTCCAGGAAAAGGGTTGTTTTATCCTTCTAATTCTCATATCAAACTACAAGGTTTTTCAGACTCAGATTGGGCAAACTGCACAGAAACAAGAAAATCTATAACAGGCTACTGCATTTACCTTGGTCATTCTCTTATTTCTTGGAAGACAAAAAAGCAAGCAACAGTCTCAAGGTCTTCATCTGAGGCTGAGTATAGGGCATTAGCCTCCACAGTTTGTGAAATACAATGGCTCTTATATCTCCTAACAGATTTGAATGTACAATGCAGCAGTCCTATTGCCTTGTTCTGTGACAACAATTCAGCTGTGGCAATTGGGGAGAACCATGTTTTTTCATGAAAGGACAAAGCATATAGAGATTGACTGCCATATAGTCAAGCAGAAGGTTCATCAAGGAGTTATAAAACTGATGAGCATTCCTTCTCATAAGCAGATAGCTGATGGATTCACCAAAGCTTTGCCTATTGCACTATTTGATAAATTCCATGCTAAGCTGGGCCTTCAAGATCTTCATGCTCCAGCTTACGGGGGGTGATGAAGTGATGCAAGCTGAATGATGGAGTGATACAAGTTGCAACAACACAAGCTGTACACCCTTCAATGGTTTACTTTCATTTGGCATACAGGAAGGCTATGCTGAGCATAGCAATTGTGACTACCATATGTGCTCTTTTAAGCTCCTTTTCCCCGAATTATACATCCTTGCTCGTTTTTCGCGCATTGGTTGGTACTGGCCTGGGTGGCGGGCCTGTATACTTGTGTTGGTTTCTTGAATTTGTACCTCCAAAAAACCGCGGCTTCTGGATGGTTATCTTTTCAACTTTCTGGACAGTTGGGACAATTCTTGAGGCTATTTTGGCATGGGTATGTGCACCGGATAGCCAGTATTTACATACATCTTGTGCTTAATGCAATCTGAGCAATCTGCCTGAGGTTTTTTTTGGTGCTTGATAACTTCTGATTCACATTGAACTTATAAGTGTTTCCTGTCTCCAACCCATGTGTGATAAAGCTTATACAGCTGCCTCTCTTTGAAACTCAGCTAAGATGAGTGCTCTACATCCTTCATGAACCATCAGGCTTTTTCAGTTTCTAAGTTATTTGGTAACTCTCTTCTGGTTAATGCTGTATTGTAATCTAGGCTTTATTTCTTGTCCCTATTTCATTTTTAGTTCTTAAGTAGTGAAGTATGCATGTGGGATAACCCCGTGACTCCATATCTATTACTGTACATGCATATCCTGGTGAATAAAGCTTATGCACATGCTTTAATATTTGTTGTAGGTTGTTATGACAGGATTGGGTTGGAGGTGGTTGCTTGTACTGTCATCCTTACCATCTTTTGCAGTAGTTGCCTTTTATGGGTTGTCGGTAGAATCTCCTAGGTATTTATGTACCATAGGTAGGATAAAAGGTGCTCATAGCATTTTACAAAAGATAGCTGAAGTGAATCAGACAAAACTTCCGGTTGGAATGCTTGTTTGTGAGCAAATGACTGTGGTCAATCAAGAAGCATTATTACCCAAGCAAAACAACAGCTATGCTAGATATAAAGCCGGATTTTCATCTCTGTTTTCAATTTGTTCATCCAGTTTGATAGGAACTACCCTTGTCATATGGGTGCAATATTTTGGGAATGCATTTCTATATTATGGGGTTGTTCTGATGACCTCAGAGCTTAGCAGCGACCAAACTAGCTGCATCTCAACTATTTCAGACTCAAATGACGGGTCTAGCCTCTATAGAGATGTCTTTTTCACCAGTCTAGCAGGTATGCTGGGATTGTGTTTTGTTGGTTTCTGTTTGAATACCTCATGCCATCTAACCTTTCTCGTGTTTCAGTTGCAGTTAATTGCAAAGCAGTGTTGGCCACTTTCAGTTTCTTTTTTCTTGTTTATTTTTTAATGAAAAGTTTTTGTATGCAGAGGTTCCTGGTCTTATTTTAGCAGCAGTCCTTGTGGACAAAATAGGTCGAAAATTCTCAATGATGTTTATGTATGCATTGGGCTTCCTATTTCTTTTACCACTTGTTTTACATCAGGATGAAGCTTTAACTACTCTCTTATTATCTGGAGCTCGCATGTGTTTTCTTGGAACATTCACAGTTACTGTTATATTTTGTCCTGAGGTAACAACGATTTTATTTTATTTTTGGATAGTAATGCGTTTTTTTTTTCTGATATGAAAAGTTAAGTTGGCGTCTGATTCCTAATAAATTGGGAGGAAAGTGAGATACTTGAACTCATATTTGGTTGCGGCCGCTACATTAGCATAGAGTACCAATCCGAGTGCATGTAACCATACTCATGCTACATTTTCACTGGCTTTAGACAAATATCAATAAACAGTGTTTATTTTGTTTTGTTGTCTACTGCAGATATATCCTACCTCCGTCAGGACAACTGGTGCTGGAGTTGCCAACTCCGTTGGACGAATTGCGGGCATGATCTGTCCTATTGTTGCCGTTCAATTTATTTAGGGGTGTGAAATAATGGCTGCCATAATTTTATTTGAGGTTATAGCAGTTGTTTCAGGACTTAGTGTTCTGCTTTTCCCCAAGCGCCAGCAACTTAGTGATGCGGTGGTTGCTTCATGAACATTTGTTTCCGACTATTGAAACGAAAAACTACTACGTGCTACGCTTATCAGTATTCTTAATAAAAAATTTATTCGCATATTGCTGCCTGCCTGTTTTCCATACGCATATTTGTTTTTCAAATTCTGCCATTCTGGACCTTTTCAGAATCAGAATAAGGGAAAGAGAAAGAAAGATCACTGTTTATGATCAAAATAAATAGAGGGCACTAGAAAAAAGATCACTGTTTTGGAATCAAAATTTTTCCTGCAGTCAGAGTGGGCTTTGTCACAAGTTGCCAGTAAGCCATTTATGATAACTAACTAATTCTCAGCATAGGAAGAAAAACTTCAGTTGATCTTAGGCTTTTGTCTTCTTGGCCTCAAAACAAACCACAGAATGGAGACAACGACCAGAAAGGCAGGTATGGTTGTCATGTCAAACTCAACATCAACTTTCCGGTTCCTTGTGCAATGAATTGGATGGAGACGGGCAAGAGTGGCATTTACATATTCAGCAAACCTGCAAAATGCAAGCACTTTCTTAATGAACAAAGCAAGAGAACAGAATGTATATGTGGAATTTCCAGTGATTATGAATTGATCTATAAAGTACAAGGCTGGGGGAGGACAGACTACATATTTACATCATATAGCTCTATAGCTTCAAATTCATTCATGTTCAGGGACCAAAAAACACTGAAAATTTTATTGAATACTGGTCTTCACAAAAATTGGTCACATATCAGTAAATACAAGCAGAGAGAAGCTAACCCTTTTGATGCATCCTCTAGGGTGTGCACAAGTGCCAATGCATCTGTATATCGAAGTTCCCCTGAAACACTTGAAATCTGAAAAGAGACTCAAATCATGAGTATAACCATGAGCAAGAGAGAGAGATCCATACTGTGTATCAAATACCTGCAAACATGAAAGGCCATGAAACATGATAATATTAATCAGAAGAAAATGGCATTTTACCCAAAAGAGTTTTCACATAACAGATAGGGATGGCAATGGAGCGGGGCGGGGCCCCCCGCAATCCCACACCACTCCCCATACCCGCACCTGCACCCGCGCGGGTAATGAAATTCCTTCCCATACCCGCCCCCGTGGGGATTTTGCGGGTGCGGGGAATACCCACGGCAATTTTGCATATAACCTTAGTCTCATAAATAATATGAAACTTACACCTAATAAAATTTTGAGTAAATACCTAAAATGGTCCCCCGACTATAGCTAAATTCATAAATTGGTCCTAGACTTTTGATTTCAACCAATTAAGTCCTTGACTTTGTAATTTTGGCCCAATTTAGTCCTTTGTTACTTACGACGTCAAATGGCTGTTAAACCCAAGGTCAAAGTAGTAATTTCATATCCTCCCGCCTTTGCACTTCACCACATACGCTAATTAAGTAAGCCCGGACGGGCCTCCATTTCCCTAGATCTATGACCATCACTCCGAGGTGGGTTGGGAAGGCTTCGAGTTTGCTCATCAATGATCGAATTGTTGATCGGAGGTCTTCACGCAGTCCCTCCGAGAACCATATTCAATTTATGTATGGCAGAATGTGGTGTCGCGCTCAAGTGCAGAATCGGAATACCGGGCTATGGCTCATGTGGCAAGCGAAATAGTCTGGGTGCGTAACATTTTAAAAGAAGTGGGTGTTGAAGTGAAGTTACCGATAGATTTGTGGTGTGATAATTGTGTTGGCATACACATCGCAAATAATCCAGTCTTTCACGAGCGGACGAAGTATATTGAAGTTGACTGCCACTTTATACGGGAAAAAGTGGAGCAAGGACTAATATCACTTACACACGTTCGGAGTGGTGATCAGCTGGCTGACAAATTCAAGAAAGGATTGTGTAAGAATCGGGTTTCATATATATGTAACAAGTTGGGCATGTTTGATATCTATGCTCCAACTTGAGGGAGAGTGTTAGAAGGTTGTTAGAGGAGTTCTCCTAGCTAGTCATTTGAAATTTGAAATAAGTGGTTGGGGGTTTCCTATTAGCTTGTATATAAGTGTAGGTTTCCCTGTACTCATTCATTCATGTATTTCTCTATCTCAATATACACTTCACTATTTAGAGTTCAACAGACACCAACTCTACCATGCCTATATTCCTCCACTTAGCTAAAGGACCACCAAGCTACATGGACACCAACTCTACCATGCCTATATTCCCTTCATTCCACTAGCTTCACTTCAGGCCTTAGAACTCTACATATCAATTCTTTAAATCCCTTCCACCAATTTGCATTCTAAATCCAGACCAGCAGCATTTCTCCACCTCTAAGGCTTCAAAATACTGCTATCTCACAATTCCTCCAAACCCATCCTTCACTTCACAAGCTGCCATTTCCCTATCAGAGACTCCTACCAAACCATAATTTCAGATCTGCAGATCAAGCCAAACTCAGTGGTGCATATATCCTTCTTAATTTTGCAGCTCAACCCCTTAACGGAGATTTCTGCTGCATCATCAAGACCTCAAAGGTTGATTCTTCTCCAATTCCACTTTAGAGACATGAAGTGTCATCTCCCATAATAGGATCCACTTCATAGACTTTATGTTTATATTCCAAAGACTCAGTAGGCCAGACTTTCAGCTCTATTTCAAAAGATCAAGTGCCTCACACTATTGTCCATCTATTTAGATGGAACTCCTTTTGCCTCCATTTCAGAGATACATTAAGGCATCATTTTTCAGGTAGAAATCAGCCTCATGACAGCAACAATCTCTACTCTAAGAGTATTGATTGTGTCTGCAACAATTATATTCCCACTTTCATGTTAAAACCAAATCCAAGCAACATAACAAAAAAAGCAACTCAAAGATCTCATCTGCATAAAATCAGACTCCATCATGACAAGACTATTTTTTTTTTTGCATTTTGAGTATGACAATAATATCCTTTAAAATGATTTTAGTTTCTAATGCATTACACCCAAATACAAGTTCCTTACTCCTCTCCATCTATCCATCTGTGGTCACAGCCGCAGCAAATGAAGGTAATCCTGAACTCTCCATCTCGCATGGGGTCTGCACATGAATTAAAACTATTAGAACCAAGGGGGAAGCAAGCAGGAGATTTAAAAGAAAGGTGGTAATGCAATTACCGTAAAGTAGCAAGCTCGATCCCTAGGACATTGGGAACACCTGACTGTTTTTATGGGTAGTCCTTCCAAAAAATAGTCAACGACGACATCGCCAGGAGGAGCCACGACGACATCGCCAGGAAGAGCCACATCCACATCGCCAGGAGGAGCCACATCCACACCCCCCTCAGCAACCACAACGCAACCCACACCACTCCCCATACCCGCACCCGCACCTGCGCGGGTAATGAAATTCCTTCCCATACCTGCCCCCGTGGGGATTTTGCGGGTGCGGGGAATACCCACGGGAATTTTGCATATAACCTTAGTCTCATAAATAGTATGAAACTTACACCTAATAAAATTTTGAGTAAATACCTAAAATGGTCCCCCGATTATAGCTAAATTCATAAATTGGTCCTAGACTTTTGATTTCAACCAATTAAGTCCTTGACTTTGTAATTTTGGCCCAATTTAGTCCTGTGTTACTTACGACGTCAAATGGCTGTTAAACCCAAGGTCAAAGTAGTAATTTCATATCCTCCCACCTTTGCACTTCACCACATACGCTAATTAAGTAAGCCCGGAAGGCCTCCATTTCCCTAGATCTATGACCATCACTCCGAGGTGGATTGGGAAGGCTTCGAGGGTTTGGCTGGTGTTGGGAAGGCTTCGAGTTTGCTCATCAATGATCGGATTGTTGATCAGAGGTCTTCACGCAGTCCCTCCGAGAATCTGATCGCCCCATCGTCAATGGTGTCGTTGCCGCTGTCCCAGGCGATGCATGGAGGTTCTGAAGGTTTGTATGGGGTTAGAGATGTGTGGATACCACTCGTCGCTACTGCGATTGTTGATCGGGGACATCCAGAATTTCTGGGAGTTAATGCCCAATCGGTCACCGCACGGCGAGCAGAGGAGGTGAGCAAAGGGGGGGACAGGTGGCGGTGGTCTCAGAGTGGCTCAAGACGTTGATCCATCTGTTGTGAACCCAGCTTGCCATACCCCCAATGTCTCTCTTGTTCCGGCCACTGTTGAGGCTATCCATGGTGGAGAGTCGAGGCCTTTGGTGGCTGTGAGTGAGGACGATGTTCGTGGTCTTGCTGGGCAGTTTCAACCGTCGTCAGTTGGCGGTGATCTGGTGAATGTGACTGGGTCTTCACCTGCTTTGAGGGGGGCAGAGCTTGCAATCGAGGTATTTCTGCTAATGTTGGTGGTGCATTAAATGACCCTAATGGTAGTAGCATTAGCCATGTTTCAAATAATGTCCAGAATGCTAACAATAATCCTAGTGTCTCTAAATAATGGCTTTAATTCGGCAACTTCTGTGCATGCAAGGAGTGGTGGGGCACCATCAGGTGATGCTTCCCATTCGGCTGGCACCTCATTTGTGCCAAATAATAATCCTCCATTTGGTAATCGCACAAGAGATAGGCAGCACCCTTCTATGACTAATCCAGGTATGGACTCTAGACCTTTTGCTCATTTATTTCATGGCTCAAATTTATTTTGTCAGAATGCGAATGCAAGCCCCATCCCGGTGCCTACAATAGCTGAATGGAAAGAACACAGTCTTGGGACACCTAGAATGCAGCAGAATTGAATGAACGGCGGCGATTGAGCCGCAGAGGTAGTCCGCATCAAGATTGATCGCAATGTGAACGAGAGAGGGAGAGAGGGATCACAGTCGCCGCTTTCCCCTAATCGGAACTACACTTGCCGGCATTGCAAAACAGGGGAGCTTTGCGGAAGGAGAAGGGCAAGAACCATATGAAATTACAACTCTGTCCTTGGGTTTCACGGCAACTAAACGGTGACACTAAATAGGACTAAATTGAGTTGAAATTACAAAGTCAAGGACTTAATTGGTTAAAATCAAAAGTCAATGATCAATTTGTGAATTTAACTATAGTCGAATGACCATTTTGGGTATTTACTCTAAAAATTTTATTACTACAATTTATATAATATTAATGCATCAAAGTCTTCACCAAATAACTACCAACTTGAATATTACATTTGCTTCCAACTTCAACATTAGTGTATAAAATCTTAGCCACTAGCACTAAAAAATAATTAGAAGCTGTAATATTAGTGAGTTGGGACCTTCCCTTACTACCCAAAAATCTAACAGATTAAATAAATAACATAATACTTTGTTATTGACTTAAATATGATAGCAGGTTAACTGTTTATGTGGCAGTTGAGTTTGCATTTTTAATAATTTTTAAATAATTTTTAATAAATTTTTAAAAAAAAAAAAAAAAAAAAAAAACGACGGGGTTTATTTTTTCAATTTTTTATTTAATTTTTTTCAATTTTTTTAAATTTATTATTAAAATTTAATTTATTATTAAAATTTATTAATAATTATTTTAAATTATTTAAAATGCAAACTCAGCTGCCACGTAAGCATGTAACCTGCTAAAATTGATGGTAACATACTATCCGGTGAAATTGCATACATTTGGAGTGTTCAGTGGTCTAATTGCACGTTTTCGTTCAGTGGCCTAATTGCATTTTCAGGTTACGTCCAGTGGCCAATTTGAACCTTATTCCAAAATAAAATAAATGCAATTTTTTTCAAATAACCAATACACTATTACAAGCAAATAAGATAATTCATTTTCATCTTCATGAGATGTTATTTTCATCAACTTCTTCATATGAACAGATCAAACACCTATCATGCCACTATCAGGGGACAAAAACAAGCATTCACATAATGAAATTCATTGACAGTTCCATCCAGATCCAATGGTCTGCTCTGATTATCCTAGTGGTGCTACAGTGATTCTCTGACCGTACACAAGCACAATGATTGAGCGGCAGTTAGAAGGCTCGGATGGAAGAAAGTTGAGTGGCGAAAGGGCTTGGAGAGAAAGAAATTTGAGAGAGAGAAGTGACTAAATCAGATTAAGATGGATAGGAGGGTTATATAGGTGTAAGAAAAGATGGAACAAAGAAAAAACATTTTACATGGCTTTTGAAGCATAAAAACAAGTTTCAACTTTCAAGGAAAACAATTTATGTGGGCTTCAATTCAGTAAACATCATAAATACTGAATACATGACCCCCATTGGATTACATTTTAATCAAACATAAAGAAATTTGATAGGGAAAAAAAAAAAAAAAAAGAGTAAACCAGAAAGAAGCAGCACAGGTTTCATGAAGCTTGAAGTACACAATCTATAAGGTACAAGGAAAAGGGCAGAAAAGAATTCCAATTCCAATACATTAAAAAAAAAAAAAAACTGAGGTGGAGAACAGAAAGTTACCTTCACAAAGAGCAAGTTTAACCCTCCTACCCTTGCAATGTTTGAAAGCAAACAGCTCGTATATGTCAATTTCTGCAAGAAGGATATCTATGGCTTGATGATCTTTCTGCATCTGCATTTTCAAAGATGAAAATGATAGAAACATCAATATCCACATTTATCCTAAATTTCTAACCCCTGCATAAGAATTAGTATTAATAAAAATAAAATAAAATTAAAAAAAAAAAAAAAAAAAAAAAAAAAAAAAAAAGAGCAAACCATATAGGAGCTCAGAACAGTCAGTTAGTTCAAATCCTATATATTCAAGAACTGCATATGTGATCTATCAGCATAGTATGCAGGATCCCGAATTGGAAAACTATTTTCTGGCCCTGGTACTCAGTTTTTAGTCTACTAGCAATACATGCAGTGACTACAATTTCCTACCATATACCTCTACATTGAGATGAAAAGGCCAAGCCTGAACAAAATCGTCATTGTTCCGTAAGTCCTAGATGTGCCATGCAAGCCACTTACTCCCAAAAACCAATAAAGTATATTTCTTTAATCAGACATTCTTCTCTTATACCTTTATAAAATATTTAGTTATTGATAAATAACTATGTAAGAGAATAAATCAAAATGCCCTCACAGCATTTTAACAGAACAAAGCAAGTTCAGAAAATATGAGCACCAAAACTTTTCTTGAATTAAATTAATAAATGAATAAAGAAAACAGAGCAAGATTGGATCTTTCAGAACATACATCACCAAATACTGCAAACTTCTCTTGTATCGCCTCTTGCAATATATCGTCAGCCTCTTCTTCAGAAATTTCTGGTGCAATTAAATTACATATTTACATTTAAGAAGAAGAAAAAAAGAAATAGAAATGACATAAAAGAATAAGAGGCTCTGCAAAAGACTGAGGTCTACATAAAATGCATTTAATAAAAGTGCGGAAACTAGAAATGCTACAACTTTGACATAGATGTACTAATTTAGAAGTCAATCTTTTTTTTGTAACCAATTAGACCAAAGAATCACAGATTTCATGGCATTTTACTAATTCCATATATTCTTGCAGCTTTAGGAATAGGTCACAAGCCATCATGGACACCCTTTCTGAAGAAAAAGAATTTCTCAACGAAAATATTGTTCAGATTATGCAAGGTTTCAGATTAATTCATCAAGTTATTAAAATCCTTCTCCATGGAAAATAAAATAAGAAACCAAAATCTAAGAATAGGGCCACAAATATGATTTAAAAAGCAGTAAATACAACAAACTAAAAAAAGACTGCACCCTCATTTACGATATCTCTGTCTGCCAACTTTATATCACAAAAATATTACTTAAGCTGGTTAGCAAAGCCTAGATCAAATTGTCAAATGCACATGAAGTAGGAAAAAATTTTAAATCAGAAAGCATCCTTTCACTGCAGTACCTGCAACTGCACCTAAGGTTTTTTCTACACTTGGTAAGCTCAGTTCTGTGCGAACACCTTCTCCACCAACAGCAGGCCCCCATGTAAAGGGCCCCGCAGACAAGTCGATAAATGCCCATCTGAGAGCCAAATACAACAGAGTCAGGAATCGTGGTAAACATAAAGAAAGCCGTTAGGTGAGAAGCACACACAAACAACCATGGCCACAAACAGGAATAGAAATGAACCTGTGATTCCCTATCCATGTATCCGTGAGACATTCTGCATGTAAACCACTAAAATCCCCAGATTTTAACTCCTTATCAAAGAGAATCCGCAAATCTTCATTTTTCCCTTTCAAGAACTTCAGAAGATTTGCAAGTTAGAATATTTCAACAGTCTATTTTTATTGTGCTTCAAATGATAGAATAAACACAACTCTAAAACTGAAATGATTGCTAAATTAAAATGAGTTGGTTTTCTTTTAAAGAAAATAACTAGTGCTTGTTTAGCCCATCTTAGTTTGGGCCTTATATAATCCAAAAAGTAGAAGTCAGGCCAGACACTAAGAATTTAAAAGAACTTTCAAGGCTAGATAAGAGGGAAAATTCACTTTTTCAAATTTCAATAAACCCCAATATTTGAACTTCTTGAAAAAGGGTTCTTAAGAAGCTCAAGTTGAGCCAAACAAGCCTTTACTTTGAATATGCCATATGTCCATATATTTACATTCTGGAATGGTCATTTTAAAGGAACTAAAATCACTTCTAAATGAACTAAATTCTCAGTTTGCAGTTTTGCACTAAACCTAACACACCATAGTAAGACTAGAAACTTCACTCCATAAAGAATTCCCTTTTTCTCATCACTGCCAAAAGGCAAGGTGGAAGGACACAGAGTCTCCATATGCACAACCAAGTAATCAAGTATACCTGCATAACTTTGCTCTGTATGATGGTGGCTGCATCCTTCCCTTGAGATAGATTTTCAACATTGTTTAGCACATCCAGGCATCTTTTGTACCATTCTACCTGTAATTATTTCAAATTTTCAACAAGGAGAGTACACTCAAATAAACAAGTGTAAAAACTTTCTAGTTTCAGCACTTGAAAAGTTTAAATAAATATAGAAGGCATAGGTTCCAACAGTCACTTATCAATTTGGCAAGAACAAAAATTATGGACTACAATAGGTCCGATATATTAAAGATTAAAGAAGTATAGATCACAAAGTAAAAGTCAAAGTATAACCAAGCTCCAATGAAGCTAAATATATGAAAGACATTCCACTAATCCACCACACATGTTAGACATTGAAGTAGCTCACAACACAACTTCATAAGAGGAAATTCTAGGAAATAGTTCGATTGAAATTCCAGCATCAGTGTGTAATTGAATGCATCATCGAAGATCAAGAAATCCTTCAGTTAAAAAGAACCCTCAAGACAAGTGAAATAGAATCACCAATAAATAAGACATGAAATCCTGAACAAAGCAGTGCCCAAAAGAACACTAGTTCTATGCACTATTGTCAATGGCTTCACAATCATACTGCTTATACATCATTCTCAGCGTCTTCATGGAATGTACATGAAAATATATACTCAACCAATGCCTAAAATTCATGCTGCAACAGTGTACTACATGTATTAAAGTACTTTAACAAGCATAATTAAAATTTAACTTCTTTTTTTTTCAAAGTGTGTGTGTGTGTGTGTGACGGAGAGAGAGAGATTATTTATCCTATTAACACCAGCAAAAGATAAGGAAAGATCAGCCACGGCCTCCTCCAAGTATAACAAGCTAAATCTAAAACATTTCAAATTGCTTCAAGAGCCTAAACAGAAAATTAACTTACCGTATCAGTTTCTTCAGTAACAGTCCAGGAAAACTTTGCCATTGGATGCTTTTCGTATAAAGGTTTTTTTATTTTATCAAGAGCTGAAAATAAACCCAAAAAAATGGATTGAGTTGTAAATTGTAGCCCAAAAACAACGAGAGATAGAGAGAGAGAACATGAATTAACCTACCAAGAACACTTTCCGGAACACTTCCTGACTGAAGAATTTTTTACTGTAACTCCTTATTCTGTACAACATAACAAGTCAGTATAATCACTTCAAAAAGTTCTGTACAAGGGTTAAATGATCTTAAATGATCAAATTTACCACTTTGAGTGGACCTTAAATTTCTATCACAAAACTCAATAAACTATTTAGACAGGGAAGAAAACCTCCAAATCTCCCATGGATAACTCCAGACTAGAGACGATAAAGTCCCTCATGTAATGACTCAATAGTCTCATGCCGAATATAAACAGGCAGGTGGTTCGAAAAGTTAAAATCAGTGTGCTAAATGTAGGAAGGGGAATAGATGTAGTTTTTAAAAATAAAATAAAAATCTCTTACAAGATGGTTGTGCCACAAGTCGTGTATTTCCCAGCCCATCTTCTTCCTCTTTGAGATATTCTTCATCCTCTTCCTCTTCAGTTACTCTTGAAGCATGGCGACCCCTAAGAAAAGCCATTATCCAGTTGGATCAAAATGAGTGAATCCATTATGACTTTAGCTACAAATCAAACTTGTCAAGTAGACAAACACAAACATAGTCTTACAGGTTTTGTAAATAGCATGCACACAAAAAGTACAATCAGAAAAAAAAAAATGCTGTGCTTCTCAAACTAAGATAGTGGTCACCTACAAGTAAATGATGCACAACAGAATCTGTTTTGGACTTTATTGCTTTCATTTTGCCCATATTATCAAATGAAAATACACTATGTTATCACCACCAAAGACGCAGGCAATCATTTTTCTTTAAAGAACAAGTGGATAGTTACTCTACTAATAAATTAATCATTTATTAAGTCTCTAAACAAGAATTGCTGAAGAGAAGGCATATTGCTTACCTGCCCTTTGTCTTCTGGGAAGAAGACTGATCACCGCTTGCAAAATGAGAGAATATCTCAGTTTGCTGCAGGAGGTACTTCAGACGTCCCTTCCCCTTGTTGTTCTGTGACAAAAAGACCAAACTAAAGTCTCTACCCAATTAAAAACAAATACAGTGACTATGACAACAGCAGTTTCCTAATAACACACCATGTCAGCATCAATAGCTGCATTTTGCGCATCCAATATGTCCTGTATCTTCTGCTTTTTAAGCTTCTGCATATCTTTCAATCTGGCCTTTTCTCTCTTTCCAATTTCATTAGCTGCAGCATTCTCTTCCTACAAGAATTACATGAGTGAGTGAGTGAGAGAGAATGATAAATCAAAACCAACTCTCATGTTTAAGCTCACAACAACAGTAAGAGTGTCATGAGTATATCACAAGCCAACTATCATAACCTCAACAACCAAAAGCTAGTACAGTAGCGCTCAAGAGAAATTACTCATTCTCACTACCGTGAAATCAGTTTTTTTTTTCTTTCGAAATACAGAGCACACGTTCTCACTTAAAAACCACAAAACAAACTGTCATTTGATCAATTAAATGTCTCCCTACTGGTGAAAGCAGCAAAGCAAGGAGTAACAAACTAAACCCTATCACTTCAAATTCCACACAGCCCCTTTGAAAAAGACAATCAATCGCTATTCACTAAGAACACGAGTTCAAATGTACACACCTCAACCTCTTTGTCGCCAGCTGCAGTGGCCTCGTCGTTGGCGTCTTCTTCCTCCTCCTCGACGGCCTCGAGCTCCTCCTCGTCTTCCTCCTCGTTGACTTGATCGTTGGCCCGCTCGTCATCCGAGCCGTCCGACAGAGACTCCGACGACGACTTCGCTCTCGAGGGTTTCGCCATGTTCTCTACTCAGTCAATCAATCTTTTAGGGTCGTGAAATGTCAAAAGGGGAACAGTTACAAAGTGAACCGACTTAATACTAGGGAAACAAAAATATTAAAAAATCAGTTAAAATTTTTTGGGTTGAAATTCAGGCTTCCCGCCATGATGGTATTATTTCCCGCCTTTGGGCCTTGCGTTGATGATCCTATATTCCTGCCGGCTGCCATTGGGCTTCAATAGTTATGCTGTGCAACCGTGGTGCACACGATTGCAAAATGACAAAATGCGTGTCTCATATTAAAAAAAAAAAAAAAAAAATTTCGATTCCCCTCAACAGTATTATGTTGTTCATACATTGTGGATACTTAGTTCATTTATTGTGGATATTTAATTCATTCATTCTGGATATTTAGTTTATTCATTCTGGATTTTTAGTTTATTCATTCTGGATTTTTAGTTCATTTGTTCTGGATTTTAGTTATTTATTCACTGTGGATATTTAGTTCATTCATTGTGGATATATAATTCAAATTATGCACAAAAGAATGTTATTGCCTGGAATCAAATCTGAATTTTTTTTTTTAAAGTGAGACGCGCGTTTTTAGTCAAAACGACGTCGTTTTTGCAACAGCATAATTTGTGATTGGGCTTGGTTTCTTCTTCTTCGGTTTTGATGTGAAGTGAGAAATAGTAAACAAAAAAAAAAAACAAAAAAATGAAAATTAAAAAGAAACCAACTAATTTAAGTTTGTCGGGTGTTAGCTTGATAATTAAAATGTTTAAATTCTAATGCGAATAGTTGTTATACCATGGTCCTAAATGACGTATGAATTTTGTATTTTTAGTATTAGAATTATGAATTTATGTAATATAAATTGTATTTTTAAGTCAAAACACATAACAGCTGTAAAAAAAGAATTTGTGAATACAATACAGGGTCATCAAATCATAATATGTTAATATTGTGTGACTGCAGTATTTGGAATAAACTTGTGAATACAAAATAAGATAATCAATTACATATATATTAACATTGTGTGTTTGTAGTATACAGATTATAAATTTTTAAATGATAAAGTGTGAACATTTGGACCCGGGTCCACATAATAATTTGCGTGCGAATAGTCTGTTATTGGGTTTCTTCACTATTTGACCTATTTGTGGTATTTTGTCAATTATGGTCACATAATGAAATTTACCTAGTGTACATCTCTGATTAGTGCTTGCGGGTTTCTTTCGATACCCAACCAAACAAATAAGAAAAATTGCAATTCTTATATCGCGGACCATGTCCACGTAGTCAAGTGAATCATTTATACAAATGTATTTTTAGTATTTTGTATGTGTATTTGTAAATATACTACAAGTTTATTTTAAATTTCATTCATTAAAAATAAACATTTAGTACATTGAAAATAATTTATATTATGGTCTACCTTGCAAGTTTGACATTGAAGTAAACAATTTTATTTGTCAAAATATTACACTTTTGATTGTTGAGTTGTAACTTGTAAGGTAACCATGAACTCAATTATTGTGTTATAAGTGTAACCATTATTAGCATTTGAGTTATCAAAAAAGATTCACTTTTGGTCATTTCAGTTAATTGATTTGTTAAACTTTTATGTTACTCTTCAAACATTTTAGTTGATTATGACTATTACATTTTAACTTGTGGGATTCTTATTTTTGACTGAATAATAATATTTCATATCCACACCTTAGTGATTGTAAATGTAGACTACTAATTTGTATTACACTCATTTTAAAATTATATTAGTTGAATGCAAGTTATTTGTCTACATTTTTGTGTCTTATAATTGTTAAAAGACATGGAATTAGACTGTTACGGAGTAATATAAAAAAAAATTAAAAAACTGTTACGGAGTAATCTGGATAAAAAAAACAAAAAGAAACAAAAAATCAAGACTTACACATTTGTTACTAATTTCTGTCAACAAAAAATCATACCAAATAACAGTAAACTTTAACCTAATAATAAGTTAATAACTAAAAGTACAACTTAATTGATAAATGAATAATTACAAATGGCAACACATCATATAATGACTAAATTCATTATGTTTCTAAATTTTGGCCCTGTTTGGTAAAAAATTGGTCTATAGGTTAATTTTGGCTTATTTGACCACTATTAATTGTTTGATTTAGTTAAAATATCAATATAAATGTTTGGTTAATTAGCTTTTTGCAACTCCAAAAGGCTAAAATTCAAAATGCTACTCCAATCAACTTTTTCAATTAGTTTTTTGAGAAAAGAAAGTATACCAAACAGATATCAGCTAATAGCTAATTTACCAAACACTTTTCTACAATCAGCTAATGTTATCAACTATTTATACCCTCTAATTAACACAATCAGCTAACAACTAATAGCTATCAGATAACAACCATTTTACCAAACATGTAAGGCATATGAATTAACAGTGTAATTCTCTCAATATTAAATACAAATTGAATAAGCACCAGCATATAATAGGGAGCCTACATACATTTGATGAATGCTATAAGAGACTTGATGTGCAGTATGCAATGCACATTTATGATGATAAAATATGACATTTGATATTATATATTTATTGATAGTTAATGTTGTATTATTATTAGTGTGATTTTATCATTTTATTTGTGATAATGAAAATCTACAATAATTATTTGATAGTGTGTTCGAGATAAACCTTGATTTTGTATAATAACATGTAAGGCATATATAAAAAACAAATTCTATCACATTTTAAATAGTTAGAGATGAATAGATCTTGTATTTTGGGGAGGGGATTCATACTTCATTGCATTGGAAAAAGGAATAAAAATATAAAAGGACTGAAGGAGTAGTTATTTTTCTGAACACAATGGATGGCGACACCAGCTAATGGACTAATCTTGATCAGCCAACTAAGCCATTCCACGTGGGTGACCCCACTTTGCTTGTGGAGTTGTGGGTCCCTCCATGATGGTTGCAAAGAACGCCATTGATCACACCACCTTTGCGTGTAGTCCTATACCAACTATTTACTTTATAATATATATATATATATATATATATATATATATATATATATTTTGAATGTTACTAGCTCTATTACATTATAGTATCTGTTCATATATTTTTTGAACTCACAACCTTCCAAATGGAAGTCCAACCCGGATACCATTAAACCACATAGTCTTGGTATATATATATATATATATATATATATATTAAATGTCAATAGTAAATGAGATAATGCACAATTTATTATTACAATTAATTATTAATTATATCTTTTATTTCAATTAAAACACTATCGTTGTTGAATTTTATATAATTTATAGACATGTCTTTACCATTTCAATTATTATCTCAAATAAAAGCACATTTAGATGAAATAAAAGTGTTTTTTTTTTTTGTTGTTGTTGTTGTTGTTGTGAGAAGATGGAATCAAAGTTTGCAAACAAATGTTCATTTTGTTAAAGTGTATTATATTATTTGTGTACAAAATGTTAATTATTTACATATTTAGAATGAATGAAATATTGTATGTTTCTTTCAACTATGTTAAGGTTTGAGCATAATTAGTCTCTCATTGAGAATATATTATACAATGAATGAGACAAATTCGTAACTGAATAAAATAAATAAATAACTTATAGTGATTAACATTTTTTAAATATTACTCAACTACCTAAAATAGTTGATTGTATTGCTAAAATGGGAGGTTTGTTTTTGTTTGTTTTTTTTCTAAAGAAGTTGGGTTGGTTTGCATTGAGCATAAAACTTAGGGAAAGCAAAGATATTCAATTTTGGTATAATAGTTTCAAAATTATTGCATTTATTTTATAATATATATATATATATATATATATATATATATATATATAAACATTATATGTGTCGATGATATTTCTTGACCTAATTAGCAAAAGATCATACGTGATGTTTGATGTCTATTTAGCTCATGAAGTAATTACGTCGCCAATAATAAAACATTTTGAAGTTGGCAAATAACAAGTTGTACAAAATCACACACGCGTCAAACGAACTTATCTTTAAATTGAGTATGAAGTATGGCCGATTTTTAGATTTGTGTGGTCCTGTTCGCCTAAATAAATAAGGCCCTACCAAAATCAAAATCTTTAAAACTAATATCGTAATTTTTTCTAATCTATATTATTCTAATTGGATATCAACCAATGAAAAGCATATTCGGCGGGACCGTTTATCTCTAATGTAGAAACGGTCCCTCATGTCCGTTTATGCTCATACGAAAAATTTCAGTGGTGTTTTACATTGAAACGTATTCACACATATTTGAATGAATATTTAACAAATTTTGAAAGGATTATAGAAATAGTAACAATTTTATTATCTAAATATATAACAAAAAAAAAAATATCCGTGCATCGCACGCGCATTGCACGGATGTTTGGACAATTATTTGCTCGAATTCAAACAATAATAACATCAAAAAACATAATCGATACAACTCATTTCATCAATTGCATTATATAATATTCGTTGTTATAACAAATCTATTCCGTGCAACACACATGTAAAAATAGACATATCCTATATATAATAAAGTCATATGGTATTGTGAAAATTAAATGTTGATAATCAACATTTAATTTTCACAATACCATAATAATATTGTTAATTATAATAACTATAACAATAATAATAATAATTGCAATAATAATAATGATAATAATTTCCACTGACAGTTTCTAATATATATATATATATATATATATATATATATATATATATATATATATATATAGGGTCAGGTTCATGTGAGGTCATGTCTTCTCGTGCGGTCAATGCGGCATACACCATTAGGTATGCATAAATGCACCACACAGTGTTCGTAAATACACTATATGTGTGCTGTATATTTTTTTTGTATGGTGCATTTATGCATACCTAATGGTGTATGCCGCACTGACCGCACGGAAAGACCTGACCTCACAGGAACCAAAAATATATATATATATATATATATATATATATATATATATATATTATATTTATTTATATTTCAATTTCTACTGGCAAATTATTGTGTGAACGATGGTCCATATAATTATATGGATCATGAATATCAAATACATTTTTAATATATTAAAAATACATTATTTTTATATTGAAAGTACCTTACATACATATATAATATACCCTTAGTATATTTAAAATATACTTTTTATTGCAAGCAACCCCAAAGTTCATAAATTTGAAATTAATATATGGCATAGCTAGGCGGCCTAATATTTAAGATTGTTGATGTGCATATTGAGGACTACGGAGACAAAGATGCGTTATTCGTGGATTCATCGGATACTATCCAACTTAATTGACGTGAAGTAGGCCGGCTTAGTAACATTAAGATTATATTCTCGAATTATTAGTTCTCATCTTTTATTGATTACACACTTAAATCGATAGTATTTGGAAGAAAAAATCAATGTTCGAACTAAGATTGTGATTTTGGTCTTTAAAGGTCAATTGTATGTTGCTACATCTAGAGTTAGAAATCTCAAAGGTCTAAAAATTTTGATCCGTGGTGACTCTAAAATTGTAATTCAATAGTGTGCACAAGTTTTGAACCTCAAAGTTAAAATTTAATAAACACATGTTCCTACCATTTCTTCATAAAGTCTTTTAAGTTTAATTGAAAATTTTAAATTTTTATTTATAAACTAACTAGATAAAAATGAAATATTGAGTTTTTAAAATTTGAGGCTCCGTACAATAGCTCAGTTTGCACAACTCAAAATTCGGCCCTGGTAGGAAGGTAAGCAATAGTTATGCTGTGCAACCAAATGTACCATGCGCATGGTGCATACGATGCAAAACGACGTCGTTTTGACTAAAAACGCGCGTCCCACTTTAAAAAAAAAATATTCAGGTTCGATTCTCGATAATAGCATTATTGTGGATATATAGTTATGAATTTCTGGATATATAGTTATAAATTTGTGGATATATAGTTATGAATTTATGGATATTTAGTTCATTCATTGTAGATATTTACTTCATTCATTCATTGTGGATATATAGTTATGAATTTATGGATATATAGTTATGAATTTATGGATATTTAGTTCATTCATTGTGGATATTTAGTTCAATCATTGTGGATATTTAGTTCATTCATTCATTCATTGTGGATTTTTACTTAATTCATTCATTGTGGATATATAGTTATGAATTTCTGGATATATAAAAATACTATTGTCGGGAATCGAACCTGATTTTTTCGTTAAGTGGGACGCGCGTTTTTTTTAACCAAAATGGCGTCGTTTTGCAACCGTATGCACTTTGCAAGGTGCATTCGGTTGCACAACATAATTTGCGGGAAGGTAAGTAACGTAATAATTAGAGAGCCGGACAAAACATGTCAACCACAAAGTATTATAAGTAGTTAAACTTGCCACATTAACAATGAATTTAAGCCATTTTATAGGCAATTTTTCCATATTAACAACAATATCCTTTACAATTTTCTTTTTAAAAATTTTACTTTTATATTATATCTAATTTATGCGTGGTAGTTGTATTAATTATAATAATACAAAAGTGTCATAACTTGGTATTTATATATGTAATAAAGTAAACCAATTTATAATGTGGGGAAAATAATACACTTACAATTTATTTACTCCGTACATTATTTATTATTACAATAAAATATTAGTTATTGAGAGATTTGGTTTGTGAATGTAGCGGCGCCTGCTCTTTCGTCCCCACTCGTCGCCTTATCCTCTCCCATCTGGATCTACCAATGCAGTTTCCATATATAGTAGTAACATTAACTATGGTCAAATTATTTAATTCCATTTTTGGTGGTGCCGAGAGGCCTGAGAAGGGGGGTTGAGATAATAAATGGGCGTATATATAAGAGGCCAGTGTCCACTTGACAGGGATGCCACTTTTCTCTCGATAAGGAACTTTGGGTTTTGTGCAGTAATCCCATTCTTCCCCTCCAAATCCAAATCTCGTCTTCCTTCCCTTCTCCTCCAGCGCCTACCCTCCTTTCTCCGTGGAAGTGTGGTGTAGGTGCCAGCACTTTAATGCACAGAATGGAAGGATCATCAGATGATCGGCTTGGATTTGGGAAGATGGGATATGGGTAACGCCCCATTCCCCCTATTATGCTCTATAGATTGATGGGTTAATTGGGTTATCTTGTTTTAAATGTTTTAAATCGAGAAGCAAGATTGTGATCTGTGTATATATTTATGTGTTTCTGTGAATAAAGTTTGCATTTTTTTTAGCTGTTTTATTGATATTACGTCCATGGTTTAAATAATTTGCTCAATGATTTACGTTACTGTGGGTGATCTGATGAGAATTCTATGATTTGATGAGTAGATGTGTATTATCTATAGATTCAAGTTTGATCTTAGTTTGGTGAGGGACATTAATATCTTTTATGTTGGATGTGTGGTTCCCTTAGAATTTAAATATAAAATCTTAGGCCCTTTTGCCTTGAGGAATGGAGCATACTAATTGTTTTCTGATCTATGGATTTGTTAGGTGCCAACATTATAGGAGAAGGTGCAAGATTAGAGCATGTTGCTGCAATGAAGTCTATGGCTGTCGTCACTGTCATAATGAAGAAGCGGTATACTTTTTGATGCTCTGTGTTTTATTTTCTGGCTTTAGATCCATGTTTAGTTTGATGGGTATTGATTTGTTTGATTTTCTATGGGTTTGCTCCATAAGATTTCTTTAATTCTTTAGGAATGATCACCGTTGTGTGGTAATTAACTAACTTCTTTTGATTTATTGATGTTTTATGATAATTTCCGTTTGCTTGCTTCCTTCATCAGAGCATGTTGCGCAATCCTTTTGATAGGCATGAGCTGAACCGGCATGAGGTCAAGCAAGTATGTCTACCACAAGTTTTCCTGCCGTTTATCTCTGTCTTTCCTGGTTATGATCTTCTTATTAATATACCTGAATATTCTGGCTTTTCAGGTGATTTGTTCCGTTTGTGATACAGAGCAGCCAGTATGTTTCTCTTGACTTGACTTGTATATGGCTTTCTACTATGGTGTAAATTTGATTGTTTCCATGCATATGATTGTGTCTGTTGTCCAGGTGGCTCAAGTTTGCACAAACTGCGGTGTCAAAATGGGAGAATACTTTTGTAAAATTTGTAATTTCTTTGATGATGATGTAAGTGACGAGCATGCCTTGTATCTTTTTCTGTGGTGTTGTAAATAAAATGCTATAATGCAAACATTACAAATCTATATATTTAGATTTAGAAGTTTCAAATGCTTATCTATACTCACTTGCTGCAGATCGAGAAAGGGCAGTTTCATTGTGATGATTGTGGAATATGCAGGCCAGTGAAAAATATGCTTATACTGTTTATCTAGAAGATGCACTGATGTTTTAGATTTTACTGATACCAGTTCTTTAATCATTATTCCAGGGTTGGAGGTCGGGACAACTTCTTTCATTGCAAGAAATGTGGTATGTATCATAGTTTGCAATTACTGAGATTTGAGACTAATATGGTTGATCTATTAAACTATGAAGTCTTCTCATAATATTGACGGATTTCTTTGGTTGATATATTTCACTTCTTTGTTAGAAATGTTTAGAATATAGTGGGGTTTATCGAGTGTGTTTCTGCAGGCTCTTGTTATGCAATTAGTCTGCGTAACAATCACTCTTGTGTGGAGAACTCCATGCGGCATCACTGCCCCATTTGTTATGAGGTATGGTTTATAGTTTTGTCATCCATTTACAAATGAACAGTGTGTATCGTGTTCTAATTCTCCCGTGTTGAAACTGACAGTACCTCTTCGATTCCCTGAAAGACACAACAGTTATGAAATGTGGGCACACGATGCATTATGAGTGTTTTTACGAGATGATAAAGCGTGATAAGTAATGATTCTGTCTTGTAAATTATCTTCTGTTATGTATTATGAATTTGTAGGCACACCATTACGAGTGTACCCTTTGGAAAATTTCTACCTTTATTGACACTCTCACTGGTTGTGACACTCAGGTTCTGCTGCCCAATATGTTCAAAGTCAATCATCGACATGTCCAGCATTTGGAAAGAAATGGATGAAGAGGTATGTTCACCGAACTGATGCAAATTAAAACCTAGGCATTCACTATGCTAAAATTGAGACCATAATTCAAATTTTCTGCAGTCCTTTTCTGTTTGGCTTTGTTTATCAACGAGCATTTACCCTTACCTGCTGCTCATATCTTTTGCCCTTGCGCTTCTTATTGAGCATCTGGTTCAATTTTGTCGAGAATTTTACTCTGTTACTTCATTCTCTGTTTGTGCATACCTTTTCCAAATTGATCCAAGTCAAGAGTGTCAAGCTTTCTGACTTCATTCTCTATTTGTGTATTACTATTACTGTCATTATCTCAGTATCAGTGATCACTGCTTTCTCCCCCAATGGCCTATCTGAACCTGTTTTCTAATTTTGAGTTTCTAGGGAAACCCGCAGTCACTACCCGAGGGTGTGCACTCGGTAAATCCACCTTTGACTCTAGCCGGCAAAGGACCAGAACGAGTTAAATTAACCTAGGTTGCCCATAGCTGACCGGTTCAAACCAAGTAGGTCAATAGGCTGCTCCCACTAAGAATCGAATTTGTAACTTTGTTCTTACCAAGTCAACAGTTTGACCAATTTGGCTAGGGTTGCCCCCAATCTGTTTTCTAATTTGGGTAACGAGGGAAATCTACAGCCGCTAATTGAGGGTGTGCACTCGGTAAACCCCACTTTTGACCCTAACTAGCGAAAGACCACAATGAGGTAAATCAACATAGTTTTTCCATAGTCGAAGGGCTCAAACCAAGAAGGCCAATAGGTTACTCCCTCTAGGACTTGAATTTGTAGTTTTGCGGTTATCAAGAATTGGTCAGGGTTGCTCCCATCCTGTTTTTTAATTTGGGTTACTCCACTATTTTGACCTTAGCTAGCAAAGGACTTCAAGGGATTAAACCAATCTAGGTTGTCCATATCTAACTAGCTCAAACCAAGTAGGTCAATAGGCAGCTCTTGCTGTATGTCGAACTTGTAATCACTGTTGTAAAAATCGGTCTAGGCTCCCCTAGGCCGTTCTGCTTTCACTATTAGGCGCCCAAAAATCGGTCGGGCGCCTAGACGGCCGGCAGCCGGCGAAATCGGTCAAAATCGGCCTAGTCGGCCGAGACGGTCGATTTCGTCCGATGTCGTCGTCTGGTCTAGTCGTCCGTAGACTAGTTTGATACTTTGAATCTTTGGATGATTTGAGTATTTTTAATTTTTAATGTTATTTTGATTTTGATGTTATGACTTATGAATTATCATTATTTCATTTATTTGGATAGGATGTGTTATTTGATTGAATGTTAAAAACAACCTCATTAAAATTGTCAAACTACAACTCTGCCACTATTTTTTTGGCGCCCGACTAGCGCTTACTACAACCATGCTTGTAACTATGTAGTTATCAAATTAACAATCTAACGAATTTGGCTCGGGTTGCCCCCGACCTGTTATATAATTTGTTACACTTGGAAAGTGTTGTGCAATTTCATTGTTTCCATCTCATACACTTCTCTGTCAATATTTGGTGCTCTACAGATAGAACAGACTACCATGCCTGATGATTACAGAGACAGAAAGGTTTGGATTCTATGCAATGACTGCAACGACACCACAGAAGTATTGTTCCACATAATCGGGCAGAAATGTCGCCACTGTCAATCATACAATACTCGCACAATTGCTCCCCCCGTGCTCCCCAATCCCTAGCAGCAGCACTGCTCTGCTTGTTTGATCGGCTATGAATTTTGACAGCTTTGGACGCCGTTGCCATGGATGTAAACAAAACCCAGAAAGTTAAAGAAGGCTTCTTTGTTGGGATTTTAATTGAATCCCCATTGCATCACAGCAATTCATCTTGAACTTTGCAGTGATTCGTGCTGCAGAAGCGTTTGTAACATAATTTTTTTTGCCAATCATTCAAAACAAATTTCAACTCACTCCTTGTGCTAGAAAAGTGGAATGTTATGAAATAAAACTATAAAAAATAGTTGTCATTCATTTCAACGAACCATTGGAGTAACATTATTGCATTTACTGTAATTCTTCAATTTTTCGTATTCTTTATCTTTTTTTAATTTTTTAGTATCACTGACTCTGTTACAATGGAGCATCTGTTTATAGCCTACTTTCTTAATCTACTGAAGTCAATATCGCCCCACTGATATTCAAATTCATGACTTTCATTTGAAAGAGTCACTTCATGCTATTAGATCACAAGATCATTGGCTCGTATTTTCTATCTGACTTTTTATAGTTTTTTCATTTGAAAAAATAATAATTATTTTTTCATTATTCAATTAAAATATTTTACAATAGAGGGATTTTCATTTGAAAAAAAAAATTATTTTTTTCATTTTATTCAATTAAAATATTTTACAAGAGAGGGAGATAAGATACATGTTAGATAAGAGGTTTGAATTATAAAATTACATCTGACAAAATTAAATTTTATTCTTTTAATTTAAAAAATTTGTAAATTTGTTGGAAATTATGGATGAAAATATGAAATTTCCACATTCATCGCCTTACTAATCAGAGGAAGAAATGTGAATGAAGTTGCCCCAGTCTTTACTCCATTAAACTCAAGTCAAGTCTTCTAAACTCTCCAAGTCCCCAGCCCAGTTGACCGACTAGTTCGTATTCTGGCCTTCACTCCATCTAATAATAATCAAAACACCATTTCCATATTCAATATATATATTAATCCAACCTTACACTGCTTTTTACTGTAATGGATTTCATTCTTTTTACCCTTCACACCTACACCTTTGTTTTGTGGATCACATTTCTTACCGCGGCGGCGATGGGATCGCCGGCATCAAATGATTTTGAAGCGTCGTTGCTGGGCCGGTGGAATCTCCGGGCTATGAAGCTCAAAACGGTTAATGAAGAAAACCAAAACAAGACTCAAGATTCCATCTGCGTCACAGCTCTGGTTGTTGCAGTCGCATTCTTCGTCATCGTCACCTGCGGACTCCTGTTTGTGTGTCGTCACAGGTATAGATTAGCTCAATTAAAAATTCGTCCATAAGAGAGATCGAAAGTTCAAGCCCTATTAAAAAAATAATATGATTAGTACTTTATCTTTTAATTGGGTCCGTTCAATACGAATGAAGATTAGTTTGAGTATGCTACAGGCTTAAAGTACCTCTTACAGGTAAGGTATGCTTAAGACACCTCGTGGTCTGATAAAAATAATAATTTTAATTCTCAATTTGATTGTGCCAACATCCTTGTCTAGGATGTGACTAAAACATGTGACCTTTTTTTGGAATAATAATGATAATGTCATCAAACTACAAGAAATTTGTCTTAAACTAAAAAAAATAAAAATAGTTAATATATTTACACTATAATATACTTCATATATAATAGTTATAGTAAAAATTGATTTTAGCGAAGATGTGTTGTTTTTTTTTTTTTTTTTTTTAGTAATTCCAAATTTAGTGGTCATTTTACATGCTAAATTATCATATTTTAAATTTTTAGACACTTTTAGTCTTTCGTGTAGAAAAACCTTATTAAGAAAATGTAATTTTGTCTCTTCAATTTTTTTTTTTTAATCAATTTTGTCGGGCCAATTCATTAATTTTGAGCTAAGATTTACCATTTTACCTCGTGCCAGGTTTAAGAATAGAGATTTGGAGCAGGGAAGGCTCAACCTGGGACTCCTGTTTCTATGTTGTGCCAGGTTGAAGAAGACAAACGCGGAGCAGAGCCGCCATGGCGACATGTTGAAGATACTGAACTACGATGGGAAGATTGCCTACAACCACATCATCCGAGCGACACAAAACTTCGACCCCAGCTACTGCGTCGGAGCCGGCAGCTGCGGAACCGTGTACAGGGCGCAGTTACCCAACGGGAAAGTGGTGGCCATCAAGAAACTCCACGACGACGACACGAGCCAATTCAGAAACGAGGCTCGGGTGTTGTCGGAGATAAGGCACCGGAATATACTCAAACTTCTGGGGTTTTGTCTGCATGATAAGTGCATGTTCCTGGTTTATGAGTACATGGAAAGGGGGAGCCTGTTTAGTGTGCTGAGAGATGAGGATGAAGCGAAGAAACTGAAATGGAGTAGGAGGGTGAATGTGGTGAAAGGCATTTCAAGTGCTCTGGCTTACCTGCACCATGGTTGCAGCCCGCCGGTTGTTCATAGGGACATTTCCAGCAAGAACATATTGATCAACTCGGAGTTTCAGGCTTTTGTGTCTGATTTTGGCACTGCTAGGCTGCTCAACCCTAATTCTTCAAATCAAATTGTGTTGGCAGGCACTTATGGTTACATTGCACCAGGTACTTTCATTTAACCTTTTACAAGTTAGTATACTCCAAATTTGTTGATTTCATTAAAAAAAACCAGAGTTTAGGCTGCGCTAAACATTAAATTTCGGGCTTACCACTACACCAAAAGTTGTTCAACAATCTGGGACTCAAACACGTAACCTGGTTTTGATACCACTTGTAAGAGCATCCTTATTAGTTGGGATATTAGGGGAGAATGTAAGAGTGAGTAGGAAAGAGAATAATGTGAGCGGAGGAAAAAAAATTAAAACTAATTTTAAAAAAATATATATATAAAAAAGCATGTCAGATCAGAGTAATTCTTTTTCTCTATTGGTTGTCTCTCTTCCATCATTAATTCTTTTTTCTTGGGCAGAATAATATCCCAACCTTTGCAGATGCTCCCCACCCCTTCTCTCTCTTGGTTCTCTCTCTGCCACCATGGCATTGTGGCCTCAAAAGTAGTGAATTCTCCCCCATTTCTCTTATGATGTAGATGCTTTAAGGAATCAAGTGCTTACCATTGCGCCAAAAGCTATAGCTCATAGGAAAGATACAATTTTATTTCATTATATACCGCCACCACATTTTTGAGAGGCTGAATGCTAAACTTGGCTTTTTTCACTAGTCTCCGCCCAACAATCTCTTATACACAAATTGTTGGACTTACCCCATCACGGGCCTCCGCCCAACATGATCAATGCACATTCTTTATCCTATTTTTACACACAAAATTGTATTAATAAGATTGGGGCCGGTTTGGGTTTGGAATTGACTGATTGACTCCTTATGTGCAAAAGTGTATAGTGTGGTGTTTACTCTCTAAGCTATATTGACTCAATTTACCTCCTCAGAGACAGTGGGCCTAGAGAGCCAATAATTCATGGGGTCAAATGATATAATCTGGCGAAGTCAATTAACAAACTTAATTGGGTTACAAAAAAAATATATTTATAAGCATTTACAATCAAATATTATAACAAAACTCAATCGGCTATGATTTACCTCATTATGCACACCTTGAAGAGGCTTTGGACTTTTTCGTTAAAAAAAAAAAAAAACAATAGGCTCATAAGTTGCATTAGTAGAGTATTTAAATGCTTAAATTCAATTCAATCCATTATTACTCTAAAAGTATATATATATATATATATATAATGACTCAAACTACTTGAATTTGAATTCAACTTCATAGTAATCGAATCAAATCCAAATAGGATCATGAATAGTTTGACTTGCTTACCTTGAGTTTAGACTACCCGCATGGATTCTGCTTTACATAGACGTATATATACAACATGACATGTTTAGTCATTCTTGATTAAATGAGTAGACCTTAAGGTTGAAAGACCATGCATGCATTTACTAAGTTGCTTCATCATTGTATTTGTGGATGTAGAGCTAGCTTTTTCTTTGATCAACACCGAGAAATGTGATGTTTATAGCTTTGGAGTCGTGGTATTAGAAATAATGTTAGGAAAGTATCCGGGCGAACTTATTTCATCACTATTATCAAGATGTTGCGAACAAATATTGTTAAAGGATTCACTTGATCCCCGATTGCCTCCTCCTAATTCAGTGGTTGCTCCAGATGTGGTTCTTATGATGGCACTTGCATTGGCATGTTTACACCCCAACCCAAAATCTAGGCCAACAATGCAACACATTTTTGAAAAGATTTTCACCGGCAAGCTACTTTTAGAAATGCCCCTACACAATATTAGAATGAGCCAATTAATGAGTGTTGGAGTGTATTAAACAATTCCGACTCATTGGATAAGAAAAGGTAAAGAGGTAAATTCTATTTGATATCCTGAATTTATAGGTGACAGTCCACCCATTTTTAATTATCAGAACATTCATATTTGGTCTTAGTATTATTGTAGCATGACCATTTTTTGTCATTCATTAATAAAATCGTTGAAACTCACTTTGTATAAAAATGATTGAATGACTTTGTATTTAACAGTATTAAAATTGTTTTGTTGATAGAAGACTTGATCATATCACAATAATACTAGAACCAAACTGATAAAAAAAGAACTAAAAGTGAACCGCCACTTATAAATCTATAACAAAAAATGGAATTAACTCAAAGGCAAATCTAGAACAAAAAATGGAATTAACTCAAAGGTAAATGGAACAAAAAATGGAATTAACTCAAAAAATGATTGAATGCCTTTGTATTTAACAGTATTAAAATCCCAAGTTTTGTATGAGTTTGAACTCCTCACCCTCCTGCTATGATTTGGAGGATGGTGAAAGAGATAAATCATGAGATGTACCTTAACTGTCCTACAATCTATAGATCAGACATTCAATTGTTTATATGTTAATAATGCAAATCTTGTGAATTTATTTTGGATTGGTTGACCAATTGAGTTATACCTAAGACATGTCATTTGTGGGGATTGAGAAGACTATTATAAAAAATACTTGATTTTATATTTGTATTGTAATATATATATATATATATATATATATATATATATATATATATATATATTTTGTGATATAACAAAAAGTACAGAGAAAAGTCAAGACAGAAGTTTGAGGGATGAAAGGTTAATTTCATCATTGTCATATTTTCGTGTGTTATCTACTATAAACATTTAAGAATATTTATCGCTAGATAGAATTTTTAGTTACATAACTTAAAAAGGAAAATTATTGGTAAAGAAATTTGAGATTTCTAAATATCTTTTTGTATCTCATAAGTCTTAATTAAGTATTCATTGTTGCTTGTTGCTGGTAATAGGAGATTAAAGACTTTGAGTATATGCCTACAGATTTGATATGATCTGTTTTCTCCCTTACTTTCTTTTGCATTTTTAATATTATAGAAAACAAGCAATTTGTTCTAACAAGACTTGAGGATAGGCAAAAATCAAATAGATTCGATATTAAAGCAATAAATCATAAAGCTGTAAAATAGATAAAAGTAAATATACTATCTTCAAAATAAAGTATCCACAATCCTTTAATTTTGACACTTTTATTATAAGTAACATTTTATTTATTTCAAATTGACATTTAATTTTCTGTAATAACTATATATTCTGATTTTGATAATAATGGTAACTCAAAAGACTTTTGAGTTTTTTCCCAAAATGGTCTCTCGACTATCGCTTATTCTCAATTTTGCATTTCGACTTTTAATTGCACCTAATGTGGTCCCTTGACTTTTAAAAACTCCCCCAAATTGGTCTTCCGTTAGAAATTCCGTCTATTGAGTGTTAAAATGAAGGGTATTTTTGTCCGTTTACCTATTATATGCCTAATATACTCTGAAAAATAGTCGAGGGACCATTTTGGGAATAGTCGAGGGACCATTTTGAGAAAAATTCATTTATTTATTTTCATTTTTTTAAGACTATCATATTAGAATTTCTATAGATTTTTTTTCTCTTACAAATATAAATAGATTTTAAACTTTCTCTACAATTTTTTCCTTCTGTCTAAACATACAAACTTTTCCTCTATCCCTATCAAGTTTTACAATAAGTTTCGTACTTTGGTAAACAAGTTTAACTTTCAAATTTAAGTTTATTAATATTCATATATAAAATACAAACAAACTTCAAAATGACAAGAACTTGTAATATTGAAAAATGATGAGGCTTTAGGTTTAGAATTGCTTGTTTTCTGCTAATTATTTTTGCATTTGGTTTATTTTACTTGTCCTTTAACACATAAAATTGATAGCCATAGTTGTAGACTCTCTTTAGCATGATGTACTTCTTGGTAGATAGGCATTTGGAAATGGTAGTTATGATTTGTACTAACTTTGGAATGAAACTAATGGCCTTGCAAGTTCAGGTAAGCCAACTTTTCAAAAATATTTTCTAAGATTTTGTCATTGACCGAGAAGTGACGCGTACTTCTCAGTTCCAAGAAGTGCTAGAAGCATAGCGATTGATTGTAAAAATAATAATTTTATTTACAAAGGCATACTGACCGAGAAATGAAGCGTACATTTTGGGTGTCTAAACTGATAAAAATAGTAATGTTATTTTTATTGGTAAAAATAATATTTAATGTGATACATAGTGATTGATTGTCTATTGAAGTGTGTGTGTGTGTGCGCGCGCACACGTGTGTGTGTGTATATATATATATATATATATGTGTGTGTGTGTGTGTGTGTGTGTGTGTGTGTGTGTGTGTGTGTGTGTGTGTGTGTGTGTGTGAACGTAAAAAGTATATGAGTATTATATTTTTGAAACTTACGGAACTTATTGTAAAACTTGATAGGAATAGAGGGAAGTTGGTATGTTTAGATAGAAGGAAAAAAATTGTAGAGAAAGTTTAAAATTTTGACTTTTGATTGTGAATTTTAACTATTTATATTTGTAAGAAAAAAAATGTATAGAAATTCTAATTTGATAGTCTTAAAAAAATGGAAATAAACAAAAATGAAATAAATAAATGAGTTTTTCCCAAAATGATCCTCGACTATTCCCAAAATGGTCCCTCGACTATTTTTCAGAGTATATTAGGCATATAATAGGTAAACGGACGAAAATGCCCTTCATTTTAACACTCAACAGACGAAATTTCTAACGGATGACCGATTTGGGGGAGTTTTTAAAAGTCAGGGGACCACATTGGGTGCAATTAAAAGTCGAAATGTAAAATTGAGAATGAGTGATAGTCAAGGGACTATTTTGGGAAAAAACTCAAAGAATTTATTAGCGTTACATTTACTTAATGGATAAAACATGTTACATGTGCCCTTCAATAGCAAGCTAGCAAGAATTCTGATATTCGATTCGGAGAAAAATATTTTTTTTTTTTTAATAATATATCACTAGACATGGATAAATCAATACTTAGATCACTTTTACATACGATTTTTTTAAAACCAGTTCTGTCATGTTCTATATATTTAATTATTTGTTTTAACTTTTGTTGTATTTTAAATTATAAACCATATTTTGTTGTTTTGAATTGGTAAATTGAGTTCGACCAAAAATAGTTAATAAGAATCAAACTAATAACTTTCAAGTATAATATTGGGATTGTATGCAATGTATAGAATACCTACTAACGGATCGGTTAACGAAGGGGGAGATAGTTAATAAGAGATCATTGGCCAATAGGGGTAGATTGTCCTAAAGACTTTTGTCCAAGTGTGGGCATGTGTGTGGGGACTTTCTTCATTGGTATAGTTCGATTGTTACCTTATTTCCTATTTACTCTGTCTCATAAATATCGGGTTCGATTAACAAAACTTGACTGAAGTTATTTACAATTTAATTTTTCATAATATTAAGTTTAATATTAATATGTAAAATATATATATTTAAAAACTACATTAACAGGGCGTTTGGTTGAAGAGAATTTAAATTCTCACCTAATTCCAAATGCCACAAAATTCCCTTGTTTTGTTGAAAGGAATTGCAATTCCAATTCCCCCATTTTCATGAAATTAAAATCCCATGTCCCCCCTGGGATTTTAGGAAGAAAAAAAGATAGTGATTGAGTCAAAATTACTCATTCCTTTTTTAACCTAAAATTAATGCATAACAACAATAATGGACATTTTTGACTTTAGGGTGTGTTTGGAAACCTGGAAAATGAGTTCTGGAAATCATTTTCTAAGTTTCCAGTGTTTGGATGTGCCTGGAAAATCAAGTCAACGGAAATCATTTTCCGTTGACTTTGGAAAATAGGCTTGTTTTGGAGGAAAATGACTTCCCCTTTTTTTGGGGGGAAGTCATTTTCCAACTTTTACACCAACATCACACCACCACCAACATCATCAACACCATACCACCATCACCACCACTATTGCCGCCGCCACCACCACTATACCCCCGCCACCATCACACCACCACCACAAACACCGCAACCACTACCACCATACCACCGCCACCATCGCCGCCACCGCCACCACCACACCACCGCTGCCGCCACCACCACCACCATACCACCGCCACCACCGTCGCCGCCACCACTACCACCATACCACCGCCGCCGCCATCACCACCATACCACCGCAACCACCGCCACCATACCACCGCAACCACCGTCGCCGCCGCCACCACCATACCACTACAACCACTGTCGCCGCTACCACCGCCACCACCACCATACCACCACAACCACCATCGCCGCCACCACTACCACCATACCACCGCCACCGCCATCACCACCATACCACCACCACCACCACTACACCACCGCCATCACACCGCCACCGCCGTCACCGCCACCACCACCATACCACCGCCGCCACCACCATACCACCGTCGCCGCCACCACCACCACCACCATCGCAACCACACGACCACTGCCACCACCGTCATACTACCACCACCATCACACCAACACCACTACCGTCGTTGCCGCCACCACCAGCATACTACCGCAACCACCGTCGCCGCTGCCACCATCATACCACCGCAACCACCGCCACCACCATCACACCGCCGCCGCGCCACCTCCACGACCATACCACCGCAACCACCACCGTCGCCACCACCACCATACCACCGCCACCACACCACCACCGTCATACCACCACCAATTATTATTATTATTATTATTATTATTATTATTATTATTATTATTATTATTATTGTTATTGTTATTGTTATTGTTATTGTTATTGTTATTGTTATTGTTATTGTTATTGTTATTATTATTATTATTATTATTATTATTATTATTATTATTATATAACGAATAACACCACTACCACTACACCACCACCACCACCATAATATTTTTGATATGTTATTAGTTTTTTTTTTTTTTTTTTGAAAAACATAGCTATTTTTTATTATATTTAAAATTAATATTATATTATTATATATTATTATACATGTTGTAATATTTTAAATAAAATAATTAAAATGTTTAATTATACAATTCTACTCATTTTCCAAAAAATGAACCAAACACAGAAAAACAGTTTTCCATAATGCAACCAAACACTGGAAAGGAAAATGTTTTCCAGAAAATGACTCATTTTCCAGAAAACATTTTCCAGAAGTCATTTTCCTGTTTTCCAAACGGACCCTTATACTACTTATTCCCTTTTCAATTCCCAGTAATTCTATTCCTGTAAACCAAACACTGAAATTTAAATTCCCACTTTATTCCCAGTAATTCATCTCCCATGGAATTGCAATTCCTTTCCCACGTAATTCTCCCTCTCCAACCAAACGCTCTATAAAAGTACTATTAAACACAAAAAAAATTAAATTTAAAAATTATAAGAAAATGCTAGTAGAAATAATCAAAGAAGAAATAGTTGATTTCACCAATGAATATTAAGTAAAAGATAGATATAATGGGACATGAGGAGTATATTCTAACTTATATATGCCTCATTGAGATAATGACAACACCAGTACAATTGTAATTATTTATTTGATAAAAAAATAAATGCAAATATTTTTAGTGCAATCAAGGATATAACATATCATATCGTATCAAATCTTAAAATAAAATACTACTAAGACATCATATGGGAATATGGTATTAACACTAGTTTTCTGATATTAGATTCCCTACAAAAATTTTAAAAAAAATTTAAATTTTTTTGGTTGATGAGGAAAACTCGCACCTTGTTTTATAATATTCCTTAATTCCTTTCAGCATTCCGACTTCATAAACATCAAAACCTTGTGTACTACGGATTATATTACATATATAAAACATTGGCTGTGATTCATAATTATACACCTAAATAAATTGCATATTACAATGTCAAATACCTTGTGATCAAGCGGCATAACTGTGACTCTATTAAATGGAAGGTCACATGTGAATACTATATTGTAATAAAGTCAATAATACTAAAATAAAATTACAAATTCATATAAAATTATCATGTCATTAATTTTTGTTTTAAATTTTATAATTAGTTTTAAAACTATAACGGTTAAATTGATCAAATTTCACACCCACAATTAAATCAAACAAACACATATAATACAAAATCCTCTCGAGTAATACAATATTCCAAGTTTCTAACAACGTGTTTTGATGTTTTCAAAACAAAAAACCAAAAAAAAAAAAAAAAAAAAAAAAAAAAACAACGTGTTTTGACAAGTAGAAAATTGGGCAAAAGAAAATGAAATGAAATGAGAATTTTGAAGAATGTGGTGACATAATATTATTTACTCATCATAACTTTCCATATGAGTATAACTCTATTATTGAATTAAAAAATGTATTTTGTTACAATTAAAAATTAAACTGCATATTTATTAGAGCTAATAAATAAAATCGTCTATTGATTATAACAAAACTTCTAATTTGATCCTCGGCTATCATTATTGTCTAATTAAATCTTTAACTATGAAAACTTTACGTTAGCATTACCATGAAGTCTCCATGTATTTTATGTCACCTAGTATTTGTCCCGTGCGATGCACGGAAAATATGTTATAAAAATATACCCTATATGAGGTTTATTCATATATAAAATTTTTGTTATTTAATAATTATCATATGTGAATTCCTATAAAATTATGAACATAAATATATTTACAATTAAAATAATATTTAAGGTGGGTGATTACTACAAATCTTAAACTATATTAAAAATTTAGTACATAGTATTTAATATTACAAATTTTTAAGAATTTAGTAAACTACAATAGTAATTGAATTACAATTTTAGAGTCACCACGGATCAAAATTTTTAGACCTTTGAGATTTCTAACTCTAGATGTAGCAACATACAATTGACCTTTAAAGACCAAAATCACAATCTTAGTTCGAACATTGATTTTTTCTTACAAATACTATCGAATTAAGTGTGTAATCAATAAAAGATGAGAACTAATAATTCGAGAATATAATCTTAATGTTACTAAGCCTACTTCACGTCAATTAAGTTGGAGAGTGTTGTTGGATAGTATCCGATAAATCCACGAATAACGCATCTTTGTCTCCGTAGTCCTCAATATGCACATCAACAATCTTAAATATTAGGCCGCCTAGTTATGCCATATATTAATTTCAAACTTATGAACTTTGGGGTTGCATGCAATAAAAAGTATATTTTAAATATATTAAGGGTACATTATATATGTATGTAAGGTACTTTCAATATAAAAATAATGTATTTTTAATATATTAAAAATGTATTTGATATTCATGATCCATACAATTATGTGGACCATCGTTCACACAATAATTTGTCAGTAAAAATTGAAATATAAATAAATATATATATATATATTATTATTATTGTTATTGTTATTATAATTAACAATATTATTATGGTCTTGTGAAAATTAAATGTTGATTATCACCATTTAATTTTCACAAGACCATATGGCTTTATTATATATAGGATGATATAATTTCATAATTTTTCTTACTTAAAATGGTCCTTTGATTATGTAAAAATATCCATAATAATCCTCTAAACATATATAAAAGAAGTGAAATTATCTTTTTACACTCAAATTTAACAATTTATGGATTGAATTTTGTCGGAAGACTCGTGTCGGTGATGTCTTCTTATAATTGCCTCAAATACGGACTTATGTACGCTACTATGTTTGTCGATAAAAACATTCTCAAAAGGATAACGCCCAAACCATGGTTACCGCATCATTAGAAAGATTATTAGGGAGGACAATTTGATCTTCACAATTCCAACTTTTTTTTTTTCATGTATTATGAAATTACAATTCTTATAGAAAGTGTAATTTACAAATCCTTAAATTTGAGAAATTTTAATTCCTTTCAACCAAACTCTAAAAAAAAAAAAATCACTTCATAGAATTAAGTGGAACGACATTGGGAATTCTTCTCTACCAATCATCCCATTAATGCATTTGTCTTTGATGTCTTTTTGTCAAATATCACTCCTTTTTTTTTTTTTTTTTAATGCATTAAAATGATCAAAATATTAGTGGGGAGAGGATAATTGGTTATGTATATTTTCCATTCGCATATAAAAAGCAAAATATCTGACTTGCTACAAAGCAAAATATCTCCTCTAAAACTCTTGGGTTGGATATGCCTGACATGCGAGCCAATTTATATCATGATTTATATTCGTATGATACATAATTTTATATACACAAAATATTAAAAAAAACATAACACAAGACACATTCACGTATTATATATTTACTTTTTTTTTTTTTAAATAAGATTTAGGTACATAATTTTGTGTTCATAAACACATAATTTTGTAACACAATACACAAATTCATTACATAAGACACGATTACTAATTTGTTCTAGATACAGAATTCATAAATTCACAATGCAATATGAACCCTGGTCTTTGATATAAGGATCGAACATGTTAGTGTCTGAAAATAAATGGATATTATATTATAAGGAATTATTAAAGTGTCAGTTATTAGTTTTTTCTATTATACACTGTATATGACTTATTTTATACTTTGTATATCCAAACAATTGTATGGGTATAGCCTATTGTATTTGATACTATTGACACAAGTATTAACAATATTTGATACAACTAGTTATATTTATATTATTATATAATTGTATTAAACATAACACAACGTTGAGAAAATGTTAAAAGTGTCCACACATTGGATTCATCATGTTTATCGAACTTATTTTTTGAGATTTTTGGGTCAAATATTTATTTATTTATTGAAAACATTTATTTCTGTTCTTAAATAAAGACATCCTAGATAATATGTATAATTGATAATTTGATATTTCAGTTTGTGAATCACATTGCTCTGTACCCGGTAAGTCTTGGCGTGCTCATAGCGATATTTTTTTTGGAGAGGATGTGAGCTGAGGAAAATTCGTACTAAATAATGTTAATAAGAATTAAATTTATAATTTTAAAGGACATATCTAGTTTATTTAGTTAGATTGTTAGCTTGGTAATCACGATATTATAAGTTCAACTTTTGATTGGAGCAGTCTATATTATATTCATAATTTAAGTCAGTAAAACATGTGCAACTTATACTGATTTACCTCATTTGAGAAAGATTCTCCCGCGCGACAAGTTTTAACACATAGGGTCATATGCTTTCTTCATCCCGCTTGTCCTTAGTCCATCTAGTGCCTTTCGGTTGGGATTCGTCATGCATGTAAGTTAGACTGTTCGGATTATTTTTTGTAGTTATTTGTCAACTAAAATCACAAAACAAAATTTATTTAATTACTAATAACTAATTTTTAATTTTTGTTTTTTTTAAGCTCGATTTCATGACCTTCCGTAAGAGAATTACTGCCTATCCTAAGATGGAACCCTTTATATACACCCCTGTATCATCCCTTCAGAAATCGCAACCTTCCCATCAGAGCCCAATAATGGCAAGTGGAGAGCAAAGACTGGGTCAATTAGCTCAACAAACCTCCACTCTTTCACTCCACGAATCACCATCACCGCTAGCCAATCTTCCCCAAGAAATCATCGCCGAAGTCCTAGCAAGATTGCCCGTGGAGTGCCTCCTGCGCTTCAGGTGCGTTTCCAAATCGTGGCTTGCCTTGATATCCACTCATCATTTCGTGAATACCCACCTCCATGTTTGCAAGAACAAGCACGAATCTAGCCGGAACAGGCTTTTTCTCATCGCCTCATTCTCTGGTCTGGGTAAGATCTGTTCCATTAGCTCCATAGTCCCTGAGAATTCCTCTCCCACTTTAGTTGAGCTCAGTCGTTTCTCCAAAAGCCCGTGTAGATCTCCGAGAATCCTGGGCTCCTGTAATGGATTGCTGTGTCTATCCACTGTCCATTTTAAACTGATTCTGTGGAACCCTTCCACGAGAAAATCCAGGGAATTTCCAGATTCGTTTATTCAGACGAAGTCCGGGTGTTATATTAGATATGGGTTTGGCTATGACGAACGAACTAATGATTATAAAGTTGTGAAAATGTTCAGTTTTGAGAAAAATGGCGGCAGGCATGAGAACATAGTCAAGGCTTATAGCTTACGGGCTAATTCTTGGACTATGATGTCTGGTTTTAGCAGTGCATATATTTATGGAAAGTGTGGGGTGTTTCTTAATGGAGCTATCCATTGGGAAATTCGTGACACTGATTCCTGGGATATTGTTGCCCTGGATTTGGGCACGGAGAGGTATCGAACCATGGCGCTTCCGAGAGCTGAGAATGGGAAATTCTACTGGACCTTAGGGGTTTCGCGGGGATGCCTTCTTGCCTGTTGCTTCTATTACCCAAAGAGGACTCATTTGTGGGTGATGAAGGAGTATGGAGTTGCGGAATCTTGGACTAAAGTGGTGTCTTTCACGCTGTCTGATCATCATAGGGGCTATATCACTGTGTTGCATATGTCTGAGAATGGCGAGGAGGTCTTGCTGAAGCTTGGAACCCAGCTTGCGGTTTATAATTCGAGGAATGGATCGTTTAAGCATGTCGAGTGTGTTGCCTCTCCCCGCACTATTGAGGTTCAATCAGCTACCTATGATGAGAGCCTGGCGTTGCTGGATATTGGCCATGACAGCCAAATCTAAGCAAGAAAAGAGGTAAACTCGTTTCTATGCTTCACGTGCTTATGATAAAAAATCGTGTTCTTTGTGTTTTGAATTGGTCGAGTGAACTGAACTGTATGTTTCAATTGGATGCAGAGAACTAATATGAACAAAACCGAGATTGTTAAATTGGAGTTATTCTGCTGTTCGTGATAAAGAACTCGTAGTCCCACGCTCCTAGATGCAGAAAACGAAGGTTCTATCTCAGAATCGCGGTTTTATGGCAGCAAGGAAGTGCAAGAGTAAGGGCTTCACTCGGTTTCTTGAGTGACAGCCCAACCTTACTGCAGAAAAACCAAGATTCTGCTGACCAAGAATCTCAAGTTTGTGGCCTCAAACAGGTCGAAATGTTAAGAATCTAAATCGTCATCATGTCTTGGAAGTGATAAAGAATGTGTGTTTGCTGTTACATGTTGGAAATAGTATATGAAATATGTATGTATGTAGTGTCAACTTCTGTTAGTATTCTGAGCTGTGTATATCAGATATGGAGCTGGATCAAGTTTATGTTATTGTCATTCAGTGTCCAATAATGAGCAATACAATATAGTGATCCAGCATTCACATTAGTGTTCAACAATCAGTAAAACTACGCAATTGATTATTTTGTTTTGTATTCACAAGTTCCTTTCAAATACTGTAATCGCACAATATTAACATATTAGGATTTGATGATCTTGTATTATATTTACAAATTCTCTTCTACGGCTGTTATGTGTTTTGATTTAGAAACACAATTTATATTACAGAAGTTCAGAATTCTAATACTAAAAATACACAATTGATATTCTAGAAGTTCACAATTCTAATACTAAAAATATGCAATTTATACGTTGTTTAGAACCATGGTCTACCTTGCAAAATGAGTTGTGAACTATTCAATATGTAAATTGTGTAGTTTTAGACTTGAATCCATCTTATAAGGTGGACCCGGATTCACAAAATAATTTGCCCACATCTAATCTAATCTTCTAAAAACATAATGAAGGTTATACCCTTCATTTATGTCTGTTTTTTTCGTTATGAATCTACAGTATAGAAATTATGAATATACATTATAAATTTTATGAATCTACAGTATAGAAATTATGAATCTACAATATAGAAATTATGAATGTATAACGTGTCCACCATGGTCCAGGGCATAACGCTCCGGGCTGACTTGGGCCATCTGCCACTATGACTGCCAAATTCACAAATGAGCCCAAAACTATTATCTTCAGTTGTCTAATAAAAAAACATCTGGTCCGGCCGGATTCATAAGAGTCCAAGAGTCCAAGACGGTTCAGTCTACGGATTTCTAATGACAAATCTACCCTTCTGCTTCAGTCTTACAGATTAGGGTTTTCTATAAGCCACAGCCCACAGGGTTGTGACAGAAAGAGAGTGAGAGAGAGAGAGAGAGAGAGAGTGAGTGAGTGAGTGAAGCTGAAGAGAATCTCTATAGCACCAACGCAGCTATGGGTATGTAGAAAGAAAAAATATATCGCCGCTGCATTTATGTTTTTGTTTTGTCTGAGTTTTTTGGCAGAGAATGATGGAGGAAGAAAAAATATATCGCCGCTGCATTTATGTTTTTGTTTTGTCTGAGTTTTTTGGCAGAGAATGATGGAGGAATTGTGTGGTAATGACAGGTATCTCAAGAGATTCGATGCACAAGAGGCGAGCCACTGGTGGCAAGAAGAAGGCATGGAGGAAGAAGAGAAAGTAAAACCTCAAATTTCACTTTTAATTTTTCTATTTTCTTTTGCATCGTTTTATTAGTCTTTAATTTGCTTGCTCAGTTGCTTAAAACTATAAACTTTTTCCTATGTTTTTTTTTTTTTTAATACTATTCTAGTTTTGCATTGGCACTAGAGAATGATTTGTCTGCATTCACTGAACATTATGACTGTTATTGTTAGAAATTGTGAACATTTTGTGTTCTTTCCATATTTATGTGATTATGTTCTAAGAGATTCATCTCCTTATTCTAGTCAGGGTAGAGTTTGATGGGTTCTTGATTTGTATTCTCGCTCCCCCTCTTTTTCTGTGTGGGAGGGGGTTGAAGAGTGATTGGGTTCTTCTTCTGCATAATGCTTACCTTCCTTTGGAGTATTTTGAAATCCCTATCTAATTTCTATTCTGTCAAATTGTGTAGGTATGAGCTTGGGCGTCAGCCAGCAAATACTAAACTCTCGAGCAACAAGACTGTTAGGAGAGTTCGAGTTAGGGGAGGCAATGTGAAGTGGAGAGCACTCAGGCTGGATACAGGAAACTACTCATGGGGCAGTGAAGCTGTTACCCGGAAGACACGTATTCTTGATGTGGTATATAATGCCTCAAACAATGAACTTGTGAGGACCCAAACTCTGGTGAAAAGTGCCATTGTTCAGGTGGATGCTGCTCCATTCAAACAATGGTACCTTCAGCACTATGGTGTTGATATTGGTAGGAAGAAGAAGTCGGCTGCTGCTAAGAAGGAAACGAATGAGGTATTCAATTGCATTTTCTCCTTTTACCTTGTTCCTTGACATTTGGTTGGAATGATAAAGTTGAATATGAACACGAAATGTTTCATTTGAAAGCAGTGATCAAATAGAAAAAAAAAAAATGGAAACAGATTAGAGGATTGCATTGCTTAATGCTATGTATTAATGTGATGGTGCTAGTGAGTTATATCCCACCAAACAAGGTCATTGGACATGTTTTCTGGCTATTGGAAAAACTTCAAAAACTTGATTTTGGTTTACTCTATACAATTTCGCTGATACATGGCTACATTTTTAAAGCTGTTTACACATCATCTCATTATTTGTGTCTTTGTATAATTGATGTCAGCATTTTATATTTTATAATATGATATCTGAACTTGTTTCTTCTGCCAATTTTTCATGGAAGACTTTACACATCTAATTGTGATGGGAGAAGCCTAAATTTTAACATGTTCTCAGTTGTTATTTTGACCAACACAAGCTGTGTCTACTCTAGAATCAATTTTTAGCTTATTTCTTTTGGCAGTATATTGATTGGTTTTTGGTTTTATAAATGAAGGAAGGTGAAGGCGCAACTGCACCTGAGGAAACCAAGAAGAGTAACCATGTGGTAAGGAAGATTGAAAAACGTCAGAAAGATCGCAAGCTTGATTCCCACCTTGAAGAGCAGTTTGGGTCGGGCAGATTGATGGCATGCATTGCATCACGACCAGGCCAGTGTGGCAGGGCTGATGGGTGAGTGAGGGAATGTGGTTATATTGGTTTAGTGGTACGTGATTATGTGATCTCACCTTAGCTTTCTCCACAGGTATATCTTGGAAGGAAAGGAACTGGAATTCTACATGAAGAAGATTCAGAGGAAGAAGGGAAAAGGTTCTGGTGCAACTGCCTAATCATCATCTGATCTTATAAGATCCTTTGAAGTCAATCTAGTTTTCTATTTTGTTGCTCACCTCCCTTGTGTACCAACATTGACACTTGGTTCCTTGTGCTGGATACTATGTAGTTTTGGACAAGTTTTGTATGCACTTCGTTTTATTGGTCTTCTGAACTGGTTTGTTTTCACTAGTGTTAAACATCATATATACAATTTTTTTTTTTTTTTTTGAACTAGTTAACGTGACACTTTCAAGATTTCAAATTTATAAAGTGTCAATAGTGAGTGAAGTCTTCTAATGGTAGAGTTAAAAAGTTAGAAGAGGGTTATCTTTATGTTGTTTCAAGAGAGAAGAGGTAAATAATAAGAGCTTTATTTATAACATCCAAATCATGCAGAGTAGTAATTACATACAATAGACAACATTAAAAAGAAAACCTTGCACACTGACTGGATGATAGCAAGCAAGCATAGTAGGAAAGTGAAAAATGACACCTTTACTGCTCCATCATTTTGATTAGGCCTTACTATCTATCACCATGGGAGTTGCTTCATGCTTTGCAGTCGCACCCTGTATATATATACATATTTTAACACAAAACACTGTTAGAATACATCACAGCACAACACAACAGCTGAAAACTATAAGTCAACAAACATACCGCTGGTTTAACTTGCTCCATTTTACTCATCTTTGCAAAAATGTTGCTGTAGAACTGTGCATCCTTCTTGTTGTACTCTCTGATTTTCTCTTTCAACATTCTGTACTCTACTTTTACAGCCCTGTTATCTGGATCAATTTCAAGTGCTTTCTTGATGTCCAATTCCGCTAAATCCAGATCAGCCAGTTGTATGTACGCTTGAGCCCTTCTATAAAGGGCTTTCACACTTCTACTATCAATTTCTAAGACTTTAGTGCAGAGCTTTACTGCCTCTTTATAGTCTTTCAGTTTCAGCTTGCAGGCTGCATTGTTCAGATTGCAACTTACTTTCAACACTGTAACAGCTTGTTTCTCCTCATCACTAAACGAAGAATCATACTCAATGAAATTCACAGCCTGTGTAAATTGAAGAAAAAAAAAACAGTAATGGCATGAGACTGACTAGTTTGGGCTAAAGAACATATGGCAAAACCTGAAAGATGCATCTTCAGTTCTTCACCTTTTCGTATCTTTTTGATGCTTTCTCGTATTTCCCTGCCTTAAAAAAAACATTTCCTTGCTCCTTTTTCGCTTGGGCAGCTTCTATTTTCTCCTGTGTATTCATTTCCCATGTCTCCTTGTCCTGCAATCAACAAAGTTAAGTTTAGTTATTTCACCCCTGATGTCAATGATTTTTCCCTAGGTGTGGAGTTAATGCCATGAAAACGTACTCAACCAACCTTTATAAATGACACCATCTCAACCTCATAGTACACTGTTGAATTCCCAGGAACAACAGCCAGTTCTTGTGGAGATTCAGATGAGCCAAATGCATATTCTGGTTGAATTGTTACCACTGCAATTTCTCCTTTCTTCATTGTTTTTATAGCTTTGTCAAGTCCATCAATAACTTGTTCTACATAAAGAATATGAACCAAGTCACAAATTTGTGCCAGTAAAGAAGAGCACAAAAAATTTAGCTCCTAAAAGGTGAAAGAAAAATACAAATCTTATTATTAATTTTTTTTAGGGTGATCAGGTAACCAGCATCAACATTACCTTCGTCAATAGTAAATTCAAATGGCTCCTCGTCATATCCCTTTTTCACAAAAACAGTCCCATCTTGCAGCTTTCCCATCAGTTTCACTGCAAGAAAGGAGAATACGTTTAACAAAAATGCTCATTTCGACACATTGCTAATTGCTAGTGTTTTGCTGTATGCAGTCTACCTTTCACCACTGCACAATCATTAGGTAGTTGATAGCCTTCTCCCTCCTTTATAGTCTTTTTTAAGACCTTTTTGTCATTTGTCACTTCAGAAACAGTTTTCCATGAGACCAATTCAAGATTTATTTGAAGGGAAGCATTTGGTGGGACATCACGCTCCTCAGAAGTGGCAGCAGGCCTGCCCTTCTCTCCAAATGCATCTGTAAAGCTATATAGTGAGCAACTATATATGCAGAAGTATCTTTTAGTATTTAAGTCTGTGGTGAGAGGTAAGTGACTTACATTGGGGCTTCACAGTCAATAGTGCTTTTTGACCTTTCTTCATTGTTTTAACAGCCTTTGACAGAGCAGGGCAGAAATAGCCTGCACAAAATTAGAAGAATTACTTTCTTATGCACAAGTTCCCTATAGTTAGGAAGGGACATTAATGGTTAGAAAAGATGAAAATACCATCTTCTACAGTAAATTCAACTCCATCAGCTTTTGAGACGACTGTTCCATCCTCAAGCCGGACATCATACTTGACTGCAAAGAAGATTATAATATTGGAGATAAGTAGAGAACAATATATTTAGTACCAGTAAAACAAACCCCCATGGACATTAAATGGTATACCCACCAAACACTTCATCAACATCTTTAGGCTTCTGCCAGCCCTCTCCTTCAACAATTATCTTTTTAAATATTCCACCATCTTTGCATATATCCTTCACACTCATCCAAGAGAGCAACTCCACTTCAAACTGTAGGGTGGCATTGGGAGGAATTGTTGGAGGGGACCCAGACTCCCCATAGGCCATGTCCGGGGGAATGGTGAAGAGAGCTTTCTCTCCTTTCTTCATTGTCTTGAGACCTTCATCCCATCCTTTAATGACTTGTCCTGTATACAGGCAAGATTATGTAATTTCGTACCTATTATTGAGTAACATGCATGATGCATCTATAAATGATTTGAGCTACTAGCCTCATGAAACCAAAAACAAATTCCAAAAGCTTATAACAAAGGAGTAAAAGGCTACAACCTGAATCATAATAGGGGGAGAATGTGTTGTAGTATAGAATAGCTAAACTATACTTATAATTTATGAGCTTTAAGCTACAAATAGACTGTAGACACATTCATTTTCAAGAATAAAAATCAAACTTGAAAGAGAACCTACCTTGGCCAAGCTTAAACTTGAAAGGTGTACCCCTGTCACGACTTGAATCAAACTGTGATCCATCAAGCAACGTGCCCACATAATGAACTGCAACAGAACCCAGAATCCATTAAGGCACAATTAAGCTTGTGAACAAATCAAAAGAAATAACGAACTCCTGGTTTCCAACGTACAATTACAATCAACATCCGCCTAGTGAGATTTTGTTTCTCAAATGTTACAATTAATTAAGGCTCAAAATTCAAAACACAATGACAGAAACCATCCTTATTCCTCCCAAAAAATGATCAATGATTGTTGGACAATTAAATTTGAATGAAAAGTGCGCTGACTGAATAAAATGAGTTTCGATACTTATTTCCATCAGAAACAAATTTAAATAACAAGTAGGAAGTATCATTTACAAGAACAAATGCGAATCAGTGTGGTAACAAACTAACAATAATCAATGATTGACCGATCCTATAAAATAAGCTTTGAAATGTTTACTCACAAATATAAATATTATATCAGTAACAAATTGGAATCACATGTAGGTTTACGGTTTACCTTCAACTTCATCTCCGGAGCCAGGCATTTCCCATCCTTCGCCTTCCTTGAGAAGTTTTTTCTTCAAGCCAGTGTTCCCAATCGGCACCTCCTCCCCTACCTTGAAAGTCGGTTTGTCGTCGGGAAAATCACCATTGTCCATGTCGTCGGCTATGTTGTTGCCGGACGTCGGGAATTCAAAATCGTCCTCCATGATCGCCTTTTCAACTTAGGACAGGAAGAAAATGTGATCGTAGTAGTTTCAACAATGCTGAGCAATGCAGAGACAGTTGGTGAGTCTGGGTGCATCCATATGATCATATATATATATATATATAGTTTGGAGTTGGAGTGGTGAGTGTCTAGACTGTTCTACAGGCATGGAGAGAAAATGGGAAGGAGATGAAAGCGGGAAAGGGATCTAGAGAGTTCCACGGATGATAGTCAGTTAAATTAGTTAGATTTCATGGAGTTTTTCCATGATTCTGGATTTTTACATCATTATTCAATACCTAATATTTCAAGATTTTTAAAAATTTGATATGATCAACCAATCTGAACTGGTTTATCTTTTTATTGTCATTTCTTATATCCCATTGTTCTTTACCGGCTACGATCACAAAATGAGCTTTACTCAGAGTGTAAGATCACGAAGTATTTGAGTAGTGACGGGAAATTTTACCCGTAAGGAAAACACTTTCTTTTTAATGATTTCCAAAGCAAGATTACCAAGCAAAATTAATATGAACAGCTACATCATAGAATTGACCAGTGGAGGAAGTCGGTTGCAGAATGAGTGCAAAAACTGATAAAAGGCAATTTTTCTAAGGAGATTTACCTGTTTAAATAGTATAATATATTAATGAGAAACACTGCACAACAATGTGTAGGAAGTTTTACCAATTTAGCTAACACAGTAGAGTACAGGCTACAAAATTGTGAACACCAAGAAAACAGATTTAAAATTACATGGTGTGGTCCCTCTGCAGCATTACCACTTTGCCACGCTCCTCAGGTTTTCTTTTGGGAGTGTGTTTTGTTGGGTCTTTTTCATGATTTACCAATTACTCAATTGCTTCTGGATCTTTGAGTTGTGTGAGGATCTACCACCTTTGTCTTTGTATGTATTCCTGGAAGTTAAATTCCTCCTTCCACCATGGGCTGCTTTAACGGCCCGTCTACGTTGCTTATTCAGGCGCTTCACCAGTTCAGGATCATCTTCATCTTCATCTTCAATCTGTTCCCCGTCCTCCAACCCATGTTCATCTGCAACTTGGTTATCATCCTCAGAATTATCTTCAGTCTCTACTTTTCTATCATTCTTCGTGCTTTTCTCATCTTCATTTTTACCATCTTCTTCCTGGTACAATAATTCAGTTATGCTTTAACACAGATATCTCCACAAGAGAAATAAGAGTGATATACTACTGAGGATCAAGTTCAACGAAAGCATTGATGAAGAGTATGAAAAACTGTTCCAATCTAATCCTTATTTAAGACTGAGATATTATTACTGCCACCCCACTAAAGTTTCAGAAGCAGGTTGAACATTTCAGATATGGATATAAAACTAAGCATGGAACTCTCCATATTCCCTGTTTATCAATAAGTTGCTCTACTAGATATAAGCCCAGTTTGGCTGAGCTTACATGCAGCTTATCTGCTATAAGCATTTTATGCTTTTTTTTTTTTTTTTTACTTAGGGGATAACATTAAGAAAAGAGATTATGGATTTCCACGAGTTGATCATGCTTCCAAGGTTGAGTATAAGAAAGAGCTACAGAGGCTCTTCAATCTCCTTGAAAAAGTTTATTAGTCATTCTATAATATTGTCAAATGCTAAGGCATATTCCCAAATTCCAGAGTGAAAATAATTAGACAAAAATATCATCATAAACAAGTGCTCAGCCATAATCCCCAAGGAATTGAAAAATTACCTTCTCATCTAGTTGCAAGGATTCAAAATGCTTTACTTCTGTTTCATCCATGTTATCATTTCCTTCATCATCTGTAACTGAGTCCTCGATTTCAACTTCAATAAACTGTAGAACATAAAGAAATAAGCCAAAAATCAAACACAGAATCATTAACAGAACACCTTTGAGTATCTATCAAAAACTAAATAGTGAAAATATGAGCAGCATTATATCTTACATTAAGACATGTTTCAATGAATTTTACCATTTAATTTAAATCCTGCCATGCCCATGTTTACAACAGTTGTTTCATAACACCCTTATATGTTATCACTTCGCTCCATACAAGTGCTCAAACAGGTCACAGTAGAAACAGGCATCATAAATAGGGAATTCATCCTAGCCCATTCTTAGTAAAATGCATTAATTTGTTCCAAAATTTTTGAAAAGCACTGTTATTTATCATCACTTGAGAGAAATTGTTGAAAGTAAACAACTAAACCTTATTTCTTCCAGACTACTTCAGTTACGAAAGAGACTAGTAGGTAATTCTGAAAGAAAGATGATGACAGGCGCCCATTTGAAGGTTACATCCAACAAAGTTCCCAATCCCTTTTTATTCTTGAAGAGTGAAAAATACAAGCACTCTGCTAACTAGTTGTGCCAATTACATTAAATAAAAAGTTCACAGTTTGGTCATACCTTCTCAATATCGTCTTGATCCTTCCTAGTAAAACCACTAGCAGCAAGTTCCTTGTCTAGGAAACCAGAATTTTTCTTTATGTCAGAAAATTCAGGTCGTACACCATCTTCCAACTCTGCCTCTGAATCATCAGAATCATCTGGGTTTTCTTCAGAAGACATGTTGAACCTAAGAGATATCACCATGAAGAAAAGAGGGTGGAGAATACAATAAGTGGTTATATCAAAGAAAGAAATAAAACGCATTTGACATTGTGCAGAACTTTCAACACAAAAAATATACAATTCAAATATGAATACTTGCCAAATTGACTCAGTTATTGTAGTCAGAGACTGATTGCATTTTGAATATAATCAAGAGTTATTAAGCCACAAACCTCTTCCTGAAGAACTTAAATATGCATTCAACATCACGGTCAAAGTACCTGAAAATTGACAGGATCTTAAGAGAAGGAACAAAATTTGAATTGAAAGAAAAGATATACTTCAACAATTAGCATAGAAAACGACTCAGAACACAATAAGAGCAAGAAATAATACATTTGTGCATTACGATGGGAGACTGAAACCATTTGTGGGAAATCAATCATTGTCACCTTCTCATCATCATTGATCTATGATTTCAGAAGATACAAAAATCAGAAACAACAACGTCAAGTCCTTAGATAATAATTATGTACTGGGAACATATTCCACCATAAAACAGTTAAATATAGATAATGACAGCTTTAGATGAGAACGAAAAACATCAAACCATCACAAATATCTCAGCATACCATTATGTTAAACTCATTGAAATCACAGTGAATAAGCCCGTGTTCAGCCAAACGAACAACAATACCAAGGATGGTTTCAAAAACTGTGTCTGGGTTCTGCAATTGCTTCACCTGCACACTGTAGCAAATATTACAAATTACTAAGTTGCCATTCAGAATGGAAGATGAGGAGATTAAAACGAAAAGGTGCACTAAGTTCATGGGGTGTAGTTCATAAAGGAAATCAAGTGCCTGTGCAGCAGATATCATTAACCTCCAAGTCGGAGCTTAAGGTTCCAAATATATCATAAGAGTGATATCTACCATAAACACAAGCAGCTACTCACAATGACAGTTTTTTGGACATTAAGCCATTTAAGGGGAGGGGGGAATTAAACTTGTCAGTTTTCATCAACATCAAAATTAATTTCAAAGAAAAATAATGGCAGAAGGGTCAAATAGACCCATCTACTGTCAACAACTGTTCAATTAACACCTTAGACTAAAATAAGATATAATCAGACACATTTACTTTTAGAATTTTGTTCACAGAGCATTTTCTCCAGGATTCCTCTAGGTAACCCTTCCACAATGCTGGCACGGAATTTAAATTAAAATAATTTTGTTGACTTGGTAATTTATCATCATTGTTGACCTTTAAACCTATTCGAACTCAAAGAAAACAAAGACCCAAGTCTCTCTCTTCAAACTCCATATTCATCTTCAACCTACTCGCTCTTTCTTGCAATTGCAATGTTTATTGCAGTCATTTGCACCGCTCCACCGCCGGCAGGTATGAATCTCACCACTGTAGACCCAACCCAGCCCCACTATATCCATCACCATTCACCACAGCTTCTGCACTCGTCTTCAGCTGCAATCGGCACCAAAATGAGCAATTCTCTAGTTTCTGTCCTGAATCATCCCTCTATCTAATAATTGCAGAATGAACTGGTGTCAGGACCAGCCAATCCTAGCAAATAATTGCATGAGTATGTTTGCGGTATGCCCTTACATCATCATCATATAGTGAACCAGGTTTTATCATATACCCAGAAGAAGCTCAGAATATTTGATGTGGACAAAGAGGAAACAATTTACCCAAGCTCAAGCAATCATCAATGGAAGATTATGACGAGGAGGTGCCGACATGGCCACCCAGGTCATACAGTTGCAGCTTCTTTAAAAGAGAGTTCAGGTCAACACAAGCATTGGTCATACAGTTTTGGCGTCTTCATACAAATTACAGACTCCGCTAATTTTCATTTACCATCATTGAATAGGTTTAAAGGTCAACAATGAAACCAAGTTAGCAAAGTTATTTTTATTTAAATTCCATGTCTGCATTGTGGAAGGGCTATCTTTGAGAAACCAGGAGAAAATGCCAAGTGAACACAATTTTAAAAGTAAATGTGTATGATTAAATCTTATTTTAGTTCAAGGTGTTAATTGAACAATCATTTATAGTAGATGTACCTATTTGACCATTCTGCCAAAAATAATTCTACATGGCTGTAGCCTTTAAACATATAAATGATATCTCAGTTTGCATTTAACTTTGAATGAAAGTAAAGCCTAGTCAATGCAAGTGCATGCCAAGGATGTAGTTAAGGAGCACTTTATCCATGATATTGTGATCAAACAACCTAGCAAATTTAAATCATTGTTCCAATGTTCGAGTACAAAATGTATCCAAGCATATATAAACCCCTTCTAGTAAGCTTATCTTATAACTTTGAAGGGATAACTACATGATAGGAAAGACTTACAGCGGGTAGCCTTGAATGAGTGACATAATCACACAATGCCTGTTGCAATCAACAGCATTTGGAACAGGAAATCCATGCTCTTCCAAAGCCTGTTCAAACCAAATTAGATCACATCATGACAAGTCAACAATAAAAGATGGATCTGCCAAGGAGCAAATGCAAGCAAAGGGAGGACTCTAACCTTCATAAAAGCAAATTCCTTGAGAGCAGCAAGTCGTGATAAGTAGAGCCAATTATAACTTCTACGATGCTTCAAATAGTCACGCTTGGATTTGACTGCCCTAAACGAAACCCTACCAAGCCTGTGCAGTTTCATCGCAAGAACAGTACCATCCTCCGTGGCCACCTCAAAAATATCTTTACAGAGGAAGATAAAATAAAATGATTAAAAAGTAAAAGATGATGGTCATGTTACAGAAAGAGCTTGCTCAACTAATTAACAAAATACTCCCCAACTGAGAAGAAATAAGAGATACCTGACTCTTTCCCAACACCAATTTGGCGACCCACAGCAGTAAAAACTCCACGGTTAACCAAGGTCTTTATAGCAAGAAAATCATAGCCAAGGTAGGTAAGTCGAAAACCATCATCTACATCAAAAGGAAGAACCAAAATAAAATCAGCTGTTCTTCGTCATTGGACTATGGAAGTGAATTTATTAACAAAAGAACAACAGAAAACATTTTCAGCTAGAAGGACAAGCAAAAACTCACATTTGGAAGCGTCATGGTGTAACAACTTGTGCTTAAGCAAATTCTTCAACACCTTATAAGTTCCTCCATGCCTAAACACGCAAAACAGTAATATAATCAAGAAGGTAGGAAATATACACAATCTGATATTGATTACACGGAGTCTAAACTTTTGAGCAACGGAGGCAATTCTACATTTCTACTGTTTTAGTGCTCATGTAATAATACATGTAAACCACACAACAATAAGAAAGGTGTAGAGTACACACTTGAGGGAAGCTATGCGATCAATCAACTCCGTAGGAACAATCTCGTGCTACAGGTTGAGAGAAAACAAAAACAAAAACAATCATCGGCAAGAATTACGCAGTAGGTAGGGAATTGATTTAGAATAAGTGAATAAAATTAAGAAACAAGAGATTTGATGAAACTGTAAAGGAGTATGTTACAGACGTTGCGCATTCCCATCTCGACGGCGGTGAGCACCCTGAAATCATCCTTTGATAGGTATCTGAGCGCGTTCACGTCCAACTTCATCCTCTTCTGATCTTTCTATTTCCGTTTCCTTTCGTGTAATTCTGATTGAAACTTTCCGGCACCGGCGGCGGTTGGATGCGAAGCTCAATAGGTGCACCTATGGCAGCTCCGACTAGACAACTATACAAGTCCGCGTTTTACAGAGAAGAACATAAATACTCCGTCCGTGTGTATAAGGTTTCTCTTGTCCCCAACCCCAAATATTTAGGACTAAAATCCAGTACACAATCTTGGGCCTTCATGGGCCTTACCTCTCATGAACAAATCATATTTTAAAAAGAAAGAAAATGATTATAATGTATAATATATCATTTTTTTAATGTATAAATAGGAAATTAATCTAGCTTTTTAGGGTCCCCTCCCCATTTTCCAAAAAAAAAAAAAAAAAAAAAAAATTATGCAAAAATATATTTACTTTAAATTTATGTATATTCTATTTTGATGGCTAATGGTATTTTATTCATAATCATAGCTTGTACTAATTTTTTTTAATTATAGATTTATACTTATATTATATGTGAATAATAATGCAAAAAAATACGCTTTTAGAAGTAGGGATGGTATAGAAATATATGAATATAAAAATAAATTACATTTTAAAATATTTTTTAAAAACATTAGTTGGTCTACCGCGGAGTGTGCAAGTTGAGCTTGCAAGGTATGCTTCTGTGCAAATTAACATTTTCAATAATCGTTATACTGTGCGTCAGCACTGGGTGCCCCGCTCCTCCCAAAACGACGTCGTTTTGTTAAATTGTTAAAAAAAAAAAAGTTTCATTATTTCGAATGCACATAAACTCATAACAAAATACACATAATCTAACATAATACATAATACACATAAACGCATAACACAATACACAAACTTTTTTAACTAAATACACACAATGGGTTTGGTTAACATAATACACATAAACTCTTAACTGAATACACATAAACTTATAACACAATACACATAAATTTTAACTGAATACACATAATGAGGTGTGATCTGTTCGGATGGACGGAGAGATGTCAGTATGACGTCAGCATGAAACGCTCGCGTTTTGTGCATGGGCGCACATTGCTATGTGCGGCGTAGTGCACGATATAAATTGCTCATTTTCAATCCTAACGTACATCTCGTGGATGGGTTAGAACTAAATCACGTCTCAACGCACTTCGACACCTCTACATATGTAGGCCTATTAAGCGGAACACGACAAATTATATCGTGCACCGCGGTGCATAATTGATTATGCACCGCGAATCAAAATGACGTCGTTTTGTTAAATGAAAAGAAACGTCATTCATTTTTCGTCGTTCTGCACCCTTCCGCAAAAAGTAACTCTGTTATTCAATTTTATTTTGTATATATACACTGCAGTTTCAGTTCAACACAACTACAATTTCATTTCGATATAACTACAGTTTCATTCGATATTTATAGACTCAAATATGTGAAAATGTTATTTAATTTTATTTTATATACACTATAGTTTTATTAAAACACAACTACAGGATTATTTTGATATAATTACAGCTTCATTGTACAATATACACTCAAACATGTGAAACGTTATTCAGTTTCGTTTTATATACACTGTAGTTTCATTTCACCACAACTACAGTATCATTTTGATATAACTGCAGTTTCATTTGTCGTGATGCAGTGTCGATTTAGATATACTGTACTGTCAGTTGGTGTTTAATACACCAAACATGCGTACTCCGATAACAGTAACGGCAAGCCGTTTCTTTAAGCCGATTTTGACCGCAGTACATGTGCACCACGGTCTACAATATAACAACTGGCGGAACACATAACTTTAACCATATGAACCATATGAATAAGGTGATAATAATTTCTTTCTTTACCTTCTTCTTTTCTTAAAAAGAAATAATGTATATATTGTATATTGTATTTCTATTTGGTATTAAGATATTTATGCTTAATATTTTTATATTTGAAATTTGACTTTTGGGTTCATTATATATTTTGTCATTTTTATTTTAAACACCTTGTATGTTTTATATTAAACTTACATACTAATTTATAATACATATAAATTGTATGATTATTCACATATTTTAGATCACGTATTTGATTTTAATTATACTTTTAAAACAAAAATTTATTTTATGTATTTTTATTTTTAAAATGTTTAGATTTTGGATGTATGAATATGATTCCATCAAATAAATATTGAATGGTGATTTTTCAGTAGGGTTTAAAAAATTGAGTTTAGTATATATAAAATACAATATAAAAAGAAGCTGAGTAAATAAAATTTTTAGTCTCCATTAGTCCATTACAGGACTCAAGGAGCATCATATATTAACATCACTATTAATTTTAAACGTAATAAATATATAATATGTAATTATAAAAAATTAAATGGGATTCATAACCAAAGTCTAAATAATGCAAGCATGAACACCCCAATTCAAGAAACATATAGCATCAGAAACAGAAATCCACATATCAGAGAGTTTAAACAAAGTATAAGAGTATGAGTATAACTGCTGCAGGAGAACATAATCAAAAAGATAACGTTAAACTTGTACATCAAATTGAGATGAAGAATTTTTTAAGATGGGAGAGCATGAAAGAGTACACAACACTACACGACTAAAAGGAAAAAGTCCCTCATTCCTCGGCAGCACTGGCAGCACTAAGATCCACATTAAGGTCAAGAACCTAAAACACAAAAAGAAAAAAGTAGCATATATTAAGGTCAAGAACCTAAAAGGCTAAAACACACAAAAAATTGCATATTCAGCAATTAGTCAACCACCACCCTTGGCCTTAAGGACGCATATACAACACGCGTTATTTGGATGCGCGAAAGATCATTTATTAAACGCAATAGACATAATTACCTTTCCAGTTATCAAGGTATACATGCCGAGGACATCATCCACGGTTGACTCGAAGTGAGTTGTAGAATCATAGCTCTGGAAAAGAAAAGAAATAAAGGGTAAGTCCATGTCGGATCAACTTTAATCATTTTAAAAGCGCAAGAGACTCACTGTCGAGATGAAACAGTTGTCCAGAGAGGGTTCATTCACTGGTTCGAATCTGTCATAAGTCTCAAAGAATATCTCATCCACAGGCCCTAGAAGATCAATTCCTGGCTTTAATTCACTCTCGGGGTGATCAGTTTCTGCCTCTGTAGAGACGAATGCAATGAATTTCCCCTTCGGAGCAACATTGTGAGTGTAGGAACAACAGAACAAATACCTGCAAAGCAAAAGGTTCAAGCAATCAGCTTGTTTCAGTACTAAATTGCTAGAGTCAGGTTGAACAATATCCAAATGAACACCTGCGTGATTTTGTACAACCAGAATGGTTACATTGAAATTAAATTAGCATAATACATAAATGATCCACTTAAGGGGCTTAGGGTGTAGTTTCACGGTAAGGTACACCCCTTTTAGGTAGTATATACCTAGGCTTGAATTTTAAGCCCTCCACCCCCATCAAATGTACCAAAAATAAATAAATAAACTAACTATTTAAGGAAGAAACCGCAATCACTAACGTAGCGTTTGCTTCACAAATGGAAGTAGAGTGAATAGGAATAGGATTTTAGAAAGAATGGAATAGAGAAGTAATAGAATAGGAATGTTATTCCATTGTTATGTTGGATTATGAAATTACATAGGAATAATATTCAAATGTTTGGTTGGTTAAACAATAGAAAAGAAATATATAGTCAACAGACAAAAGTACCCATATTCAAAATAATAAATAAACAGATAAATATGTATATGTATATGTATATATTCAAACCCTAAACCCTAAACCCTAAACCCTACACACACACACACACACACACACACACACACACACACATACATATATATATATATATATATATATATATATATAATTATTTATTTTTTATATATAAATAAAAATTATATTTATGTATTCTCCTTCTTTCCCATTTTATCGGCAATGTTTACTATTCATTGGTCAATCCAACTATTCTTTTTTTTTATTATTATTATTTCTTTAACATCTTATAACTTTAAAATTATAATTTGTGTTTGATAGTACTTTTGATGTAGTTTCTAAATATATAAATTTTATACACTAATACTAAATTAAATATTACAAAAAATTCAATTGTAAATAACTTCCGTCAAGCCTTGTCAATCAAATCAAATACATAAAATGGGCACACTAGTAATACTATTCAGCTAACAGAACCAAACTATATTTAAATACCGTAGTGAAGTACAATGATTTAGATAAAGAAATTTAGAAAAAGCAAAACAAAGAGATTTAGAAGTGTGCCAACTTCTTACAAAGTATGTTATGGGTCTTGTTCACAGTACAGGTCATGAAAACTTACATGTCTGATTTGCGTCCCAACTGCTTCTGAGGCAGAATAATCTGCACTGAGTGAGAATCATTGGTATTTGGAATTGGATGGCTCATTATCGCAATTGCTCTTGCAACCTTGCCTACCTTTCTAACCTGTCATATGGGCATGTCTTCGTGTTACTTTTTCATCTTTGATATATCACTTGAATTAAAAAAGAAAGAGTGTGGAACAGCAAACCCTAATACTTATACATGCTAATGGTTAAACCAGTATAATAAAGGCATGGATCTAATTATCTTGAGAAGCACTCGGTAGATTATAATTTTAGAGGTTTATGAACAAAAGTGAATCCAATAATCACAATAGATTATAATTCACTTTTGGTTTATGAATCCAAAAGTGAATCACAATAGAATAATTAAATATAAAAAGAATTATATATATATATATATATATATATATAAAGAACAACGAGTCAACGACAAACAAACAATCAAACAAACTACCTTGCCAGGCAAATAGGAAGGATCACAGACAACTTTCTTGCACTTGGCAGTTTCTCCTTCAGATGTTACGCCTGCTACCTTGCCTTCTTCATCAAACTCTACCTGGAGTCAGATCATAAGTCATGTCAGACATTACAAAATGAGACTTCCTCACCATGTGTGGAATACGATATAAAGAAAAATGTTCACCTTGCACTCAGGTTTATTCAACATATAGGTCCCTCCGTACACAGCACTAAGTCGGGCAAACGCCTAAATTGCACAAACCTCAATTATCCATCAGTGATTCAAAAGAGGGAAAAAATACAAAGTGAAGCAATTTTGTGAAAGCAGGAACAATAAATAAAAGATGGGGAAGACAAAAGGATAACATATAAAAAATTAAGAATTGTTTTTACATACATTAAATATTAAAATATAATCAAAGTACACAAACCTGAGGTAGCTCTCCCAAACCATACAAAGGATAAATATAAGGTGATCCTCCTTGAAAACGTGCAAGGGACTCTGAATATAACTATTACATGATCGCCCAAACAAAAAATTATCAGATAAAAAAAACATCTTTTAAAGCAGTAGAACTTATAAAAGAAGCTAAAAAGGTTAAATACTTAAATTGGCATTCACCTTTATTCTCTTCACAGTATCTAGAGCAGGTTCATTTAAGTAGCAGTCATCTCTGTGTAGTGCCAATGCATGGCCGATGAAGTCCACAGTGTTGTCGTCAAGACCAAATTTTCTATCAGAAAAAAATATATATATATTATAACCAGCAAGATTTGAAGGCTTGCAAAGATTCTAGTGATTTATCATCAGATAATAACTGCAGCAAGTTTCTTATTTTAGAAAGATAGTGGCAATAATTCGTTGGCCATATGACTTGTTTCTACATTTTTAAAAAAGATACAAGACTTCTTTTCCATGTCTGTTTTATTTGGACAATCCAAATTACACAATCATGTGAGTCAAATCAGTGCACATGCATCCAAAATAAAAGGGAATGGGGTTCAAAAGGATGCAGCTCACAGCATCACCAATAGGTATCTTTGAAAAAGAAATAAAAACATAAATGTTAATATTCTGCATGACCTTGATAAAAATTTGAAACTGATTACCTGTCCTCATCATTATTTCCAATTCAAGACAAGTAAAATAATTATTCTTCCCCAAAAGCATACAAATGACAAAATGTATACAAACAATATAAATAACTAAAATAAAGAGAATGAAAGGGAGTCAGAGGTGACAGTGTACCCAATTAGCTCTTTAGCTGTCACTCTTGTAAGATCCATTCCGTCATGTGTTTTAGGATCACTCTCATTATAATCCTGGACATATATGAAGAACTTTCGAGCACGCCGCTTCTCAAAGATGCCCATAAGTGGAGACTTAAGGGCCTCCATATCAGTAGCTGGGACCTTGTGGACCTGTTGAACCAATTTTATCAAGCACTTGGGAAGGACAAAATAAAAAATACAACGCCAACATGATGCAGTACCCCCCACCCAGCCTTCTTGGCATTAATTTTAACATTAATGAGAACAATTTATACCTTTCCTTTGTTATACACAAAGCTGCCATCAACTGCTTTGAAGTACAGATATTTTGTAACATCAGTATGAATGAGAACCCGCACAAGAGCACCATTTGCCATAATAAACTGCAAAAAGTGGTGGTGAGTCACTAATGTGTATACGCATGGCAAGGGAACAATTAAATTAAAAATAATTATAATAATTTATAATTTAAAAATAAATAAATAAAAGAATCAGTATAACAAGGGAGTAAAATGATACCTTAGGAATCATGTCAACATTGTAGTCCCTACTAGATCCAAGCTCGGCAGGGGGCTTGTCACTTCCTCTAAACCTCTTCCAGAGCTACAAACAAAAAGAATAAATATATATTGGTCAATTGTGATATGTATAGAACTTTCGAAGGACACATTTTACTCTACACTTGCAAAGTAATTTTTGAATAAAACATGAGGACACACACCTGAACAAGGTTGAGGGAAGTTGATTCTCCTCCATAGTAGTCATTTCTATCCATATGTAGAACCTATTGCACATGTGTCATGTGTTAAGCACGAACAACCAGACAAAAACATGAAGGCATGATACCAAAAAGTAACTTGAATTGCAAATCATGTCAAGTAGCAAAGCATAGAAACAAATATTAGTTTTCACTCTAACGATAAACAGGAACATAAAGACAAACTAGATAAAAACAAAAAGGCTACAGAAGAGAAGCTACAAGTTTCTAAAAGATACAGAGTACCATTAATTTGGTAGATTCATTTTCACTCTTCCCATATCTTGGCCATGAAAAACAAAAAATAAAATAGTCTAAATTTTGAATTCTCATAAAATCAGTTGGGAGTATTACTGTTTTTTTAATGCATATTAGGTCATCAGCAGATTAAAAGCTCTAAGAACACTAACTCAACAAAAACAAATAATTCAAGTCTTCCCAAGGAACCCAACTTGTTAGAACTAGGGCACACCCTTTACAGGCTGCAACCGTTTTACTTCCACCTAAGTACCCAAAACTACATATGCACTGGTCAACATGTACAAGAGTCCACCTCAATATGACTTGCAGAACGCGAAAAAAACACCACTGTTGGTCACAGTATTTTTTTCATCAACTACAATATGAAAATTGAAGAATGGTGTCACGATCAGAAAGGCCTGTTTGCTTGCAGCGGCAGTTAAATTAATGTAGAACTTTGTAAAATGGAACTTTGGCTAGCAAATCATTCAATTGATTCTGATAGTCCGATGAAACATGAAAAGCAGTCTTTCGGCAGTATCTCCTCAGTGCAGCAATTGTCATATAATCAATCTAAAAATAGTACTGGACTAACAATTTAGCAGACATCCAGACTATGTCAAAATCAAACTTTTATTAAATCCTCGACATCCCTCCCAAAAAAAAATGAAGTAAAACAATTTTCTTTGACAGAAAAGCGCTAACTTTACTTCAAAACAACGACGAAACTGAAGAGATCTAGTGATCTACGAATAAGCAACCCAGTTAAACAATCAAATAAGTTCCGATCTAAAAACCATCACAATCTCAGGACCCAATTCAGCATGCGAATTGCGGAACAAGGAAGTTCCGTGTGAGAACAAAAAATAAGATTGGGATGCACCTTGAGGCCATCGACGGAGAGTAGACCGCTGAGGATGCATTCCTTGAGACCAGTACCCAGTACAATCACATCATACTCTTCATCCATTACTCTTTCAGTATCTTCTTCTTCTGAAGATTAAAAGTCAACTGAAACAGACGAATAAGATCAAACTAGGGTAATAGTAGAGCGTTGAACTTAGGTGTGGATATATATAGAGAGAGGAAGATAGGGTGAGAAGACAGAAGAGATCGAGTTTACTTGTGTTGGGAGCTTTGATCGGCGGCGAGAGAGAAAAATGGATCGAATGTTTTGGGCGTGATAGCGCGTGGGTTACGCTTCGTTTAATGATGACACTATGAGAGATATAATTCGCTACTACGCACTACTACGTAGGGGAAAGGACACGAATATCTTTCGGCGAGACATGTGGAATTGGTTTTGAAGCAAAGGGAAGATGCCCGAAATAATCTCTATTAAGGGGGGTTAGTAAGGGTTTTAGCGAACAGAGCTTTTGACAAATTATTCATGATTGTGTTTGCTAAGCGTTCGTTTATGTTCTTTTGTTAAGGTAAATGAACCATTAACAAATAAAAATTAGAGCTTGGTTAATAAACGAATAGAGCTTGAACAGTTGTATGCTCGTTTGATAAGAGATCATAAACAAGCTTGTTTGTGTTCGTTTAATAATATTTGTGAACAAGCTCATTTGTGTTCGTGAACAAGCTCATTTAGTGTTCGTTTAATAATGTTCGCGAATATGAACGTAGATTATTTATTGTTCACGAACGAATTGTGGTCATGAACATGTGCAGGTATTTGGTTATTAAAGATTCACGAACGTGCTCATGAACGCAATCCAACATGTTTGTGAACGTGTTTGTTAACGACATGTTTATTAACGTTAACGAACACGTTCGTGAACGTGTTCGTTAACGTAAACGAACAAGTTCGTAAACGTGTTCGCGAACGTTAACAAACACTAATGAACGCTTAACAAACAAACACGAATAGGATTTTAAAAAACCTTAACAAACGAACACGAACACCCTAAAATTCTTAACAACGAACACGAACAACCTCCATTCGTTTATGTTCGGTTCGTTAACAGCCCTAGGTGTTTGGTTCAAGCTATATAACATAACCAAGAGAATGTGAGCTTTGGAATGTCACATTCTCATGTTTGGTTTATGTTATCTTGCTTTTTTAAGAGAATACAACTTTCCCTGAGGAATGTAATATACCCTTCACATAGGATTTTTAAGAGAATGTGATTTCCTTACAAATCTTAGGTAATATAATATTCTTATGCACATTTGCCATTTTGTTATTTTAATTTTAATTATAATTATTATGAAATATATATATTTTATGTTAGCTTATTATACATATCATATTTAATTATTTTTGTATTTATATATTTATTTTATTTCTTATTACGTCATGTTATATTATAATAAAGTAATTTTGTTTCTCAAGTTCAAGCTCTTAGTTAATTATTTTTAAATCATATACTTATATTTGTTATCATTGCCTTATTTAATTAATTTAATTTAATTTTGAAGCTAGTTTATTGAAATACATAAACATATGTTAAGGGTATTAAAGTAAAAAAAAAAAAAAAAAAAAATAGTATAACATAAAAGATAATCCCTAAACCAAAAATGTTTATATTACATACCTCAGTTTTAGCAAAACACATGAATCTAACATTCCCAGTAATATAACATTCCCAACAATATAACATTCTCTAAGGTAATCTAACATTCCTTACAGTATTTTTTATTTTTTAAGAAAAAATGATTAAATTTTTCTCTTTAAGTCTATCGGATAGTCGAATTGAATTATTTGGATAAAAAAAAAAGTGACATTCAAATTTCCCTAGAGTAAAATTGTTCAATTGAATGTTTGGCAAGTTGGCACTTTATTTAGGATCTAACTTGTCAAAGAGCTCATTTAGGATCAAATTGAACAATTTTATTGATTTAGAGTATTCGAATTAAAACTTTTTACTTAGAAGACCCAATGATTCATCAAACCAATTGATTTAGTCCTAAGATGTATCTTTTTTTCTGTAACATTCAATAGTTTCATTATCTTTTTTCTCTTAGTTTGGCGGGAAGAAGGGTGTTATTCAAATAAGCTCTAGCCGCAATCATTTCCTACACAATGCAATGGTTGGCTCTTCCTGTGCGTGTTTGTAAATTGTAAGGATATTGACATCATGTGTAGTGATTTATTGTGGTGTGATAATGAGGTGAATAAGAAAGTTCATCTAGTCAACTGGAAATAGGTGTGTGCACCTCGTAGCGTTTGATGAATAGGGCTCATAATGGCTAGAGATGCCAATATGGCCTACTTAGCTAAGCTTGTGTGGCAAATGTTGAGTAATTATGAAAATTTGTGCGTCAGAGCGCTCTAAAGTAAATATGTCTGAAATGAATTTTTTTTTACGGTTTCACCATCAAGCAATGTTACGTTTCTTGGGTTTGGAAAAGTATTACCAAAGTTAGGACCGTAATTGAAATATGCGCCGTTGGAAAATTGGTGATGGTCGTGCATTGGACTTCATTGGTGAGTGGGTGACAAACCCCTTGGTTCATATACGAGCATTCACATCCCCGGTAATCTCGTCACGGTAAAGATAAGTGCTTTTATTACTGATGATAAATATTGAGATTTGACCTTATTACAGGAAGCGGTGCCCTTCAACCTGGTTGATCAAATCCGTGTCATAGACCCCATGAGAGTTATAATTCAGTGGCGACTGGCAAAGAGAAAATAATAACAAATGACTAAATTATCCTTGATTGTTATTATTATTATTACGTAAGGAATTTTAATTTTTATATCACTTCTTTTATTTTCATCTTTAATAATTTTATTCTTACATATCAAACAATATAATTTGAATTCATATTTTATTCCAACCTTTAACTTTTTCTAATGAGTTACAATTCATCTTCTCCTCTCTAATTTTCTTCTCCCAACCAAACACCCTCGTGGGTGGTCGATTTCAAAAACAATACAGGTCGGTGCAAGGTACAGTATATGCATGTTAGAAGGGCGTGTGCACTGTTGATAGAATGCATATGTGGTGGCAATCACATGGTTGTCTCTCAATAATCCTTGTATCATTTGTATGATCAAAGGAGTATACCTAATGTAAAAAAAAATAAGGAAAAAAAGGTGACTTTGTAAGTAGACTTTGTAAGTAGGGCATGATTTTAATATTAGAAGATAATGAGCAAATGAATATGTGCTTTGCAAACTATTACACATGATAAATAAATAAAAGTACAGTAGATTCATAATTTTTATACAGTAGATTTATAATTTCTATACTGTAGATTCATAATATCTGTACTGTAGATTCATAATTTCTGTACTGTAAATTCATAATTTCTAAACTGTATAATTATCAAATTATGAAGATATAGTTCTCTGATTTGTGAAAACCGAATTCAACAATTGGAATCTAAACTCTAAAGTATAAATTTTATGAATCTATAATATAAAAATTATGAATTTACAGTATAAAAATTATAAATCTACAATATAAAAATTATGAACATAATTTGCCGTTAATTTCGCACAAGTACTTAAAATTTGTGCTTTGCAATACAACTATACAAGGCAAATTATATTATGCACCGCGTTGCATAATCGATTATGCACCGTGTGTCTTTTTTTTTTTTAAATGAAAATAAACCGTGTTTGTTTCCGCCGTTTCGCACCTTTTGCAAAAAGTAACTCTGTTATTTAGTGTCATTTTGTATACACTGCAGTTTCAGTTCAACACAACTACAGTTTCATTTCGATATAACTATAGTTTCATTCGATATTTATAGACTCAGATATGTGAAAATGTTATGTAATTTTATTTTATATACACTATAGTTTCATTAAAACACAACTACATGATCATTTTGATATAATTACAGCTTCATTGTACAATATACACTCACATATGTGAAATGTTATTCAGTTTCATTTTATATACACTGCAGTTTCATTTCACTATAACTACAGTATCATTTTGATATAACTGCAGTGTCGGCGGGTCATTTTAATGAAACTGCAGTGTATATAAACGACGCCGTTTTAATACACCAAACAAGCAGACTCCGTTAACTCCAACGGCGGGTCATTTCTTTACTTAAAGAAACGACGCCGTTTTTTACCGCGGTGCACATACACCGCGGTCTATAATATAACGAGTGACTATACAAGGCCTCTATTTGATTTGTAACAAGAGGTTGTGTTTGTTTATCTTGGCCCATCATCATTAAATGGGTCAAAATGGATCTTGAAACTTTCGTACTTCTATTCAGGCCCACATTAAATACACACAATAGTTATGCTGTGCAACCGAATGTACCATGCGCATGGTGCATACAATGTAAAATGACGTCGTTTTGACTAAAAACGCATGTCCCACTTAAAAAAAAAAAATCAGGTTCGATTCTCGGTAATAGCATTATTGTTGATATATAGTTATGAATTTATGGATATTTAGTTCATTCATCGTGGATATTTAGTTCATTCATTGTAGATATTTACTTCATTCATTCACTGTGGATATATAGTTATGAATTTCTGGATATATAATTATGAATTTCTGGATATATAGTTATGAATTTATGGATATTTAGTTCATTTATTGTTGATATTTAGTTCAATCATTGTGGATATTTAGTTCATTCATTGTGGATTTTTACTTCATTCATTCATTCATTGTTGATTTTTACTTCATTCATTCATTCATTGTGAATTTTTACTTCATTCATTCACTGTGGATATATAGTTATGAATTTGTGGATATATAGTTATGAATTTCTGGATATATAGTTATGAATTTCTGGATATATAAAAATGCTATTGCCGGGAATCGAACCTGATTTCTTCTTTAAGTGGGACGCGCGTTTTTTTAACCAAAACGGCGCCGTTTTGCAACCGTATGCACCTTGCAAGGTGCATTCGGTTGCACAGCATAATTTGCGAAATACGCAGATTAGGACACACAAGAGCGCAAATTATGTTGTACAACTTGGTGCATACGATTGCAAAAACGACATCGTTTTGACTAAAAACATGCGTCCCAGTTAAAAAAATTAGGTTTGATTCTCGGCAATAGTATTTTTTTTTGCATAATTTGAATTATATATCAACAAATTCATAACTATATATCCACAGTGAATGAATAACACAAAATCCAGAATGAATGAACTAAATATCCAGAATGAATGAATTAAATATCCACAATGAATGAACTAAATATCCACAATGAATGAACTAAAAATCCACAATGAATGAACAACATAATGCTGTTGAGAGAAATCGAAACTGATTTTTTCTTTTTAAATGGGACGCGCGTTTTTAATTAAAGCGACATCGTTTTGCAACCGTGTACACCATGCATGGTGCACACGGTTGCACAGCATAACTATTGCACACAAGAGAACAACAAATTATATCATAGGCCAGTGTTTATATTACATAGGGATCTAGTTACATAAAAATAATATGATGTATTTACAGTAGTGAATTTATATAACTATAACAGGGCGTTTGGTTGGAGGGGGGAATTATGTGGAAAAAGAATTGTAATTTCATGGGAGTTGAATTACTGGGAATAAAGTGAGAATTTAAATTCCAGTGTTTGGTTGACAGAAATAGAATTACTGGAAATTTCAATTCCAATGTTTGGTATACATGAAAATTGAAAGGGAATAAGTAGTATAAAGTCAAAAATGTCCATTATTGTTGTTAGACATTAATTTTAAGTTAAAAAGGGAAGGGGTAATGTTGACTCATCACTATCTTTTTTTTCCCAGGAATTAAAATACCAGGGGGGACATGTGATTTTAATTCCATGAAAATGGGGGAATTGCAATTCCATGAAATTGCAATTCCCTCCAACCAAATTACGGAATTTAATGGCCTTTGGAATTAGGTGGGAATTAAGTGGGAAGGGAATTTAAAATCTCTCAAACCAAACGCCCTGTAATAGTAAGTTTATTATTTACAATGGAGTATAATGAACTTATGAACTTATTATAATAATTTTATGAATCGAATTTATGTATTTAAAATAATAATTTTATGTACATATATATTTATTTTTAAATGAATTTTAAAAATACATTAATATGTATGTTATTTAAAATTTAAATTTAAATTTAAATTTAAATTTTTTAATAATATATGGAATATTTTTTATACATTAATTTTATTTAATTTTTATAAAAAATTAAATAAATAAATTGTGTGGACTACTAGGTTGATGATATAAGAGCATCCATAATAGTAGAGATATTTTGTGATTTTTAAGGAGTTTTTGTAAGTGTAATTAGAAAAGAGAATAAGGGAGCGGAGAGGAAAAAGAAAATAAAAATAAAGCAAAATTTATTTAAAAATATAAGAAAGTGACTCTCAGGCACGCGAGTGCACTGCACACGGCCGTGGCCTTTATTTATTTTTCTTTTATTGGGACGAGAAATATCTCAAAACTTGTAGGGAGAGCTGCCCCTCTCTCTCCATCATGTATACAAGTAAATCTCAACACTTATAAATAAATTCTCAATAATCTTCTGATATTGATGCTCTAACTATTAGAGGAGAAATAAGTCAATTTTAAATGGACTAAGACTATGTAGTCTAATGGTACCTGGGTTGAACTTCCATTTCGAAGATTGCAAGTTCGAGCTTCAGTAGGTTGAAAAAATATATGAACAGATACTACATTGTAATAGAGCCTGCACCATTAAAAAAAAAAAAAAAAAAGAGTCAATTTTAAATGGATGTCCTGACACGTGTAACTCTATGGGCGCCACTAGAATCAGACAAAAGGGCATAGTCAAGCGAGAGTAAAAAGGGTGGCATATCGTCTTCAGCCACCGGTTGAGCATATCAAAGACTGCTCCTATCATATGCTCATTGCGTTTCGTTAGACATTTGTATACTTTACTATTTAATTTAGTTCTAATTATTTTGATTAATTGTATATTTTTATACTCTATTATCAAGTTCAAGTCTGATAATATAATAAATATAGTTTCCAAATTTTTGCTGGCCTTATCAAAATCTCAAAGTGAGTACTCCACCGTAAGACCGCACGCATATTCATAACACAATATTTAGTTGTTTAGTTAAATGTAGTTGGAATTCATTTACGGAACGTTTTATTAGATGGAGAGAATTACGTGAGAAACGAATTATAATTTTATGAGAGTAATTATTGGAAATAAAATGAGAATTCAGATTTTAGTGTTAGATTACATGAATATTTTTTTTTTGAAAATATATGTAGTGCTTTATTAAAAATATGTCGAAATAATGTCTAGTGGGAGAAGATCCCAGTACATAGCAGCCGATTGCTGATATGCTGAAGTAGCTAAGGCATGAGCTATAAAATTGTCTAGTCTAGAAATAAAATGGAAAGAACAAGACTGAAAATAAACTGTAGCTGCTCTGCAGGCGTCAATGGCATAGCCGACGTAAGTGCGAAACGTAGTAGACGGTGTAGTAAGATAACGCTGTAGCATTAAACAATCTGTATATATTTCGATGTTCTGTTCCCCTCGATCCTTTAACCATGACAAAGCCTCCTTGCATGCCAATGCCTCGGCCATAAGTGGTGAGAAACAATCCGGGAGGGGTGCACTGAAGGTCGCGACAGATTATTACTGAGATTACAGATTTCAGTGTTAGATTACAGGAATATAATTACTGAGAATTTTATGTTAAAGATGGTACTTTTTTCTTGATATAAAGTAGAGAATATTGATTATTTATTTAAACATATCAAATAGAGAAACAACTTACCTATGAATTTCCCAGCTTGGAAGTGGATCAATTTGAGATTTCAGAGCTTGGAGAAGAAAAATACCTTTGGTTGTAGGTATAAGAAGAAAATAATGACGGTTGAGCAATGAGTTTCAACATAAAAAGAAAATTATAATTTGAAAATTATTATTTTACTCCTCTATTATTAAATTGTTTTTAAATTTTCTATTAGATGCAAATAAAATATTAACGATATGGACCAAACTCGTCACTTTGCTCATAACTGAAGGACTAAACTCAGATATTGTTATAACTTGAGAATTGAGTCAAAACTTAGTTATAATTTGAGGACTAAAGATGCAATTTTTTCTTTATTTAATATATTTAATATTTGAGAGTAATGATTGCTGGGAGGAAACGTGGGTCCCAGCGGGATTGATTGGGTAGGTGGGCCAACTTTATGTGGTAGTGTGGTATGGTGTTACGGTACGGTAGGGAGTCAAGAGTTCATGACTCCATCACCCCATGTATGTTTGTCCTCATTTTATTTTTCTTTTCAATTTTATTTTTAAGTGTCCAGAAAAATTTGTAATTACATAAAGTAAATTATATATTACGATGTCATTCAAGTTGAATAGTATAATTGTGGCTCTTTAAGAGACTACAGATCAATCCTACATTGTAACAAAATTGATAATATTCAAAATGATTATGGAGTATACATTACAACTTTAATATATCAAATATGTAATATTATAATTAAATTTTCAAACTGACTAATTTGGCTCTATTTTTTTCTTCTCTTTTATAATTAAAAATACTATATGTACTCTTATTTTCTACTCTCAACATTTACTCTCATACATAAAATCTTAATGTAAACATTTGTATTGTGACTCACATGATAAAAATAATCCATTAAATTATTAATACTGGGCATATCAAGAAATAAAATTTAAGATTATGATTTGGGTAGAAATCTTTTCTAATTGCCAAATGCCCAAATGCATCAAATTCTAATTTTCAGGAAATATTCTTTTTTTGTTTTTTCCTAAAATAATATTTGTTCATTTTCCTCCGCTCTGTTAACCATCCACAGCAAGGAAGAGCCACAGTCTCTCTCATTCTCTCTCTATATCTCTCTCAAATTAATCAGAGAGGTGACGCTATGCCTCTCTCCATCCCTAGATAATCTGCATTGGTTTTCACTCAGTTTCATGCGCTCTTCGTTGTGTTTTTTATCTTCCGGGTAATTTTTATCTGATTATGGTTGTACTCTTGATGTTTTGTTTTTGGCTTTGATTGTCTCTGTGCGTGGAATTATAATCGGATGATTGGTTGTGTTTAGTTGCGTTATGGTTGATTGTAGTTTGTTGCTCTCTTGTAGGGTTGAGGCTGTGGATTTGACTGCTTGGTACTGAGAACAAGGGGTTTCTCCTTAGGGTTTCTGATGATGGCGATGCGGGTGTTTCTGACAGTGGAGCTTCGTACCTGAGCCTTTTGTCCATCTATATATGTATCCAAGCGTATATGTTTGTATTGGGCTAGGGTTTTTTGCTCTTTGTTCCCTGTTCTAGTTTCCTTCATCTAGAAAAAATCTAGGTTGTGTTTGAGCTTGGCTGATAGATTGTATCTGATCTCCGAATTTGGTTTTGTTTCTAGTCATATATTCCTGAGGTTCTGAAGGAAAGTTTTGATTTGTATGGATTATGGATTGAGGGTTTGCAATTAGCTACGATTATAAGTGGTGTTTGGAAGAATTAATTGTTGGGATCTTTGGCTAGTTTTTGGTGTACAATGAAAGAAGAGAAGAGACCATTTGTGGTGGAGACCCAAGACCTGAATTTGGGGGGTGGTGTCAATATGGTAGAGTCTCATTGTTCCGAAATGGATGTGGAAATAGGTGAGACCGGTGTCTCGAGTCTGACGGATCAAATTGTAGTTTTTAACTCGGAAAACGGTGAGGGAAGCAATCGCAATGTCGTTTTTTCAAGGGAAGCCCCACTTGCTGGGAAGGATTTCAGAGCATCAACAGGAGCTGGAGGAGCTTGCAGTTGTGGGGTTAAGAAGCTTAAATTCAGGCCAAAAACTTCTGATTCTGAGCCTGGGAAAGATGACAAACCTGGGCAGGAAAAGAAGCTTAGTAGACAAGACAGGATTGAGCTGGGGCGGCTGTTTCAGGGTGCTGTCAGTTCCCATGATTGGGACCGTGCTGAGAGTTTGATCTTTCCGCAGACTCTCAATGATGCATTATGCATTGCTCTGGATTCGATCTGGTTTTTGAGTACACATCAAGAGTTGTATGGTATAACTGGGTTGATTAAGAAGATTATATCAAATGGTGCTTATGACTTTACAAGAGCAGTTCTGAGGACTTCATTTCTTGCTTCATGTGTTTCTGCTTGTCAAAGTCGAACAATGAGCCTCACTGATACTGTGAATGTAATGGCACAAAGGTCAGCTCTCTTTCACACATAACATGCACACAAAGACATTGCAGTTTTATGTCATTGAAACTGGATAAAATGCTTATTGTGATCTCATTCTATCCTAAACAATATGCAATGTTTGCTTATATCTTACATATGCTTAAGTTTGAAACTATGCATAGTTTTAAATGATAGAACAGTTCTGGCAGCCTATTTGAGTGTAGTTAATTTTTGAAGTTCTAGATGCAAGCTTTATGAAATATACCATAGATGGATTGGTTGAAACAATAAATTGTGTATTCTCTTATTTTTATTTTTATATTTTGTAACTGTCAATATTTTCTATAATGATAATGCAATCAATATATCTGTTTGGAGCTGCTGGAATGTCAAACACTCAACTGTTGGGAGGAATTCATATTGATTTCCTTGTATAAAAAATAACTAATTGTTCTTGGTTAAACTCTCGTTCTTTGATTGATTCGCAGATGTGTCCAGTTGTCCTTTTACCAAGTTATTCATTTTACATTTTGGTTTTATTCAAATCTTAGCTGAGAATAGGGTGCTCACAGATTTGGGGTGATTCTACATCCAATCCGACAAAAGGCAGATTTGGAATTTCCCATCCACACGTGTGGATCCTATCCGATCCAATCTACTAATGCCGGATTTGACAGATCGAATGACATATCCTAAGTTTAAAAAAATAAAATAAATTATATTATATTATAGTAAATCAGCTATTCAAGCATTAAAAAATCAAAATGATAATAATTTTTCAAACATCCATTCAGGAAAACCAAATATTCAATTTAACACTTCAAACAAATAAATCAATAAATCTGATGTGTGTGTGTGTGTGTGTGTATATATATATATATATATATATATATATATATTGTTTTGGTAGTGAATTAGTGTAGTGGTTTGGATATAGTGGATTTTGGATCCGTTAGTGGTGGATTTCTTCTAAGTTGATCCACTATTGACTGATGCGGATTGGATGGTAGCGGATTTGGCGGATCCGCGAACACCCATAGCTGAGAGTTATATTCTATGCTTTCTTTATATTTCCAATTTTGATATTATACTTATATGTATATATTTGTTTGATTCTATTTTCTTATGCATTTTGGCTTGGATTTTTACAATTGCCTCCTCATCAGGTTGCATGAGCGACTACAAGAATGCAACGGAGATGAAAGTTTGAAAGCTGAAGCTGGTGCAAAGGTTCAGAAGTTCACTGAATGGGCTCTTAAATGTATAGGTTTCCATTCCCGCTGCCAAGGAAACCGTGATAGGGTGGGGCGTAACTCAGCTGCTGAGATACAACTACAGTTATCTGCTTTCAAAACCTTTCTAGATCTTGCTGGGAATAACCTTACAGGAAAGGACTTCACTGAAGCCTTTGATGCAGCCTGCTTTCCTCTTACTCTATTCTCTAGCTCATCCGATCCTGGTTGGGCGTCTGGTATATCAGCAACTGCTATACAGGGATTGCTAGGAATGTTGGTAGAGGGAGGTGCTGACAACGTTAACCAGTGTTTTCTTGAAGCTTCACGTTTTGGAAGCACAGAGCTTGTTCGCATTCTGTTGCAGGTAAATATTGATTTGCTAAGCTGTCTTTTGGTGTCTTCTATCTCTCTACCTATGCTAGGCACTTTATTGTTGCTTTCCCTTTTTGCTGGGCTTGATTTTTAGTTCATTTGTGAAGGACTTGCCTAATCTTATTATCATTGTTATTATATTTTCAGTATTAAGTTATCATTGATCAAACTGTAATAGGGTTGAGAAAGATTATTACAACTTACCATCTGGCCTCATAGGAATAGCTTAGCTGTTATTAAGTAGATAAAAGAAGGCAAATTCTTGGATGGACTAGCTCTATGTGTGGCCTTGGACCAAATTAATAAAAGGAAGAATCATGTACTAGGGTTGGGCAACTGGGCATGGACTAAACTACATTTCTGCTTATGTTATTTAAATTATTAACCCTCCTATGATTTTCACAATGTCTTAGCGGGGTCAATTTGACAATTTCTTGAAGTTCTAAAAATAAATACATAAGATGTGCAGGTTATAAATGAAACGTTTAATTAATCCAGTGCGATCAACTGACCCCACTTGCACCATTTATATTGGCCCTTGGTCATAAATGATACTTGAATTTACAGATGTGAGTACATATGTTTATATTGCCTTTTCATACGCAAATATACCTTAATGCAAACATACAGAGTACAGACAAACTCAAAGCATTCTTGTGGCCAATGGGTGATACTTATTCCAATAATAATAGGCTTGCTGATTGTTTCTGAGCTTGAGAATTTACAATATGTAAAAATAAAGACAAGTGCACAATTTTTTGTTTGTTAAGAGAGATGTACTCAACATTATATGCCTGATTAGATCATACTTGTGAAAATAATCAGTATATACTGTGCAGTAAAGATAAATATAGATTTTGGAGTAAAATGTGACTATGATAGTAAATGGTGTTTAACTGGTAAGTGTAGGCAATTGCTTCACTGCAGAGATGTAGTTCATCACTGCTAAGTTTGGGAGCCATTTAGGCAACAGAGGTTCCTTGCAGTAGAGTTTGCACTTTGCACCAATACTGTAGGTTACAACTAAATCATTTCAGAAAACCACATCCTTCAATGCCTGAACTCTTCTCAATTCACACCAAATTTTATCTTTATGCTTATCTTCTACCTATATAATTATGGTTTACTTCATGCCAGGTCATCTAAATTTCTTTCTGTCTGGATTGTTAAAGCTGGTTTCTGGTAGACTGGTAGTTACTCCAGTAGTCCAGTGCCCCATTCCTTGGTATTTAAATCTTCTTGATAGTCAGCTAGAAGTAATGACATCGTTATCTAATATTGGTTGTTTATCTTTATGCATGTATACTAGTTGACAGATGATTTTGCTTATCAGAGAGTAGTGGTAACTAGCAGGAGAGTTAGTTGCTAATTGTGTATAAAGATAAGAAAACACACAATGCCATATTTATTTATTTATTATTATTATTTTTGCATAGTATTTAGCTATATGTTCTTGCCATGTCTGGAAGAAATAGAGAAACTTCATGCAGAGTGATTCTTGCATTAAACAATCAATCCCTATTTTTTCAGATTGTGCCATAATGTTTTGTTTTATGCTGTTTTTCTTTTTCTAGATTATTCATTTGCCTTTATTTTATCTGTCTTTTGCTGACGTATGGTCCAACTATACCATGTTTTTTGGTGATTATCTTAATACACTTTGCACATTGGACTTCATGTTATCTTTTGCTTGGCTTTAGATTTAGAGTATGCCGTGTTTTATGCTAATTGTCTTTACTTCATATACTCTTTTGTTTTTGTTGTTTGGATGATCTATATCTATCTGCTATTTTTTTTAAAAAATACTTGATTGATTGTCTTTTTTGTAGATTGCTCAAAGAAATAGCTTGGATGTTGATGTTGACCTGGCTTTAGGATTTGCTTCACATTATTGTAAAATTGGAACCATGGAATGCTTAGTGGAAGAGGGGAATGCAATGGCTTTCTTGGGCCCTCTAATGAGAGCAGCTGAGAGGGGTTGCATGCAGGTTGTTGAATGGTTTGTGGAGAGGGGATGTGGAGACATGGAACTCTGCCTTGCTCTCACAGCCGCAACATCCAGCAGTCAGGTCGAAGTGGCTGCATATCTTCTCCCTCATGTACCTCAGCCAGTTCTTGCTGCTCTTAGTATTGAGATTCTCAAGGCAGCTGGTGAACGGAGTGGTGGATCTCTTGATGGTGTAGCTTTTCTTCTTCACTCAGACTTCCTTGGTGATCCTGTGGCTACTTATGCTGTCGCAGACAGCATAGCTAGGTCTGATGATGAGGCCGTCACTCCTGAGCTCAGGGCTTTTCTTCAGGAGCACTGGTCGGAGGCAGCCTTTTTAGATGGACTGGAGCAGGGACAAGAACATTACTTGAACATGGTGCGAATTATGAAATGGGGTGAATCTCCAATCCGTTTGTCGGATCTTCCAGCTCCCCTGAGGGTTGCGATAGCATACCTGCCACTGTATAGGGAATGTATCAAGGTGGGAGGTTGCTTGCTATCACAAAGGCACAGGGGACAGCTAGTGGGAGCTGCAAAAAGACTCAGTGGTGTCATGCTCATCGAGGCAAACCATGGAAGAGAGTTACTGGCTGTCTTGGAGCATCATCTTCCTCCATTTTTGTTATATGCATCAAGCTTTGGGTAGAAAGATAGTAGTACTTGCAAGAGTTCAAGTTTATGATCGAATCGAAGCATAATAATACAGTAGCTGGGGGCGACTTTGATGAATCCTCAATATCTGTCAATTTTCTCACAACATAGTCGGGTTGGGTAACTTGTTTTTTGGTTTAACGAAACTGAGGTGAGGTTTAGTGCATACCTTGCTGTGCACAGCACCTCTAAACTATCCAAGAAAGAAGAATACTAGAGTCAGGAGAAGTTGATACTGCAACCCATCATGTAAAATAGGTACTTTTGTGGCAGTTATTTTCCTATTGATGATGATGCTGGTATACTGAAAAGTGCTATTATCTTCCCCTGAATCATTGTGTGTATATATTATCAATCCTCATCCTATTTTAGTTTTATTGTATAGTAGTGTGGGTTGAGATGCAGTCATGAATGAAATGCCCCTGCCCCTATGGTGGCCCTGCCTTCTCACGTGCATTTCAATGTTTCATGCTTGTGTAACATGCCATGTTTGCATCAGCAATTAGTCAAAACTAAAAGCCACTTCATCTCATGGTTGGCTAGACTACTCCAGCTCTCTCTCATCATTCTCTCCATAATCATCCATAGCTTTATCTGTATTCTTTTGTATACAGGCATTACTGGATAAATCTTGTTTTGTGATCTTAGTTGGCAAAGAATCACGGATTGTAAACTAGTTTAAGTTGATACAAAGTACAATAGGTGTTGGATACAAAAAATAACACAAAAGAAACGCCCTATGTAAGGTGTTGATACAAAAAAAAAAAAAAAAAAAAAAAAAAAAAAAAGCATAAAAGAAACATCTAATGTAAGGTGTTGATGCATAACGCAAAAGAGACCAGATGTAATGTATCTTTATGTATCTTTACTATTTATACAAAATGCAAAAAGACGTGATATGATCTATCTTTACTATTTATAGAGTTGTTTGAAATAGTGCTATTAAATACTTCATCATACCAAAAATGCTAACAATATACAATTCCCCTTGCATTATGTTAACAAACTCTTGAGAGTTTAATTGATTTATTTATAAATAAATAAATAAAAAAAGTTCAACCCCTATTAATCACTGAACAGATGTGTAGCTATTTGACACTCCATCTAAAGAACATTGAGGATTGGTGATAATGTATGTGTATTTATATATAAGAGATAAAAGAAAGTTGTTATGATTAGCCAAAACAAAAAGCAGCGGGGGAGAGTAACCGTTTCCCTCTACCGCCACCATTTACACATACGTGTACGTCATGTCCCGGACCTTAGACGGCGTGAAAGCCAACATCATCAGAACTACCAGAATGCAGATCGGAACAAGCAGAAGCATCAGCGGCGGTGGCGGCAACGGCGGCAGGATCAACGGCAGCAGCAGCAGCGACGCCGTCAGGCCGATCAGCAGAAGGAACGATTCCAAGCTGAAATAGCTCATGGAGAACATCCTTTTCCCCGGCCCTTGCGATAACGATCGCCGGTATTCCACTTTCTTTGCTTCCGCGAAAGGTACGCCGTTCTTCCTCGGGATAGCGGCGGTGGCCTTCTTCGTCTTCATATCCATAACGCTGTTCAGATACTGACGCTGTTGTTCGAGATTAATGTAGGTCTTGGAGGCTGCCGCTTTCTCTTGCGTCGTTTCAACTATCATTCTCTCTTACTCAAAATCGGATACTGGAAACCGCTTGATTCTGGAGATCAATGTGATTCAAAATCTCGGATTCGAGGTATGTATTGTGTATTGGCTCTTCAATATTCCCTAAACCAGATCCAATGCAGATTTTTGTCCCCTAAAATTGAAGCCAGGTACTATAAATTCAGGTTGAATGCTTTAATGCTGTGACCTTAACACCTCATCATATAGCTGCACATTATAAGAATTGGAGAAAATGAGAAACGTTCAATCTCTAATACCAACAAGCAGAACTAGAAAAGTTAACCCTCTTCTGTTTGAAAACCATTAAAACAATGAAATCCAATGATCCAAGCAACTATTTTGAAAAAAAAAAAAACATACAAAAAACAAAGAATTGCTAAGCCGTTTCTTCAAGAACTAAAGAACTAGAAGAAACATATCATCAATGGAAGTATAAAGTACCTGTGATGGTGAGAGAAATTTGCAGTTTGTGGCAGAAGAAAGCAGCAGAGATTCCCTTGTGCATTTCAGGCTTCTCTATCACACTCCTGCATAACCAACCTTTTTTACCAGAGAATTGAATCCCCAAATACAACAATGCAATCACCCCACCAAAATATAACAAAAAGAGAAACAAATATTGGTCCCTTATGCTTGGCTTACAAAAGAGGTATAAGAAAATTCTAGAATGGTAGAAGAATGGGGGTGTGAGGGGGGATGTATTTATCTCTCTTGCTTTGCAAATTTCCAAGCTTGGTTTGAAAGTTGACAGGAAAAAAAAGAGTGGAATTACAGAAATGGCAAGGGGGTAGGCCTTTTAGGGTAAGAGATTTGGATGGAAATAAGTTGGTTGCACTGTACTGGCAATACAAATATAGTATATATAAAATTGGTAGTAGTAGTATTAGAAAATGCCACATGCAGAATATATATATATATATATATATGTGTGTGTGTGTGTGTGTTGTTGATTTTATTTGGAAAGAGAAAGGGGAGGTATTGCAAAGCAGTGGGTTGGATTCAGTGGATTTCTTAATCAAGTGGGGACAGCTGACTTGCATTCCCCTCACCCCCTCTTTCTTAAGGTTCTTCTCCCCTGGACTAAAATCCTACCCCTTCATTCATTTCTTTGATTTGATTTCTGTCTCACAATCCCCCTAACCCCTAAATAATAATAATAATCATAGCCCAGGAATGGGCGAAGATTTGGTAAACATGATTCTGGTATCTAAAAGTTACTCCGTTTGATTTTAATTATTATCAATACATTTTCGGTTGAGTTTATTGCATATGATTTTCTTAGTTCAATTTATTTTTGTTATATGATTTCGGTTGAGCTTATTGCATATGATTTTCTTAGTTCAATTTATTTTTGTTATATGATTTCGGTTGAGCTTATTGCATATGATTTTCTTAGTTCAATTTATTTTTGTTATATGATTTGTAAGTTATTACACATGAGTGAGATTTTATATGTGCATTGTACACTTTCATATAGTTGTTGCAAGTTTTCCTTTACCATTCAATAATAATAATAATGTCACCCAAAAGGAACAACCCCACTTAAGTTGGTCAAGTTATCTTAGGGTGTGTTTGGAAACCCGGAAAATGATTTCTGGAAATCATTTTCCGGATATTGGGTGTTTGGCTAGGCTGAAAAATAAATGGTCAAAGGAAAATGAAGAGAAGTCAATGGAAAATGAGTCCAAATTTCGAAGTCATTTTCCATCTTCTCCACACACTTGCTTACCTTCAATTCCGCCTCCTCCTTCAACGCAGAAACAACTCCATGTCTCTACCAACAATGTTTCCGCCGGAAACATTAATTAGAAAAAAAAAAAAAAAACATGAAGATGGAAATCAGAGAGAACTTCTCTCTGGTTTCCCTCGCCGGAAGAAACCAGAGAGAAGTCTGGGGAAACCAGAGACTTCTCTCTGGTTTCTTCCGTATTTTTTTTTTAATTTTTTTAACTTTTTAATAATTAAAATTATTTGATTTTAAAAAATAAATTTTATTATAATTTTTTAATTTTAAATAAAATAATTAATTATATAAAATGGTTAATTATACAATTCTATCTCATTTTCCAAAAATGAACCAAACACACAAAGACTGTTTTCTGCCGTGCTGCCAAACACAAGAAAGGAAAATGTTTTCCGGAAAATGACTCATTTTCCAAAAGTCATTTTCCTGCTTTTCAAACAGACCATTAATAATCACAAATCAAATTTGACTCTCAAAGGGAATGGCCTATTAGCCTTTTAATTTGAGACAATTAGCTATGAACAACCTCTTTGTAATTTTTTATCAGCCAGGATCATTAGGCGGAATTTACTCAGTGTACACTCTTAGGTAATGACTAAAAGTTTCCTCTGTCACCCAAAAAAATAATACCAAAACAATAGTAATAATAACAATAAAGTGTCTATCAATACCAATACTTTTTTTACTATGTACAAAGAGTTAATTTTCAAAATGGTCATCCAACTATGTCATTTTCTCAAATTAGTTCCTTGACTTTTAATTGCACCCAAAGTGATCCTCCGACTATTGAATTTTAAGTCAAAATGGTCATCTGTTAGTATTGGTGTTAAGTGAGTGTTAAGATAAAGGGTAAAATTGATAATTCAGGTTTTACACTCCAATTTAAATAATTTGTCACTCCCTTTTCTTGTGCTGTGAGACCTGTACGTTGCTGGTATAAAATTAGGAAAAAGACATCCTAATTTTATACCAGCAACATACATGTCTCAAAACACAAGAAAAAGGGGTGACAAATTGCTTTAATTTAGAGTGGATTATCAGTTTTACCTTTCATTTTAACACTCACTTAACACCAATACTAATGGATGACTATTTTAACTTAAAATGTAATAATCGAAGGATTATTTGGGTGCAATTAAAATCCAAGGAACCAATTTGAGAAAAGACTATAGTCGGAGGACCATTTTGCGAATTAACTCTGTACAAATATACAATTATATATGATATACCTTATTGCACTATGTCAACAAACACTAATTATACTGGCTATAAGTCCTATAATAATAATAGTAATAATAACTCATTTTTTATTCTCTTTCATTAGCAAAGTTCAACTAAAACTTAGTTGGGGATGGGGTCGACTAGTTTGATTGCTTTTTAGTTTTTGTTTTAATTCATTACCAACAACAATTACTATAATTTGAACTACTTCTCTTTTTGTTTCGTGAATAATTCAAATTTATTCCGAAGCAGACAGGACACAAGTTGCATATGAAACCAGTCTTATATTAACATTTTCTAATACCGTGTCTAAAATGTCAGAAATTGAATTTATGAAAAACATATACCATTTTTAGTCTCACCATGATAGAGATACCGAATGTCATATGCTATTCAATCATATGGTTTTTGACACATAATTTATTAAGTTAAAGTTACAATGGTACAATAAGAGTGATCACAATAGTAATTTTTGTTGAATTTTTGAGTGAGTTTTTTGTAAGGTGAAAGAGAGAAGGTGAGAGTATGTCCGTAAGGGATGATTTTTTGTGAGGCTGGTAAATAAAGAAAAAAAGCGAAAACAGCTTTGTTGGTGTGCGTTTCATGTACCAACTACGCCCGGTGGATGCATAAACAATTTAGGGTGTGTTTGGTTCGCACATAGGGGTGGAATGAGAATGGGTATCAAATAGTAGTGCTTGGGAATGAAACCTTCATTTTATTTGGGTATGAGTTTTTCAATTGATGGGGCATTCGAAACCAATAGTAGTATTCTAAAAACCTATCAACCAAACAACAACAATCACTTTCATACCCATTCCTATGGACGAAATCCACCAACCAAACACATCCTTAGTTTTTTGCCTTTTCCCTTTCATTTTCTTCCTCTCCCTCTCTTTCTCCTAGTTGGCATCCAAAATGGAGTTTTTTTTTTTTTTTTTGCCTATGTGGAGAGAGCTGGATGTGACATGGCTTAGGAGAGAGGGCATATTTTTTTTTAAAAAAAGGTTTTGCTAATTAGAGTTTTTTCTCATTTTAAGGTTGAAAAAAAAAAATTACACGTAATGAGCATGTCATGGTGATCACTTTTTTTTTTTTTTTTTTTTTTTTTTTTTTTAATTCAATTTATTTATTTGGCACTTAAAAAATTTAATTGATAATGTTACTTTTATCCAGAAACAGAGTTAAATCAGAAGATTAAATAAGAGCATTCACGTTAGTGAATTTTAATGGATTTTGTGCAGAAGAAAAAATCAAGCTATGATTTTTAAGAAGGTTTTTTTTTTTTTTTTTTTCTTTTTTTGAGAGCTAAAAGAAGCGAATATATTAATCACGAATAATCAAATGTTTAATACAATCAGGATAAGAAAAGAACCAAGTACGAGGGTCAGACTGAGACGTTGTAGCTCCTTTGTGGCTGCCAAAAACCTTTAAAAAAAAATCAACTATTGAGGGTTACTCTAAGAGCACCACAATGGTTGGGGAGAATTGGGGGATAATGTAAGAGTGATTAGGAAAGAGAATGTGGGAAGGGGAGGGAAAAAAAAACCAAAACTAAAAAACAAAAATAAAAAATAAAAAAGAACCGCGCCTGTGTGGGCTGCTGCTGTGCACAAAACGCGCACAGCAACTGTTCCTTCATTTTTTTTTTTTTTTTTTTTAATGTCTGACATTATTTTTAACATTTGCAAATGAATTCTTTCCAAATTTATTCCCCCCCCCCCACATTAGCTATAAACTTGAAGTGAGTGAATTAATGCTGCATTCTCCCCACATTATCTACTGATGTAGATGCTCTAATGTAAGTTAGTGGATATATAAAGAAATAAAAGATTAAAAAAAATGGAAGTAGGCTAGAAATCAGTTGGCAGAAATGGTAGGAATCTTTACTAAGAAAAGGAAAAAAGAAATTTAAGGTACATAAGCAATCATATAAATATGGTACTCAATTTGGAAAGTATATATATAGAAATGTAGAAGCAACTGTCATAATGTAAGATGCATGTGTCATGTGTCATGTGATTTCCATCTTTAATGCTTTTCCACGTAACCTCTCTCACGCAAAAAATAAATAAAAATTGTTGGACAACTCAAAATGTAAGTTTAATTTGATTATAGATATTTTTGGGTAAAAAAACTTAAAAATAATTAAATGTGAAAATGCAATTAAACTTTAAAAAATGCATTTCACTTGTCAGACATGTAAAAATGTGCAATCAAACTAACTAGTCATTTCTTCAAGTAATTATACAGTTTGTTGAATTAGTTGATAAGTGGTGTGTCATTGTATATGGAGTATAATTTACTTGTCATTTTCAAACGAAGAACTTCGTATGACACTAAGGTAGACAAAGAATCTAACAATGAACTTAGACAAAGACCGAAGTGCCAATGCTTAAAAGAGAAAGGTGGAACAAAGATGAAGTTGTAAGGTGAAAATGCGCAAATAACTTTATCCAAAAAATCTAAAGAAAATTCCATTAACAAAAGAGAATCTCACCAATTCATCTCATCCTCTCTTGCCACATAGAAAAAAATCCAATGAAAAACTCTCCATTTCAAACCAATGGTGTTTCTCTTATTGTATTCATACTAGAGTTGTCGCATGAGCGACAATGTTTAATTAATGATATTGTCTAAACAGATTCTTAATATTCCAGAGAGCGATACTAGTATAAATAAATAAATAAATAAATAAGAAGAGGTTGATGACAGTGAACATTGCTGGAGAATGCTTCATTTGACTTTTGATTAAGAGCCACAAAAAATTTTAATTTGTAAATTTTTTCTTTATGACAAAAACCAATAAATAATCTCAAATGATAATGCTCTAATACTTTATGTTGACTAATTAAATCGGTCAAACGCAAGAATAAACATCGTACAAGCACATGAGATGTGCCCTAGTGTGGCCTGCGGGTGTGTGGTGTATACATTGCATACATATAACATATGCAGATAAACAAGGTTCAAATTTCAAAAGGGTGGTGGCCTGCTCCTATATATATATTTGGACTTTAATTTTGGTTTTATTAGTATTGTGATTCAATGCACCGTGCATGCACCCACCAGCCGTAATGCAATTACAAATTTAATTCCTTAAAATCAAAATTCTTTTCCTCGTACAGTAGATGGACGACGACACTTTGATTAGTATTTAAGGAATTAGACTCTTCGAGTTGGATACTTCTAGCCGGCTGGCCGGCCATAATATGCATTTCATTTCGATCGTTTTTCTCATGAACTTAGTAATGAATTGGGACCATTCATGAACCTAGCTACCTAGCTAGATACTTCATTACTCAAATACACACAAAAGGGAAAAAGAGTTCAACTTAATAATGGAAATAATAAAGTAGAACAAAATAAAGTTTATATATAACAGTAACGATAGGATTTAGAGTGAATCACGGATTTACTTGTATTGACGCATATTGTTTAGCTGTATACTAATATAACGCTCAATAAATATTTTTGAGTTTTAGAATCTTGATCTTAAACTGATAGGACCTCTTTCTAACACAGAGCTCATGATGTCAAATTCATTGAATAGTTTATAATAAAAAGAATAAATACACCCAATATGGTCCCTCGACTATAGCTAAATTCACAAATTGGTCCTCGACTTTTAATTTCAACCAATTAAGTCCTTAACTTTGCAATTTTAACACAATTTGGTCCTTTGTCGATTTGACCGTTTGTTGACTGCGCTTTTTTAGGATATATATGTAATTCATGGTCCATCGCCGGTTTTTTAAGGTTCCGGTTGCATTTCTAGACCGCACTATTACATTTGAATCCACTGTCGGCGCTGCACCCCATGCCGGAGAGATTATAGCTTTTGATAGATAGATCGCCGAAGTCCCTAGAGTGGCTCTTCGAGAAAGCCGTGACTTCAAGCGAAGTAGACAAGTTGAACCGGCTCGGGATCTCCAAGCAGCAAGCGGAGAAGCACTTCCCCCCTCCGAAACGGCGCTGTCACCTCTAAGAGCGTTCTCTAAGCTGAACCGGCTCGTGATCCCCAAGCAGTAAGCAGAGAAGCACTTCCCCGTCTGAAACAATGATGTCACCTCCAAGAGCGTTCTCTTGAGCTTTGCACGTGAAATTACATATATATCCTCAAAGATCGCGGTTAACAAACGGTCAAATAGATGGAGGACCAAATCGTGTCAAAATTGCAAAGTTAAGGACTTAATTGGTTGAAATTGAAAGTCGAGGACCAATTTGTGAATTTAGCTATAGTCGAGGGACCATTTTGGGTATTTACTCTAATAAAAATAATGGGTTGATTAATAATTATTTTTTGTCTCATTTTATGTATTTGGCTTGATCAACCGATTTGGCTCAAGTAGTTATTTACAAATTAATTTTTTTAATATATATTTAGTTTATCATTATATTAGTACAGTATGTAAAAATTATATATTTTAAAATTACATTAAAAGCACTATTAAAAGAGACACAACACCCACTTTGCATGTGATCATTATTCTTACAAGTTTTATCTTGGTGTGTTAAAAATGGATACAAAGTTCTATTCGCGGTGTGTTAAAGATGGATACAAATGGTATGTTTTCACATTTATATTACTTACTAGTCTTTTCTATGCACGATGCGCAAAAACATATGCCCAATATTTATATTTTTTTATAATAACTAAAAAATTCCTACTAATTAATATCTATATGAAATCAAATTTATTTATTATAATAATCCAATATATAATGTCTACAAATATTATTATCATTAAATAATATAAGAAAATATATGGTGGATGCATGTGCATGGTAACAATAATGGAAAAGATAACGGAAATTATAACGGTGGGGGTATATCTGTCCAAAAAATTATATAGTACAACTCTAAAAGCACAATGTACAAAATGATTAGCATTAAAAATATGGACATAAATGAGAGATATAACTTTAATTGAGTTTTTAGAAATTATATATATCCTACTAAACACCTTTAGCATTTTGAAAGTCAAAATTAGACCCTTGAAAAAAAAATAAAATTGTTCAAGTGTCAAACATATAAAACAAAAATTAATGTAGCCAGCACTTTGTCCCTTAGGGTGTGTTTGGAAACCTGGAAAATGAGTTTTGGAAATTATTTTTCAAATTTTCATTGTTTAGATGTGTGTGGAAAATCAAGTCAACGGAAATCATTTTCCGTTGACTTTGAAAAATAGGCTTGTTTTGGAAGAAAATGACTTCCCCTTTTTTTGGGGGAAGTCATTTCCCAACTTTTACACCAACATCACACCACCACCAACATCATCAACACCATACCACCACCACCTCACTACCACCATCACCACCACTACTGCTGCCGCCACCACCACTATACCACCGCAACCACCGCCACCACACCACCACCATCACACCACCACCACTACTACCACCAACACCATACCACCGCAACCACTACCACCACTAACACCATCAACACCATACCATCACCACCACCACCGCTGCCACCACCACCACCACCATACCACCGCAACCATCGTTGCCGCCGCCACCACCATACCACCACAACCATCACACCACCACCACCACCACAACACCGCAACCACCGTCGTCGCCACCACCGCTGTCGCCGCCACCACCACCATACCATCGCAACCACCGCCGCCACCACCACACCACCACTGCCGCCACCACCACGACCATACCACCGCAACCACCACCGCCACGACCATCGCAACCACCGTCGTCGCCACCACCACCACCACCATACCACCGCAACCACCGCCACCACACCACCTCTACCACCACCACCACTGCCACCACCGTCATACCACCACCAGTTATTATTTTTATTATTATTATTATTATTATTATTATTATTATTATTATTATTATTATTATTATATAACAAATAACACCACTACCACTACACCACCACCACCACCATAATATTTTTGATATATTATTAGTTATTTTTTTATTATATTTATAATAATTATTATTATTATATTATATATTATTAAACATGTTGTAATATTCTAAATAAAATAATTAAAATGTCTAATTATACAATTCTACTCATTTTTCAGAAAATGAACCAAACACAGAAAAACAGTTTTCCAGAATGCAACCAAACACTGGAAAGGCAAATATTTTCTGAAAAATGACTCATTTTCCAGAAGTCATTTTCCTGCTTTCCAAACGGACCCTTAATTGAATTAACCCGGTGCAAATAGGGATTAGTCTAAGTATATTTAAACTTAAAGTGTCTCATACGATTTGAATTTGCTCATGACACCTCATGGTCTGATAAAGAAAACATATAAAACAAAATTAAGTTTCCAGTTTAATTTAAGCCTATTATTCCTCGATTTTTTATTTTTATTTTACACAACCATTTTTATAATTTATTATGCTAAGCTGAAATTGTATTGTCCCCGATATATAATGATACAAATATTTTTAAAAATCAAAGCTTCAATTAAGCTTATTATTGGCACTTGACTTATTCTTCTAAAAGGCGGAATCCCAACCCTAAGAGCCCCCACACCCCGATCCGACAGAGCATTTAAAAGAATGTAAATCATGATAACTCAACTGAACATGAACCATAGAGCCTAGACATGTGCTCACTGCGCACAAGGAACCCCTCAATTGACTTATTCAATGTATGTAACGTTGCTTATTCGGAGAGAGACTACTGCATGTGTTGATTGGATAGCTATCCACCGTGATCTTTTTGTGCTTGGTTTATAGGTTTATGACCACCCTCCAAAGGATTTGAACTTGATTTTTTCTCCTAATATTATTGATATCATTTGGTCAAAAAAAGTTATGTACTACTTTTTGTTTGAAGCTCCTTTGAAATTAAAAAAGAAAAAATGAAAATGAAAAAAAAAAAAAAGAAGAAAGTCTTGACTTACTATTGTCATTTGCCTTATTCAAAGTAGGTAAATACTGTTAAAGACCTTATGGTCAAGCAGCATAGGTGTGACTCTCTCAAATAAGAGGTCACAGATTACTCTAGCTTCGTGCTTCAATAAATTGATAAAATATATATGGACATATACTACATTATAAAACAATCACTAGTACTAATATATATATATATATATATATATATATATATATATACTTATTGAGCGAAATTAATGTTGCTCATTTAGCATATCTACAAGAAATTTGATGCATGTACTGATTGAATGACTAGCCATCACAATCATTCTATACTTGATTACAAATTTATTATCACCCTCTAGAAAGTTGGATGGATTTAATAATTTTGTAGATATTGTCGATATCATTTGTCTAAATTTTATGTAATTTTTGTTCAAAAACTTGTTTATCCTTTGTTAAAAAAAAAATAAATAAATGCATGAGATGAATAAAGCGTTGCTTGGGAAGCAAGCTTGGCGTTTGGTAATCAAGCCACATTCTTTGGTGGCTCGGGTTTACAAAGCGCGTTATTACCCGAGGTGTGGTTTCTTTGATGCAACGGAGGGTAGTAATCCCTCTTACATTTGGAAGGGTATTATGGCGGTACAAGGGGTGTTGAAGGAGGGGTGTAGGAGGGTCGTTGGGAATGGGGTGGACACGATAATTGGTTTGGATCCCTGGTTGCCAGATGACGACAACCTGTATGTGGAAACAGAGTTGCACCAGTTTGTCTTCGGGGCTCAGGTAACGTCTTTGTTAAATGACCAAGGTACGGGATGGGATTATGATTGTGTTAATGATATTTTTAATTCGCGTGATGCAAGATTGATTATGAATATTCCGGTTAGTTGGCGCAGGCCTGTTGATCGGTGGACTTGGCATTGGGATCCGAAGGGGATGTATTCTGTTAAGTCATGCTACAAACGGATTACCATGGTTGCTTCGGATGATCGGCCATGGTCACGTATATGGAATTTACATGTTCCCCCTAAGGTAAAATGTTTCTGTTGGCAGCTAGCTTCTGAGTTTCTTCCCACACGTGATGCATTGGCTGCGAAAAGGGTATCTTGTTCACTTGATTGTCATATGTGTAGGTTTGCCGCCGAATCTGCGCTCCATCTTTTTGTCAACTGTGCGGAGGCCAGGCGGGTTTGGAACCTAGTGGGTGTGCCACAGCTGAATAATTATGCAGGTGATAATATCTCTGATTGGTTTTTTTTGGTGTGTTAGTAAGTTGTGTGCTGACTCTTTGCCAAGGTTTGTAATGGTTTGTTGGGGATTGTGGACAAGCAGGAATGAAAGTGTCTGGAAGGGCAGTGTGCATAATTCAGCCTTGGTGGTGCAGCGTGCCCTAGACTTTCTGGAAGGGTGGCGTGGGGCGAATCAGGAACACCGTGTGAATGGGGCGAATCAGGAACACCGTGTGCACTGGAAGAAGCCGCGGTTGGGCAGGTTAAAATTAAATACGGATGTTTCTGGGCGCCAGGAAGATGGACAAATGGGGTTGGGTTGGGTGCTGCGGGGGGATGATAATGGGGGGTTCTTGGCGGCTAAGAATGTGCTTGTAGCAGGAACTTATTTGGTGAAGGAAGCCGAGGCCTTGTGCGTAAGAGAAGCTCTCAGCTGGCTGAAGGCTACGGGACTAGGACGCGTGGAAGTGGAGATGGACTCACAGTTGGTATGTAATGCTATTCGTTCTGTGTCTTTTAGTTCTGCTTTTGGCTATTTGGTGGATGATGTAAAGGATTTGGCATCTGAAATTGAGGGTGTTGAATTCTATTTTGTTAAGCGATCTGTGAATCGTGCCGCTCACTCTGTTTCTAGGGAGGCCTTTTCTGTGTCAGGTTGCGGGGAGTGGCTGGACTCCCCTCCATCTTTTCTTGTAAACTTTCTTCATTCTGATTTAATGAATTAAGTTTACTTTCTCAAAAAAAAAAAATAAATAAAAGCAATCTTGGTTATAGAAAATAGCGAGAAGAAATGGCAAAAATGCCCTAAAATAGATGACCAAGTGAGTAAGCGTGTTTCTTGGATTTTTTTATTTTTGAATGCTTTTGACTCTATTACAATATAGTATTTGTTCATACATACTTTCTCAACCTACTGAAACACAAAGAGTTAATACCCCCACAGTGCAGTTCAAAACTGAGACCTCTCATTTGAGGGCCACAACTATGTCGCTCGACCATAAGACTTTTGGTATGTTTCTTGAAATTTAAAATGTCACAAATTTGATTTTTGTCAACATTTTCTTTGTCAAACCCATCTATTACATAAGAATTCAAGTTTACTTAGCCCACATGGGCTTAGCTTAATGGTTCAGTGGACAGTATTTGAGAGAAGAGACTAAGGTTCAAACCTCGACGATGATAGTATGGAAATTATGTCTAAAGTGTGCAGATTTTTTGTGCGCACCGGTATTTGACATATTTATTTTATATTTTGAACTAATATATTAGTTATTTGAATAATTATGCTTAGTGATTATTAATGGACCATTATGATTGTACATATAAATATTAGTATTAATGGGAGTTGGGCAAGGTGGATTAAAGTAGTCTCTTTACATCCTCCCTCTCAAATGCTCGATCAAGTTGGGATTCAACCTTTTAAAAGAAGACTTGAAGTTTACTAGGATAATAATGGTAAATTTAACTCATGATTCAAAATTGAAAAAAAAAAGAAGGTTGTGATAAATTAAAGGGGGAGCATATGAAATGAAAAGTCAAAAATCTTGGGTCAAATTGCAGTTTGGTTTTATACGCATGGAATCATTGCGGAGTTGTCGCCATCGAAAGGGATAATAGAGATGGAGAGAGGGGAAGCGAAACTATGGGCGGGATAGCGGATTTCGCATTTGGTTTAATTTGGCGATAAGACCCTGTAACTAACTCGGTTTGCGTGACTCAACTTTCCCCACCATGGATAAGTTTTTCCTATCAATATCTCTTTCTAGTATTCCCTACTCTCTCTTTACCAATTTCTCATCCTCACAATATATATGTATATTCAACAATATTTCATAAATTAATAACATTTTTATATACTAATTATATAAATAAATAAAGAAAGTCATTTGTCTAGGAATTTGATATAACAAAAGATGGGTTTAGTTTACTTACGTAGGAATAGTATGTAGTGTCATTTTTATTTAAGATAAACGTAGGAATAGTATGTAGTGTCATTTTTATTTAAGATAATAAAGTATTGTGTGAAGTTAATATTATTTTTTGCTTTAAGTGTTTAAGAAATTCGTATTCCAATGTCGATTATTAAAATAGTAGAGTAATAATACTAATAGAGATATACGAAGTGTGTAATGTAAATACTGAAATGTTTCATTTTTTAGCCACATCTCTACCTTCAAAATCGAGAAGTGGATCGTCCTCGATCAGTTCATGGATGTCATAATGTCTTCTTAATTAGCGTCGTTTCACTAGAGGTTACATTAGGGTCAAAACGCGTCGCGACTAATTTAAAAAGCTACTAACCAAGTGTCACGCCAGCCATATTGACGAAACCTCGTAATGTCTCCCGTGCCTCAACGCTATAAAAGTCAAGCCCAACACCTTAAGATGGATCTTTGGGACACTTTCCTTAGTATACTTTTCAACCTAATTGGAGCTCCATAAGCCCACTTGTAGCCCCATATTGGACTAAGGACTATTGTAAGATGGATCTTTTGGGCACTTTCCTTACTATACTTTTCAACCTAATTGGAGCTCCATAAGCCCACTTGTAGCCCCATATTGGACTGGCAAATTATTGTGTGGATCATGGTCCACACAATATTATGTGGACCATAACAAAAAGTACATTTTTAATATGTTACATGTACATTATTTTTATATTGTATGTACATTATACAATATAATGTACACTCAGTACAAAAATAATGTACATCCCCTAAATACAATGTATATTATTTTTATATTGAATGTATATTATTTTTGTACTGAATGTACATTGTTTTACAGTATATAAAATATGGTCTATACAACTTGTGTGGACCAATAATGATTGTATTGGACTAAGGACTATTGTAAGATGGATCTTTTGGGCACTTTCCTTACTCTACTTTTCAACATAATTGGAGCTCCATAAGCCCACTTGTAGCCCCATATTGGACTAAGGACTATTGTAAGAAATACTCGGCAAATTATGCTATGGAACCGTGGACACGATTTTAAAACTGTCATAATTGTAAATATAGAGTTTAAAAATTATGAACATAGAGTTCTATAATTATAAACATAGAGTTCTGTAATTGTGAATATAGAGTTCAATAATTGTGAATATGAAGTTCAAAAATTATTAACATAGAGTTCAGTAATAATAAACATAGAGTTCTGTAATTGTGAATATAGAGTTCAATAATTGTGAATATGAAGTTCAAAAATTATGAACATAGAGTTCAGTAATTATGAATATAAAACTGTGTCCACCTTGCAAGGTGTACACAGTTCCACGGCATAAGAATTGAGTATTGTTGGGTTAGACCAATACCTAATATTACATCACTATATATCATTTACGTTGACATATATGCATATGCATACTTATGTGTAATATGCTTCATATTAGTGATATAAATATTTTACTTGGTATTTGGATATCACATTATAATATGTGATTGTGTCCAGAAAAATAAATATTACGGAGTATAATTTTTGTTCTGGTAAAAGATGGATTCTTTTTATGCAGGAATATATACCATGACCTATAATAACACAACCAAGTGTCCATATATGAAAGAATCAATTTTGCCTGCATAGGCACCTCTCAACTGGTCATAGAGTGAAAGTTATAAAGAATGATCAGGGATCGAGTCTCACCAGCAACAGTGTGGGAGCAACCTCTCAAAGTGAGGGGGTAAACAAAGGTCTAGCCTGCCGACCTCGTCTTGAATGGTCGGCCGGAGGTCAGCAATGAACCCCAACCCGTGAGGCCGTGGCCTACCTCTCGCCGCCACAACAGCACCACGACGAGGCCTCATGTGGTGGATTGACTTTGGAGATATTTATGGAAGATGAATGAGACCTATGGGGATTCTACCACATATGAGTCCTAGCAAATGAAGAAGAGGTGCGTTTCCGTACGCGCACCCATGGGCCTCGGATGACGGGTCGGCCGGAGCGTCCACTCTCCTTCGTTGACGATCACTCGCAACTCGGAGAGTGGGGGGCTGATGATGGATATATTATAAGTTGACCCAAACCGACTTGAGAGCACGGAGCAAGAACGGGGCCCCGGGGCGACGCTACGTGCCCGAGCTGGCCGCCTCGGCAGGAGGTAGGCACGGGGTCGGCAGGTGACCTCAGACGCGAACGCCGGGAGGTCAGCATTTTTGGCGGGTCGGCCAGAGCATGTACTCTCCTTTGCTGACGATCACTCGCAACTTGGAGAGTGGGGGACTGATGATGGATATATTACGTATGGATCCTAACCGACCCGAGAGCATGGAGCAAGAACGGACCCCGGGGCGGCACTACGTGCCCCGTTCGTCCACCTCGGCAGGCGCCTCAACACAAGCCCTCGGCACGAGGCTTTGGCGGGCGCCTCAACACCAGGCCCCGGTTTGACACGGATTCCCGGTTTGCCCCGTCCGTCCACCTCGGCAGGCGCCTCAGCACAAGACCTTAGCAAGAGGTCGGCACGGGGTCGACAGGCGACCCCGGCAACCGGGCGCGGTCAAAGCGGGGATAATTGCCCTCCCTTTGTCCACGGCTTGTATAAAAGGCCCTCCCTTTGTCCATTTATGACACATTCTACATAGCTTACATACTTTGTCTTAGCAAATCACTGTAATAGCCTATTTACGGCATCTAATAAAATATACGGTCTTCACGGCCTTTACGACATCGTTCTATTTATTTTCTATTCGTATTCTTATCCGGGTTTAATAATTCGGGCCACCCCGGGTTAATTAATTCCATCAGGTTGCATCAAGGAAATTACCATTTGGAAAGTAACGAGTTTTTAATAACCTACAAACCAAAGAAGAAGGTTTAACTAGCAATCGCCAACCTTGTTTAGCTAAGAGTGCGATATTAAACTCCCAAAGCCGCATAAAACCCATCCCGCCAAACTTTTTTGGTATCGTCATACGAGACCAACTCAACCAATGTATGCCTCTAGGGACCAAAAACGGTTCAGGGACTTCTCAATTGAATCACAAACATTAATCGGAATCAAGAATACCACATCATATCGTAAATACAATACAGAATCATTATAAATTGTAAATTTTTAAAAGGTAAATTGTTTATCTTTGGATCCTGATCAACTTTGCAAGGTGGACTTGAGACCACAAAGTAATTTGCCTCTTCGATGGACAAATTATTGTGTGGACTGTAGCCTACATAGCTGTGTGAATCACGGTCCAAAATATCGTCGTGAATATTATGAGTACAAATGATGTACATTATATGTTAAAATAATCTAAATTATATGTTAGAATAATGTACATTATGAGGTAACATAATTATATTATGCTTTAAAATAATGTACATTATTTTTTAGAATAATGTACATTATGAGTTATAAAAATGTATGTTACAGCTGAGAGTATGAAAAAATAAAATAACCAAAACAACATCGTTTTTTGGCCGTGGTCCACATAACTGCGTGGACCACGATCCATACAATAACTATTCTCTTCAATGCAATTGTTATGCCATAGACCCGAGTCTACCTTGCAAGGTGGACTAAAGTCCAAAACACGCGTCTAGAAATTAGTAGCACCGTTTCCTAAGTAAATTATATTTTTTTTAGTAGCACCGTTTCCTAAGTCAATTATATTTTTTTCGGCACCGTTCCTCATCCATTGATATTTTTTATTTTTGTGAATATAGAGTTCAAAAATTGTGAATATAGATTCAAAAATTGTATTATACTGTTGATATAATTGTGAATATAGAGTTCAAAAATTGTGGATATAGAATTTAAAATTGTGAATATAGAGTTCTGCAATTATAAATATTGAGTTCTATAATTTTATATATTAAGATCTAAAATTATGAATATTCAATTCAAAAATTGTGAACATTGAGTTCTGTAATTTTGTATATTGAGATCTAAAATTGTGAATATTCAATTTAAAATTGTGAATATAGAGTTCAAAAATTGTGAGTATAGAAGAACGAATTTAAAGACAAACAGCAAGGAAGAAAGTATTTTAAAATAAAAAATAAAAAATCAGACGGTGTTGCAAAACAATGCCGTTTTGGACCCGAGTCCATCTTGCAAGGTGGACCCATATCCACAACATAATTTGCCATATGAACATATATCAAATGAGGCGAATATAAATTACCATATATCTATTGAACATAACCACAAACAACACGTCCGCATATCACTCTCACGGTTTAAACAACAGCCTCACTTTAAGTCTGAAACACCAAAAGCACAACCAAATAACATACTTCCAAGTCTTCGTTCTAAAACACACACTCAATTGTCTTTGAAAATCGACAACCCAGTTCAAATTCCCTGATATAAAAAATGGATTCATAATCACCATCATAACCCTGACAGTTTATTTCCCTCATCATTGTTTCACAGCTTCAATCCTGCAAAAAAGACAGTTCAAAAATGAAACTTAGAGTCTAAGTTGACAGGCAGAACAGTAACATCTCATAAAAGAAATGGTACAAGCCAACAAATGAGATTAGTTAATCAATTGGGACTTGAAATCTCCATTATAGCCAGACTATTATGCACCTGAAACCAATTACAAGCCGGCTAAACAGCTACTTCAAAATAGTTTGCTACAGATATAGCGGTATTAAATTTAGCATGGCAATTAATTGACCAATTGATCTTTATTTATTCGTGTAAATTTCAATAGTGAAGACTGTTGGGAGGATGTAATCCCTCACCAAAAACGCTAAACGAGAAATCTAAATTGATATGTGCAGGCACAAGCTTGTACTTTCATGTGTGAAGAAGTAGCATGATATTTGACATTAATCAAAATGAAGGAAATTGTTAGTTTTCACTCTTATTCCTCATACATCCCATGGCTTCCACCCTTCCATAGATATATCACATACACAAATGTCTCTGTTCCAATAAATGAATTTATTCATCTTAGAGCACATGTATTACGTATAGAGAAATTAAGCATTCACATTCTACGAATGCACACGTGGCAAGCCCACTTGAAGATTGAATTTTCAGATTGGGATGTGATATATTTTCAAGTAATATGCATACCGAGATTATTAGAGTAGCACTGAAAGCCTAGATTTTTCAGATTGAGACATATATTCTCAAGTAGCATGCCTACTGAGATTATTGAATCAAGTAATGGACTTTAATCAAAGAAAAGGAAAAAAAAAATGTAAAATGGTTAATATACCTCCTCATCATCATCTCCCCCATCTTCCTTATTCTTCTTAAGACGGGTGGTACCACCCTCCTTGCTGATGGGTAACTTCATTGCTCCAAACGGTGTATCCACATTGATATGTCCTTTCATTGTATAGCCAGTGCCTTTACCTCTAATCATGTCCCATAGAGCAGAGCCAAAGTCCTTGGGCCTGAAGGTGACGGGGAGATCAATGGAGCTAGTTCCTTTTTTCTCAATTTTGGCTGCCTTCTCAAGTTCTGCACTCCCAATGCTCACATCAGAGAGCCAAAGCTCATAGTCAAGTGAATTGAGCCCCAGATCAAAGTCATTCATGTTTTCCAATTTCAAGTGAAGAATAGCAACAGTTTCTTCAAAAGAGAACCTCTCGAAATGAATTTTCTCGAGATCAATATCTGGCTTGTAAGGAATGGGAATTTCACCAGTTTTCTCCAGAGGCAGGGTTAACCTACCAAAAACAGGCACATCCACTATGAGATCCACCTTTATCCTATATGGAATTATGCTTCCGGGCTCTATATCTTTATATGTACTCTTAATGTCATCATAAATCAGGTTAACTGGTATCTTGACAGTTTCTGAACCATGTGCATGTATAGTTCCGGCATCAGGGATCAGCCCCGAGATCAGCTTCCTCCCATCACTCTCAATTAAGTAGTTTATGTCAATGAGAGGGATTGGAACAGGATTTGGGTTCGTCACAAGCACATCAACCACTATTTCTGCCCTTTCAAGATTGATATGAGGAATATGAATCTCAGAAACATCTGCAGTTGGTTTCCCGAACCCGATTGTCTCCTCTATCTTCTCCCCTACATCATGGATAAAATCCTTCACCTTGTCCAAGAACCCACCCTGTTCTTCCTCCTTGTCTTCCTTGTCCTTGATACCCCTTTCCACTATCTCCGGATTATCAGACGATGCCATACCTTCTCACAAGCTGAGATCAATAGATATTGAACTAATTACTCACTCAATATTGCAAGCAAAATCTTAATTAATATTCATGAACACAGATTAAAAAAAAAAAAGCATTATTTTCCATTTCTTTCGTGATCACACTAATTACTACTAGTATCAGAAGCAGCAATTTACTAAACCTAACAAGCAAGTAATGCCGGTGTAATTATCTCAAAAACATCCTCCCCACAGACACTGAACTTAAAACAAGTGAATACAAAACACATACACATGATCGGAATTATAGCATTTGCCTAGATAGATTACTAGAAGTAGTACTAAATTAGGTTCAATAGTAATAATCATCAATCATCAATGGAGGAATTAGCGGTTTGAGTGGATGGAGAGTGACTGACAACTGACAAGACTACAAGAGACCACCATTCATTTCAGACAAATAAAAAAGAAAATCAACCGATCAAGTCAACCTAGATCAGATCGCATCATCATTATTCAAAAAGCAAAGCTAAACGATCAGAATCTTCAAACTCCGATGGGATGGGGATAGGGATGATCAATCAAAAAAGAAAGAATGGAGATTTACCTAACGAGAGATTATCGGCTGCAAATGATGAAGACGATCAACGAAGAGATTGTCCGGACAAAAATTATAGACACGATAATTTTTTGGTGTAATAAATACATAAGGAAATGATGAAGTCGATGACTGGTGACTGTGGTGAGTAAGTGGGTCCGGGTTGGTTTATCGGTTCACGCGGACCCGACTCATTATTTGATGCACCGACCAGCCGACACCACACGGCCCAATCATTTCAATACGGTTTTTTTTTTTTTTTTTTTATTCAGCGGTTTTTGTACGTGTCGCCTAATTTTTGGTCCAAATCATCATTTGATTTTTCACAAACACTTCAAAAATCTAACGGAAACCACCCGTGTAAAAACCTCCTTCGTTGGATTTTGGTCCATAACTTCTTTTTTTTTTTTAATTTTTATTTGCGATAAAGATTCAAATAGACAACTTTATACTACAAGTCTCAATTGAGCATATGAACTTTTAAAAATTTTAATTAAGCAAACCAACATGTTATTTCTTTGTTGCGATAAAGAAAAATATGTAAATTTATAATAATCGATCCTTAGAGTTTCAATAAGTAAAACAAACAACCAATGAGTTTCCAACGAGTAAAACCAACAAATTAGCAATCTAGTTACTAGCCGTTTTCTTCCTTTGATAAAGAAGGTGACTAGCGACATTTTACTAGTTTTCGATCCTTGATTTCACTCGTCAAAACTATGAAAACCAATTACTACATGTCAATTACCATTTCTTGAGTGTTGATGCACGGAAATAACATTTTAATATGTTTAATGATAATTTTTAAAAATTCAAATACCTAATTAACTGTTGGTATAGAACTTATGAACAAATAATTTAACTATTTTTCATTCTTAAAAAAAAAACAAAAAAAAAAAAAAAAAAAACCCCACACACAATTAAGGGTTAAAGGTCAAACATTGACATCCTAATATAAAATTAAAAATGTCACATATCACAAATCTTAAACCCTTAAAACTTCAAAATTATGGTTTTTGACATCTCCAATGTATATGATAAGTGGATTTTTAAGCTTGCTTGATAGGAAGAGAAGATATTCAAGTTGATTATCTGATTTATCGAACATGTGCATATCAAACATGTACAACTATACTTATGAATTTAAATGCTACTAAAACTCTCTCATCATTTTTACAAGAAACATATTTTGTGACATTTCTGTCATTTGTTGGACCATTATCATAACTCCGCTTTAGATCCATCATTTTGTACCCACTCACTTCTATACAGATATCATTATGTTTATAATCCTTTTGTCCAACTTACTTAGATAAAATAATAACATAATTATAACAATTAACTTTATTAACAACAATAAAATTCTTTAGGTTGAATTGCCACGTCAGCATGTTACCCGGACAACTGGTCATTTTAAGTTGAATTGCATTATTTTGCATTGTTCGAAACCTAATTGCATTATTTTGCAAGATTACCGAATTTTAAAATATCTTTTTAAATTTTATTTTACTAAATGCAAATTAAATAATTTTTTTTTAAAAAAATATAGCCTTCTTCGGTGAGAAGGCAGTCCGTTTTTTATTATTATTAATTTTAAATAACTATTTAATTTAAATTTATTAAAATAAAATTTAAAAATATACGGAGTATATTTTAAAATTCGGTAACCGCCAGGCTAGCATGTTACCAGGTCAACATGTCACTTAAGATTAAATTGTATTATTTTGCATTGTTCGAAAATCTAATTGTAATTTTTTTTTTTTTTAGTTCGATGGCCCAATTGCATTTTATTGTGTATTTAGATGGTCTATTTGACCCTTATTCTAAAATATTACACAACAAATTAAAATTAAAAATAATTTTAAAAAATAAACAAAGAAAATATACTTAATTTGACCACTAAATAGTAACATAACATGTCAAATGTGATACGGAGTATTAGACAAAATTGTGTAAATTTAGCTCTTCTCAAATGCCCAATATTTTTTTTAAATAAGTACTTTAAAGTATATCAAGACAAGATTATATTGGAATTGTTCATGCATAGATAATTGAATGTTAAATTTGCGTATTTAAATAGGCAATTCTAAGTTTACAAATACAAGATAATATAGTCAAGATAGATTATAATTGTCAATAAAATAATTGTATAGGTATGGTTGAAACCAAATACGGGACATAACGGAGAGCAAATAAAAATTAGGGCATAAAATAGTAAATATATACTAATATTGAAGAGCTAATTGCTGATTGTCAAACAAGAACATTGTGAGATAATTTCCTACTTCAATTTGTTGTGTGATTTGAATACTCTTTTTGTCAATAAATCTCCCAAGTAGTTAATATGATTGGCTTAATTATATATATTTTTTTATTTTTTTAAAACAATTATTATTATTATTATTATTATTATTAAATATTAAATATATGTATACCCTTAGGTCATTTTACATGTTAATCTAAATAGTTAATTTTTTCAAATATCTTTTTACCAACCGTTGATATAATTCGCTAATATAATCCGCTAACGCTAACCGCTAACTGCTGATTGTCAAACAAGGACATTGCGAGGTAGTTCTCACTTCAATTTGTTGTGTGATTTGAATACTCTCTTTGTCAACAGATCCCTCAAATAGTTAATATGATTGACTTTATTAATTATATTTTTTTAATTTTTCATGGTATTAATAAAATACTTGGTAAATAAATATATAACATTATTTTGTATTATAACTTTGATATTTAATTAAAAAATAGTGCACACAAAAAATATACAATGTAGTGAATATAATCAATTGATGAATTTGAATGTAAAGAATTTGTATATTGGAGAAAATAAATACGATATAACTAATGAAATTATTTCTCTTATTATTATTTTTTTTTTGAATGCTACTAGCTCTATTACATTGTAGTATCTGTTCATATACTTTCTCAACCTACTGAAACACAAAGAGCTAATAACGCCTCCACTAAGGCTCGAACTTACAACCTTCTAAATGGAAGTCCAACCCGGGTACCATTAGACCACATAGTCCAAGCCGGGTCTCTTATTTAATTTATTGATAATGAATAATTTTTTTTGAATAAAAACATTGTAGACACATAATTCTAAATTAAAGAAATGCATATGTATTATTTTTTGTTGTAACTAATAAATTATTATTTAATTTACTTCAACTTTGATTGGGATGAGGTTCGAACCTAAGATCTTTCTTATTGAAATCAATGAGTAAGTTAACAGCGAACTAACAAAAATTAACGGAAAAGATAATATTTAACGGAAAAGTTAACGGATAATCATATTCATTAAGGATAAATTATGAAATCTTATGAAAAAATTAAAATCTAATCAATCTAAGCCATTCATTTGATTAAAAAATCCAACCGCCATTTTTTCTACCCATTATAGGCCTAACTCTCTTGGGCTCTTATTAGTATAGTAGATATCAAACAAAGTCAATATTAAAAGAGTCATACTATAGCATAAATGGCCAATACCACCTCCATAAAGGTTCAAACTCACAACTTTTCATAAGGGAAAACAATTTGGTACCACTACGCCACAAAGTCATTAGCCAATATTAAAAGAGTTTAGGACAACTATAGTCTTCATTTTCAGGTAGTGTTCCAACTATTATTGACATTACTTGACTACTTGTAGCCTTGTAGGTGGCATAATTTTATTTTTTGCTACAACTTAACAAAATTGATATGTTTGGATTTAATTATTAAAATTGAAATCATCATATATAATTACAAATTGCACGAATAGTTGCCAGTTTTACATCATCATCCCCATCATAACAAGTTTTTAAATCAGTTCAATCGCTTGGTTAACCACATAATTTTATGTACCATGACGCCTCTCGTGATAATTAAAATATTTGATTGACGAAATTAAAGCTTAATAATTGTATTTTAATGCCAAACACATTGTGCTCATGTGGTACTTCTTGACTTTTTTTGAGGGAAAGTCATAGGACTGAACTCCACAGTGACCTAGTGGATATTGACTCTTCAGGCTGCAATAGATACTATCTTGTAATCTTGTATTAAAGTCAACCGTACTCAAAAAATTATATTTTAATTACAATAATACTTTTTATCCCCCCACCCACCGCACCACCCCCCCCCCCCCCAAAAAAAAAAAAAAAAAAAAAAAAGAAGAAGAGAGAGCCAATACTACTATTAACATTTTTAATCACAGAATTAACTTTGTCAAACCTAACGACGTGACCTATCACAACTCATAATCCTGAGACGGGTGGATGAGATAAATTACATGATATATCTCACTAGCCTATAGGTCCTAAATGTGGCCAGATGCAGATGTGTCTCAATTAGCTTATTGTCATCGGTAGGGTTCAAACCATGCATCATGCGGTAGTTAGCAAAACAAAACTTATAAAGTTATTTTTTATTGGTTGACTAGTTGAGGGCGAAATTTACTGTGGATCATGGTGCATGTAGCAGTGTAATCCATGAAGTAAGTATCATTCTAATTACGCTTCAGTTTCATTTGACAAAATTACTCTGTTTTTCAATTTCATTTTCCATACACACTAGTTTAATTATAGTAATACCAAAGTATCATTTTAATTTTACTACTATTTCATTTGACAATATATATTATTACATGAGCTCTATTTTGTAGTCTCATTTTTCACACACACTAGTTTAATTATAGTAATATTAAAGTATTATTTTAATTACATTATAAGTTCAATTGACAATATATGTTATTGTATGACTATAGATTTTAGTTTCATTTTTCATACACGATAGTTTCATTATAACAATACTTAGTATCATTTTTTATACGGATAATTCCCGTGTACATTGGATGTATATTGTGTGTATAAACAAGAAGAAATAGCTCGAATACTCTTTTATTCATTGATAATTGTTCTTGTGTTTTCTTAGAGAGGCTGAGAGAATGGAGAGCTTTCTATCTGAGAGAGAGAGAGAGAGAGAGAGAGAGAGAGAGAGAGAGACCCTTAACATAAAGAGCTAAAGCCCTTTATATAGGTCCAAGCGTGGGCGGGTTTGACTTTGATCCGTGGATTGGGTCCCGAATCGTTTAACCCCAACCCGATTATAAAACGAGAGCACTGACATATAGGGAAGTCGAAACCGGGATATATTCCCCATCAATTTTAATTATACTATAATTTCATTTGATAATATACATTGTTGAATGAGCTATGTTTTTTAGTTTCATTTTCCACACACTAATTTCGTTATAGCAACACTGAAGTATCATTTTAATTATACTACAATTTCATTTAATCAATTAATATTTACAACTTGATATGTGTGAAGTGTTGGACATTTTTAAAAAGAAAAATGATTATTGTCTGGATTATTTATTTATTTTTAAAAGTAAAACGAAGGATGCATTCAACTAAGGTGTGAAGACAAAGCTCTGTTTGGTAAAATAGTTAACCTATTAGCCAATTTTGATTTATTTGATCACTATTAATTGTTTGACTTAGTTAAAAAAAATTAATATAAGTGTTTGATTAATTAGTTTTTTGTAACTCCAAAATGTTAAAATTCAAAAAGTTGTTCAAAGTAACTTTTTCAATTAACTTTTTTGAAAAAAGAAATTATACCAAACAGCTATTAGCTAACAACTAATTTACCAAACACATTTATACAATCAGCTAATGTTATCGACTAGTTATACCCTCTAATTAACCCAATAAGCTATCAGTCATTTCCCAAACACGGCCAAAATATTACAAAGAAAGGAAGAGAAATGATCAACCTAATCCATACAATCAAACAAAGAAAGAGCCCTTTAGCTAACAAATGAGCTACCTTGTTCTCTAATCGTTTTGCAAATGAGATACATACATTATTAGAAAAAATACATTGTAAGTCATTAATATGAAGTAAAAGTAAATCAAATGGTGAATAAAAAAATCCTAGAATTCAGCCCTTGAACAACAAGTAATTCTGTAAAAAAAAATCCTAGATTCAATCTGAAAGTGGATGAGATTTTGGTACTTAGCTTGAGCCAGTTAAGAACTTTCCTGGTACTTGCGTGGATTATTTATAAACTCTTAGTTTATAACTTTATATGGTTGACCAATTTAGGTAGCAAATGATTTTTTCTAAAAATGTTTTATGATATTATGTCAACGACTATGAACATTAAACAGTGAGCTTAATAAGGAACAATATCAAATTTTAACATAATTATCTCTGATTATATCAATTAATATAAAAGTATTGAATTTTTTTACAATATCATGTGCTTTATAGAAATATTTTACAAGTTATACACTCATCTTATGTATCATTATAATATTTTACAAGTTATACTCCCTTCTTATGTATCATTAACAATGTATAATGTACCATTTTTAAAATACGTGACATCAAATTTACCAAAATAAATTATTTTTGATAGTTTTATCAAAATCGAATTCACCATAAATCGGATATATATCACGTAATACGACTTATATTAATTGACTATATAGCAAAATAAGTGAGAAAAAATAAAAAATGTGACGTATTTTAACTTCTTAAAATCAATGATCGATCAAAATATAATATAAGAATATAGTGAAAGTATGACAATACTAATTTTAAATTATTTGTAAATGATATATCTTGAAACCAAAACCCTGCAGAAATAAGGCGATTTTTTTTTTAATAACTCCAACACAAAAATGGTAGTGGCGCTGTTTTTTTTTTTTTTTACAACCGGAGAGTAATAGTTTATGGAATGTTGTTCAATTTAAAATCTTTATCAAATATTATATTAAATGATCTAATATTGTAATTTTATGAACATAAAATTATCATGATTTTAATTATAATATTATTTACTCAAACCCCTTATATTTTATTATTTTGATAGTAAAAAAAAGTGAAACTTTTCATCTATTAATTGTAAGTGATATGTAGATTTAATTCATCAATTATTTAAAGTATACATTTAATCTTTTAATCTTTTAATTATTATTAAAGTTGTAGATTTAGTCCATTAATGACAAAATTTATCCCTTTAATAATAATAACTAAAGTACTAAAATTTGCATCACAAATAATTGAGAAACCAAAAATACACAATGGTTATAAAGGAAGAACTAAACATTTTATTTTTTCACTTAATAAAATGACTTATTTGGCTATATATTGATAGATCAAATGTCACTTCGATAATAACTAAATGATGAAGGGGTGTTTGACAATTAAATATTAGTTGATAATTGATTTTGTTAATTGTTTTAAGTTTTAACCAATTAGTAATACTAGTTTTTTTGTATGAAAGTATTTAGTAAATTAATTGTTTAATGATAGCAGGTTGCATGTAAAATAATTATAAACGACATTAATTAATATATTAAAATGATCCTAAATAATTATTAGTTTTAGGTATAAATTTTAAAATAAATTTATTCAATTATTATTATTATTGTTGTTGTCATTTTACTATTGTTGCGATTTAATTAAAACTCTTGACTCAATTATTGCACATAAAAAAATAAAAATAAAAAAATAAAAAAGTGAAATGGGCCATTTTAAATAGTACGTCAGCCTTCAATAATAGTTATATGGAGTAATATAATACTATCTGCTTCAGTATTACAGTATACAACTATACACCCACCCGCTAGTCGCCAGATCACACATAGATGAGGAAGCTGCGATGCCTGAGCGTTGGCTAATTACACTCGCCACCACCCGCTTCAACGCGCCGCCCCTCTGCCGCCGCCCAATTCGTCTTCCATTGCCGCTTATTCCTTGCTAAAAAAGTTAGTTCCCTGTACCACTTCGCCCTCTTGGGAGCTGGGTTGTGTTTGACTGTCGCGTGCAGAATTGAGTTTTTAATTTGGGTTTATAGTTTTTTTTTTTTTGGGTGTTGTTTTCTCATTTTATCACTGATTTTACTTCTGCCTTCAGTTCTGGTATTTGCGTTTATCTAAGTTTGATCTCGTTTGCTTTTTGCAAGTTTGATGCTTCAATTTGATTGCTTCTTTGAAGAAAAAAGTAGATTTTTAGCATAATAAAGCTTAGTAATTCTGTTCCTTTTAGCAAGAGGGATTTAACTTGAGTCCACTCAGAGGTTTCAGGGTGTTTTGTATTTAACTAGGCTTCTGCTTGTGATGAATAACTTAAATTGAACGATACTGCCTTTCCCCTCCCCGTAATTTTTTTTTTTTTTTTTTTTTTTTTAAGTGTATATTTTTATTTATTTATCTTAACTCAGAATGTACAGAATGTTGAATTTGATTGTTTTTTTCATATGCTGTTCATTATCAGTCTTTCCTTAGCTTTTATTGCTAAGTTTTTATAACGTTGCCAAAATTCACATCAATTTTTTTGTTGGTCAAATCTTAATTCTGTTTCAAATTAAATGCTGAAAAAACTTTGGCAGGTGTAAAGATGTATCAAGTTGACATTAATCGTCAAGAAGATGGTGCAGAACTGCCTCCTCCACTTGCAGCAAGTGCGAGTGAGGTTTCATCCCATGTAGGTGGACGAGAAGGCAGTGCAGTTAATAGAAAAAAACAATCAAAGGTAGAAATATTTCTTATTTACTTTCCTTGAGGCCTTTGTAGCCAGTGAGTTCAGATAGTTGACCTAACATTTTCTTTTCTTTTTTTTTTTAAAAAAAATTTGTGTTGACATGAGAAAGGTTGTACATGAAATGTGACGCTATTCTTTGATCAATGACATGTGTGATGGTCTGATGGAAAAAATGATTGATTTACAGTATATGGTTATGTCAGAGCAGAGTTCCTTCCTCCTAGTTTATCTCACATCAGTTTGCACAGATTTCCTTCATCTTATTCTGTCAATTGGACTACTACCACTGAGATTTAATCTATTAAGGTCACTACAATAATTGACACTTTGGCCATCATCTAACATAGTAGCATCTCTAATTTACTCTTAAGGCTTAAATGTGACCAAAATTTTGAACTTTGCTCTTAAGCTTGCAAGTTGTGGGAGGTGGTTTGCATATGAGTATTCTATGAGATTGAGACTACCTTTCATAAACCTTTTTGGGTTGTGGGACAGGAGACAAGGGGAGTTGAAACTAGATAGCTAAGAATTTCAGAGACTTGGTTGCGTGATTACCAGTGTCACTCTATGAACACTTTGGCATTCAAATTTTGACTTATTTTTTCTTGTCACATGCATTGATTACAATTTAAAATTGTTGCAAGTTTTCCATATTTGTTATAAGCATCTTCGGAATGGTATTTACTCAGAAAATGTGTTTCTAATTGCATTAGGAGTGTCAACAGTGATATTTGTTAAATTTTTGTGAAGGTTACTTTAGTAAATGTGTGTACTGATAAGAAAAAGATGTGTATGATGACTAATGATTGAAAAGTTGAGCATACTATAGCAAGGCTGAACTATTTTCTTGATTGTCTCCTGCAATGCTACCTGTTCCTGCTCAGACAAATATTTAGAAAGTCAAAACTTGGAGACTGTATAATTTTTCTAAATTTAGGGTGCTGACTATGGATAAGAAAATTGTACAGCAGTAAACTGTGTAGTCCTGAAGCAGATGATTTATACTGTTACCAATATATGTAAACTCAAAATTAGTTCTAAATTTTAGGGTACTGGTTTCAAGTACGTAGTAATGAAGCACATGCTTTATATCGCAATTAAAATGTAATAGTTGATACTTCAATTGAGCTTCTATTGCAACTTCAACAATTATTGGAATTAGTAATTTTCAGTAGCCTTTATCGTGTTTTTATTAATTTATTTGTTTTGGGACTAAATCAACATATTTTTGCATGTGTAGTTTTCTTTGGTAAATATTACCCGGGATCTGCTGTTGGCGTACCAGAGTTTTGGGGTCGTATACGGGGATTTGAGCACATCACCTCTTTATGTCTATAAAAGTATATTTGTGGACAAGTTGCAGAAGCATCAAACACCGGATGTAATATTTGGTGCCTTCTCATTGGTCTTTTGGACAATAACATTGCTGCCTTTGCTCAAGTATGTAGTTGTGGTGCTGAGTGCAGATGACAATGGGGAAGGTATGTTAGGCTAGTATTCGTATTGCTCACTCACTACTTTTCTGTCTGATTGTCCTTCACTGTATGTACCTATATTTGTTCTGTTAGGTGGCAGCTTTGCTTTATACTCTCTGCTCTGTAGACATGCAAAGTTTAGTCTCCTTCCCAATCAACAAGCTGCTGATGAGGAACTATCTGCTTACAAATATGGCTCCACTGGGCATTCTGCATCATCTATATCATTGAAGAGATTTCTAGAGAGGCATAAAAAGGCACGGACAGTTCTACTCATCATTGTATTACTAGGGGCTTGCATGCTCATTGGTGATGGTGTGCTTACGCCTCCTATATCAGGTAGTCAATTATGACTGACAAGAATATTTTAGTGCAACTAGCAAGTCTATATACACTAGAGAATATTTACAAGTTTCTTTAGATGGTAGAAGGATATTTCACAGTTTTTGATTTCTTTGTTGTGTGTTTAGCCAACACAAAATCACCTGTAGTGTCATTAATGACATGAAGGTTACCTAGAAACATCATTTACAGAATTAAAATTGTTTTATGAAGATTTTATGCTAGCATGGCTTCCTAACTAATTAGATGCATGAATGCAATCAGTCTTTTTGTTTGACCTTGAGTAAACTTATAGTATGCATTTTCTTATGGCAGTTTTATCAGCGATTTCTGGGATTCAAGATACTGCTGAAAGCCTGCCTAATGGTAGATTCAACTTACCTTCTCTTTTTGTGATGGCTCTAAGTAGTCAGTATGTGATTACAGTGCAATACATTTGATTTACTCATCTAATTACCAGAAGTATTTGTTGTTGATAGGTGCAGTTGTATTGATTACGTGTGTTATACTGGTTGGTCTATTTGCTCTTCAGCATGTTGGTACCCACAGAGTAGCTTTCTTGTTTGCACCAATAGTAATAATCTGGTTAATATCCATTTTTGCAATTGGGCTGTACAATACAATTGTCTGGAATCCAAATATTCTCTCTGCTCTTTCTCCCTATTATATTGTCAAGTTTTTTCGGGAGACTGGAAAAGATGGTTGGATTTCACTCGGGGGAGTGCTCCTATCTGTAACAGGTATAGTACATGAGAAGCTACTTAAGTTTTAAATACAAATACACTACTAGGGATTACCTTAAATTTAGATTTCGATAATTACTTATTTTATCTTTTCATCTTTGTTGGACAAGGTACCGAAGCTATGTTCGCGGATCTTGGTCATTTTAGTTCCTTCTCAATGAGGGTAACTACTCTAGCTCTTAGCACTATGAAAGTTTTAGTTGCATTGTGAAGGACAATTATTCTTCTTTTATGGTGTTAGGACCCAAGCCTATATTTCTCTCCCAACAAATCTTCAAAGTTGAGATTTGAGATTGTTGGAAAACAAAGTGGTTTTCATTTCTCTTGTTTACTCATGTTGAATTTCTCGAGTATATGGTTTAGTCGAAGACTCGAGTCAAAGTAATTAAAATAGTCATTGCTTATAAATAGTAGGCTCTTTTAATTTAATTCTATCAAGAGAATTATCAATCTTATAACTCTGGTACTGGCTCTTTGCTAGCCACTAGGGCTTCCAATCCATTGTTCTAAGTCAGCTTCTTTTCTCCTCTTTCTGACAGTTTTCAGGCAAGCACTGTTCACATGAACAATAGTGTAAACAGTACCCTGGCACTGTTTGCCAAAGCACCATTTATGTTTTAGCTTCTCATTTTAACACTCCTGGCTGATTTTGGCTACAAAATCCAAAGTTCAGCCTCTTGTAATTACTTTATGAAGTCATTACCCTATTCATGTCATGAATGAGCCGATTTGACTTTCTTGTCACTTCATTTAGAGCCACTAATTTCCATATTTGGTGCTAGCCCTCTCCAAAACAGCATATTTAGCATAATTTTCTGTTCTCGCTGTGCACTTTCCAGTAATGAAACACTGAAGATTGTTTTTTCAATGTTTCTTATGAACTTGAGGGGGCATGTTGGAAATGAAGTGTTATTCATATTATCTTATTTTACTGTTCTGGAGTTACGGATTCATTTAGTTAGTTGAAGAATGAAGTGCCATATTTAACACGTGTTGTAAAGTGCTGAGATTCTCATTGCCTATAAATACTAGACTCTTGTAATATATCCTGTCAAGATAATTAAGTTAACAATCTACGTTATCTTGTTATACTATAGTCCCTTGCTTAACTCATATTGTTTCTGGTTTACCGGTGGGTGGTGGCTCTTTGCCACCCACCAAGTCTTCCAATTCATTATTTCTTAACAGAGATAATTAGCCAGCTTCTAGTACTCTTCCTTAAAAAGGAAACAAGAAGAAATGAAATATTAATTTTAATTCCTTGCTGTAATATAGAATCATTACTATCCCTTTTTCCTGGTTACATTTGCAGCTTGGTACACTAATATCTCTGAGCATACTAGTTCACTAATGAGAGTTTTCGAACTTTCTTTTACTTACCAATCTGATTTTTCTTTTCATTGCAGCTTGCATTTGTATTTGTTGTGTATCCTTGCTTAGTGGTACAATACATGGGTCAGGCTGCTTTTCTGTCTAAAAACATTGCATCAATCTCAAATAGTTTCTATGATTCTGTCCCTGGTTAGTATTTTTCTCAAACTTAAAATGAGATTTTATCAAGGATGGCTAGTATGATCAACTTTTCACATAACTGCTTGTTCTCTTTCCTTCTCTTACAGGTGCTGCACATTGGCCTGTTTTTGTTATTGCTACCCTTGCATCTATTGTTGGCAGTCAATCAATTATCACAGCTACATTCTCCATTGTCAAACAATGTAATGCACTTGGATGCTTCCCCAGGGTCAAGATTGTCCACACATCAAGGCATATATATGGCCAGATTTATATACCGGAAATAAATTGGATACTAATGATTCTTACTCTGGCAGTGGCCATTGGCTTCCGTGATACAACTTTAATTGGAAATGCATATGGTAAGTAAATGTTTTGAAGATCTTACTCCCCCATTTTCATTTTCCAGATTCTGTTCTATTCACCTTTACATTGATGATAGAATTTTCACATACTTTGTGTTTCTACATGTTATATATTCAGCTCATATTGCCTACAAAAATTTAACTGAATCTGTCAAAGGCATTGCTTTCCTATTAGATCAATATTAGTTGAACTCAATAAAAGTAAGTTGTTTAATTGTCCCTTCCACTCCTTGAGTGCTTAAAAATAATTTATATAAGCAACTATTTCACTTTTTAAAAAAAATTATATAATTTAATATAATTCATAGACCTTTATGGTCCCTCCTTCCAATTTTAACAACCAATTTATGTTTTAATATCTATTAGACCTTCCTCACGAGTGGGCCACATTATTTACTTTTAGTAATTATCAAGGTCAGGAGTCACTTCAATATTATTTTCAATGAAACAAAATGGGGTAATTTCTTACCATGCATTTATATACCTCGTCCACTTTCCTAGACTTAAGGGGTCGTTTGGTTCACGGAATGTCAGATTACCTTAAGGAATGTTAGATTCCTGTGTTTGGTTAAAATTGGGGTATGTAATATAATGATATTTGGTTTAGGGTTATCTTTTATACACACTATAATATCCTTAACATATTTTCATATATTTTAATAAATTTAAAAATTAAAATAAATAAATAAGATAACGGTATCATATATAATTACATGATTTTAAACTATTAACTAAAATCTTGAACTTGAAAAACAAAATTATTTTATATGCTAACATAACATAATAAAAATAAAAAATATATATAATTACAAATATATATATATATATATATATATATATAATAAACTAACATAACCAAGGTTATCTTACATTACCTAAGATTTTGAAGGGAATCACATTCCCTTCAAAATCCTATGTGGAGGGAATGTGACATTCCTTGGGAATGTTAGATTCCCTAAGATAATATGAACCAAACACCGGAATGTGAGCTTTGGAATGTCACATTCCCTTGGTTATGTTATATAACCTGAACCAAACGCCCCCTAAGGGTGCTTAGTACCCTCCTCCCAATTCATTTAAATATTACTGTTGCTATCAATTCGTTTCTGATGGATTTTTTTATTTTTTTTAATTTTTTCAGGGCTAGCTTGCATGACAGTAATGTTTATCACAACATTTTTGATGTCACTTATCATTGTCTTTGTCTGGGAAAGAAACATCATATTTGCTGTTGCCTTTCTCATTTTCTTTTGGTTCATAGAAGGTTTATACCTGTCGGCATCAGTCATTAAAGTTCCACAGGGTGGATGGGTATCACTTGTTCTCGCTCTTGTATTCTTGTTTGTTATGTTTGTCTGGCACTATGGAACTCGCAGGAAGTACAGCTTTGATCTTCACAACAAAGTTCCACTAAGATGGCTACTTGGCTTGGGTCCCAGCCTTGGTATCGTTCGTGTGCCAGGGATAGGCCTGATATATTCAGAATTAGCAACAGGAGTCCCTTCAATTTTCTCACATTTTGTAACCAACCTTCCTGCATTTCATAGTGTGCTCGTATTTGTGTGTGTGAAGTCTGTTCCCGTGCCCTATGTTGCACCCGAGGAAAGGTTCCTTATTGGCCGCATTTGCCCTAGACCTTATCGCATGTATCGGTGCATTATCAGATATGGCTACAAGGATATACAGCGAAATGATGGAGACTTTGAGGAACAGCTGATACAAAGTATAGCGGAATTCATTCAAATGGAGGCAGTAGAACCTCAGCTATCAAGCTCCGAGAGTTTATCCTTTGATGGGAGGATGGCAGTTATAAGCACCAAGAGTATACATTCAACTTCAAGTTTGATTGTACGTGAGGATGATTTGGGTACGAGTTATTCCATTCAAAGCAGCAAATCCCCAACCCTCCAGAGTCTAAGATCTGCTTATGATGACGAGAACATGCAAATCAGGAGACGCCGTGTAAGGTTTCAATTAGCAGACACCCCCGGGATGGATCCTGCGGTTAGGGAAGAGCTTACAGACTTGATTCAGGCAAAGGAAGCAGGGGCTGCATATATATTGGGCCACTCATATGTGAAGGCGAGGAGATCATCACCGTTTCTGAAAAAGCTTGTTATCGATATTGCGTATTCATTTCTGCGCAAGAATTGCAGGGGTCCTTCTGTCGCACTAAACATTCCACACATTAGCCTCATCGAAGTTGGCATGATATATTATGTGTAGAGGAGGATGCCTACCCTGGTGCATATCTGTATCCCCATAGTGACAGTTCATGTACTCTTTGCAGCTACGCTTTGCTTATTTGATGGGATTTTGTGTATACACTAGATATAGCTTTAAGTAATTTTCGTGTACCAAACAAGCTTCTCTTTAATGCCAATCTTTTTTTTCTTTTGGTCCTTGATTGTATATTAGTATAATAGTGTGTAATATACCTCAAATACAGCTTGCTGCTCATCATTGTGACATCAAATTTCTGGAAAAAATTTTGGTTATAATGTGATTGCCTGTTTATGAAATTTTGCTTTCTAGATTTGGTCTGGTTTTGGTATAATGTGTCTCTGTTCTTGAAATTTTGCTTTTCTGGAATCTGGTTTTAGTATAATGTGACTGTCTCTGTTTGTGAAATTTTGCTTTTGTTAGACTTCTGCAACACAATTATGCCATATTGCACCAAAGAACAAAATCATACAGAAACTAGAAACTTATTCTCAAAATGTTTCTCTTCCATTCAAACTGGAAACTGCATTCATAAAATATGGATTTCCTCGGTTCATACTTTATTCTGGGACAAGAAATCAAAGAGAAGAATAGAAAGTTGTCATCGCATGAAGGGGATACATGCGCCTTTTCACTAACCTAACAGCCACATATATCCTTCCCTTAAACCGAGTGAGATGGAACGAGCCCGCCTATTGTAAAGTCTTTAGGTGGTGCTCAAAGAGAGATGCCATCTCAATCTGATGAAATAAGAACAGCAATTCTCAAAAATTTTGACAGTTCAAATGAGAAGCAGAGATGCAAATCTTGAATAGAAGTATAAAACCAGAGAAAAGTAGGGTCTTTATTGTCAGATTGGGAGCAAGGGGGTTAGCAGAGTATAAGTATACAATTGTAATCAACTTACAGCAGTCAAAGCCGCTTCAGCACCTTTATTGCCAGACTTGCCCCCAGCACGATTTATGGCCTACACTCGATAACAAGAGCTTTTAGAAAGTATGATGATATTATAAATGCTAGAATTTCTTGAACAGTCACCATTATAACGACCCCAAATGAATTTGTTTCGTCAGGAAAAACCACTTGTGTAGTTGTGTTTTACCTGTTCCATGTCGTCGCATGTCAAAACACCAAATATGCAAGGAACACCTGCAAATCATTACATCAGACACATTCAAATCCCTCATCAGTCAACAAAAGAATGATTTAAGGATCACAACTAAAAAATTATGTACGAGTGTTATAGTCCAAATCAGATGTAGGAATCTCGGAAGTGAGATGGTTCACAAACGCCATGTACATTATGGACAAAACTCATCGAACATAGACACTGGTAGCTATTTAGAGTAATGAAGGACAAGAGGTTTTCATATCTCAACAGGACGCACATGGACACCACAGTTTACAAGATTTGAAAAGATTCAAAATGGCGTAATTGATACTGCTCATACAGAATGCAGGCGGACATCAACCCACCTGAATTGAGACCTGCCGAAAGCACTCCTGATGCTGCTGAATTAGCAACAGCATCATAATGAGTAGTATCGCCTCTAACCTGCATAACAGAAGATAGAATGGACAAAAAGAGTGAATAAATAAAAATCTTCATGTGAGACAAAGAACGAGCAAGCTCTGACTACTGAGAATTAAGAGAAAGGCCTCACAGGTTGAAATATAAAATGACATCCATTTACTTCACTAAGACCTATAGAGAAAAACAGCAGTGCAGCCCATAAAATCTATTCATAGATATTCAAAATAGAAGTCCTCCATCAACAATGGTAGAACAGGTAAAAGATTTCTCAAGAAATTGAGCAGTGTATCCTAGAGGAGTAGAGGGTTCCAACTAGGAGGATGGTTTTCTCATCAGCCAATTGTGGGGATGCATTGATAGAACATCTAGATGCAACAATTTTTTTTAAAAAAAAAAAAAAATCAGAAATAATGACCAGAGCAAGTGGACAATCTACTATATAAACACACTAAAGGGATAAAACGCATATGCTCATGAGAGGAATAACAACCTTAAAAGGGCAAGTCACAGGGGGAATGATATGAAACAGAATAAAACAAATGTCCCGGAGAAAAGCTTACCACAGCACCAATACACAAGATTGCTTGATATTTTCTCGACTTTCCAAGCTTCTCTGCAACCACACCTATTTCAAAACTACCAGGAACCCAGACAACCTGCGATGCAACAATGAAATATATAAATCTTCATTTTCTTTTAAACAAGCATATCATAAGAACTGTAGACCAAATACTGTCAAGACATGGAGATGTATCACACATAATCTGTGATTGAATTATTTTTATGGGGACACAAATTTTAGATGGAGTAGAGGAGAAACCTCAGCCAAGTTGGTCAAGTTGTTGGCTTGGTAACCACAAGGTTTCAACATCAACTCCTAGTGGGAGTGGCCTATTGGCCTTCTTGGTTTGAGCCGGTCTATGGGCAACCTATGTTGGTTTACCTCCTCGTGATCCTTTGCCGGCTAGGGTCACAAGGCGAGGTAGGTTTACTCTGTGCACTCCCTCGAGTAGTGACTACGGATTCCTCATCAAATTTTTTTTTGGATGGAATAATGCCAGTGTTAAAAATTGCATTATATTCAATTCACTTTGAGCATAAAGCCATAAACTAGGCCAAGATAGAATTCAAATCATACAAACTATACTAGTAGTTCATATCATTTGGTACTCTGTAATTGCTATATAAATTTTGCTTTTAGTCTTTTTCTTGCTTTCTGATTTTCATAGGGAAGGAGGATAGGCATATGAGTCTGCATTAACACTGTAAAGTGGTGCTTCTCGGTTCTCACTTCTCACCTCCCCCTGCTATCTATGAATCCCAAACATACTTTGTTCCAATTTCAACCGAACATGTGAAATTTTATACTGCTTACGCAAAGCATGACCTTCCTGCCCGGTTCTCAAACAGAGCATATCTCCGAACATCATACTTAACTAGCTGTAGACAGACTATAAAACATAATACTGGCCTCAGCCCACAAATTTAAACATGGATAAACAGATCAAACAGTTCAAAAGTGCTTGATTCATTCCATAGTCTAACGATAGGCGAGTAAAAACACATCAGCAAAAAGCAAAAAAGGGTATCATGATCAAGTACGTACATCAACATCTTCTTCTCTGACAGAGTATCTCTTGAAAGTGTCCAGTGCTCCCTCCAAAAGCGGCTTCGTGATAATTTCATTGAATCGAGCCACCACCTTAGTTAGATCAGATGCCAAATAAATGTCAAAAGAGAAGCTAAAAAATAGACCAATCAATTACATTTAATAATCAAATAGGTAAAAGTAATGAATTCATCACAAAGGAAACTGTTGGATATTCACAATATACACTCCAAATTGTATGATGGAAAAACAGCATTTCAATGGCTGGCATTGTAATAGAGGCTTATCCAAACAAGTTCCCATCTTTTAGCACAAAATTACATTTAAGAATTTAAACTATATAATATTTCCACAAACCATTTCTTTATATGATATTTATAAAATCAATGAATATCATGAAATGCCTAAGAGTATATCAAAGTAAATTCCAGAGACTACGAACAATAGCAAATCGGAGGCCCTCAGCAGAGGTTAAGGAACCAGTCAACTGACGAACGGCGGAAGTCTGTGCAAAACCTGAACGCTTCCGATCCCCCTCGACGACGAAACCAAAGCCTGCAAGAATCCCCACATTTTACGACAACTATTCAACCTATCCCCAAGAAAATTCCAATTTTGACGCAAATAAATATAAACGATGAAACACTATGCGGAGAATACAGACCTCGAGGTTGGGTGAATGATAGAGAAGCAGATAGTTTAGTTGGCAGAGGAGGCGAATACGTGATTCTACCGCGCGAGAAAGAGAAAAGCTGAGGTTTCTCGGCGCAGGTACGAGGTAGAAGAAGACAGCAATCGGAAAAAGCAGCCGCCGCCATTATAGCTCTCAGTTTGTGTAGTTTGTCAACGATGGTGAGAGGCCAGAACTCTCTCAGTCTCGGTGTGGCAATCGGGAGATAAATGTAATTTCGAAGCTCAGTTTTTTACTTTTTATACTCTACAAAAATAAGTATGCCTACTTTAGGCCAAAAATGATTTCTGATACGCAGAATCTTATATAATTAATTAATGCATAAAATATAAGTTTAATTAATTTGAAATTTGAATCAATTTTTAAAATTATAAGGAAGGGGGATACCCTACATATACACACTATTGCCTCAATTGAGGTTCGAACCTTACACCTCCCACTTAGGGGAGCAATCCGATACCAGTGGACTACAAGCCACTTGGTAAATTTGAATCAATTTAATTCATCCGTTAGTATTTTGTATGATTATTTTTTTTGGTGGGAGTATTTTATATGATTATAATTGATTTAATTCTTTTTATCCAATCATACCATATAAATCACGAACTCGAATCAAACATTAATATTTAAAGAATATTCACATTTGTAGCTTTTTGAAAGTTAAAATTGTGATGCCATTAATGAATTAAATGTAAAATATAATCATGAGGAATAATTCTCGTATTAAAGGAGAGCAACTATTTCAACCAAAATATGAACCAACTCGTTCATTGGTCTTGTGATACACAATTACGATAGACGAAATTTAAATAAGTTAAAGACTTGATTTTTTATTTTTTATTTATTTTTGATGTTGTGGAACGTATTACATGTAAGTTGTTCAAAACACTTATTTGTTATCTATGAAATAGTTTCATTACAAGTCAATGATTTGGATGCTGAAGGACTAAGAAAACATTGTAAGATGACCAATTTGAGACGATCACAAAAGTTTCATTATTTGTGAGGATGCAAAAGTCAAATGAGGCCCTCCCTGTAAAGGAATCAACGTCTACTTATATAGGTATTGTTTCTTGTATTAGCTACTCTATTACAGCGCGTTTGGTTCACGGAATGAATTTTGAGGTAATAGGAATGTTATTCCATAAGTAATGGAATGGGCAAGGAATAGAATAGGAATTGTATTCTATTGTTTGGTTCGCGGAAGGAATAGACTTTAGAATTATATTACAGTATTTGGTTGATTTAAGGAATAGAAATGAAATATGTTTTAAAAGACATAAATACCCTTATAAAAATATGTGATGGTGGCGATGGTGGCGGTGGTGGTGGTGGTGCTGGGGTGGTAGTGGTGGCGGTGGCGGTGGCAGTGGTGGGGGCGACGGTGGTGGTGTTGACGGTGACGGTTGTGGCAGTGGTGGTGGGGGCAGCGACGGTTGTGGCGGTGGTGGTGGTGGTGGTGGTGGCGGTGGTGCTGCTGGGTGGTGGTTCTGGTGGCAGTGGTGGTGGCAGCGACGATGGTGGTGGCGGTGGCAGCGGTGGTAGTGGTGGCAGCGGCGGTGGCAGTGGTGGGGGCGGTGACGGTTGTGGAGATGGTGGTGGTGGTGGTGGTGGCGGCGGCAGCGGCGGTGATGGTGGTGGTGGCGGCGGCGGTGATGGTGGTGGTGGCGGCGGTGATGGTGGTGGTGGCGGCGACGACGATGGTGGTGGTGGTGGTGGCGGCGACAGTGATGGTGGTGGCGGCGACGACGGTGGTGAAATAGGATAAATTTATATATATGATAAAAAAAAATTAGGTTAAAGAAAGGGGTAAAAAAGGAAATAGATTCTAAAATCTATTCCTGAGCATTCAGTAATAGGCTAATACCAGGGGGCCCTAGTAATAGCTATTACCTTATTTGAGGTAATAGACTATTACCAGGAGTATTATTCCTGGTAATAGAAATGGTTACCAAACAACGGAATAGGCCTATTACTGGGAATGCTATGCCATTCCTGGCCTATTCCGTGAACCAAACGGGCCATTAGAGTTGCGACCCAGTACTACTAATACTTCTATGCATTGTTACATGGAACCCCCCAAGTTTAGCATAGTTGGTACGTCGAATGACTTGGGGGATTTGAATTCTTCTGGAACACATGTATGGAAAAATTTAAATCTGCATAGACTTTAGGAGTGGAGTTTTGGGAGTTTAGGACTAGTCCGACAAAACTGGTATCATTTAAAAAAAATAAATTGCATTACTTTTTTTTAACCTGAATCAAGAGCTTTTTAATTAAAGGAATAATGTTCAAATTGACCACTGAACGTAAGTTGAAAGTGCAATTAGGTCACTGAATGAAAAAAAAAATATAATTAAGTCATTGAATACGGTAAAATCAAACAATTTGCCCAGAGTGACATGCAATAACAGGTTACCAAAATGTAATTAGCTAAAATTATTTAAAAAAAAAAAAAGATACCACCAGATCCATGAAGGGATGAAGGCATGCCATCCCTTCAAAGTTTTTTTTTTTTTTTTTTTTTTTTTTTTTTTTTTTTTTTTAATGAAGGGATAATTCATCCCTCCATTAAAATAAATAAATAAAATAAAATAAAGCTTTGAAGGGATGAAGGCATGACTATGGCTTCTTTCATTTCTTCATTTTTTCTTTTTTTAATTTTGAAAGGATAAAGACAATCATACATTAAAAAAAAAAAAAAAGAGTTTTGAAGGGATGAAGGCAATCATAGCCGTCTACTTTCATCCCTTCATTTTTTTTTTTTAAAGCTTGAAAGGATGAAGGTAGCCATGACCGTTGCCTTTATCCCTTCATGGATCTGGTGGTAATTTTTTTTTTTTTTTTAAAGTTTTAACTAATTACCTATAAGTAACTTGTTATTATAGGTCATTTGAGACAAATTGTATAATTTTACAATATTTAATAATTTAATTGTATTTTTTTTGTTCAGTGACCAAATTACAATTTTAGATTCCGATGATCAATTTAAACCTTATTTTTTAAAAAATTTATGATACTAACATAGGATTAAATTGACGTCTCTGCCCTTGTTTATTTAATAAACATGTCACATTTGACGGCGATCGGGCGTTTGTGTAGTATACAGTAATCTTAATTTTCCGTTCAGTTCGGGACAAGTCAAGTTTTAGCCTGCACAAACCAACTCGCCGGAGCTTCTGTTCCGCGGGCAATTTCCGAGCCCGCCTCGATCGAACACTATCGAGTTGCTCAATAGAAAAATTGAATGGAGAATAGGGAGGACTTAAGGTCAATCCTCCCCTACTTGCCACTGCTTCAACGATCATCCTCACTCTTCTGGCCACCGCCCGTCGTCGAAGCCCTCAAAGCGCTCTCGCAAGGCCCTAGGCACAGCAATGTTGACTCCGGAGAAGTCCTTTTCCTTGCGATTTCCGACATCCGGAACTCCCTCTCCCTCCCAGCATCTTCCCTCGCCGCCTCCGCTTCCGACGGCTATTCAATCTTCTTCGATGACGTAAGCTAATTGATCGTTTGATTAAGTTATTGTTAGTGGTACAATGTTTTGTGATAGTTCCATGAAAAGTGCCAGAGTTTGGTTGTTAAACAGTTGATTCCTAGGGCTGAAGCTTCGAAATGGTTCGAAGATGTGGTGCCGGGATTGGCGAATTTGCTTTTGAGATTTCCTTCACTGCTGGAGACTCACTATCAGAAAGCTGATGGCGGCGTTGTCACCGGAGTCAATACCGGGCTTCGTTTACTGGAATCACAAGAGTCTGGAGTTGTGTTTCTCAGTCAGGTATCTTGGTTACTAAAAGTTCAATTCACAATGTTTTATGAGGCATGGGAAACAGAGATGCTGAAATTTATGAATTGAAAGTGACACTAGTTGTGATTTTGATGTCTATTATTTTCAGGAATTGATTGGTGCTCTTCTTGCTTGTGCCTTCTTTTGCTTGTTTCCAACAAGTTCTAGAGGTGCCAAACATCTCCCAATGATCAACTTTGATCGCATGTTTGCGTATGTTTCATCAGCTGTCTATTGTTACTCTAGTATTATTGATGGCATAGTTATTATTCATCTTGTCTCTTGCTTCTGTACATCTTCATGGTTAGTTATGCATGTACCATATAATGAAAAATGCTTTACTTTATTGAAGTCACAATTTTCTTTTTCTTATTTGTGTTGTTAAAGAAGAAATTTTATTTAGGAGTAGAATGGAGTGAAGTATTGCCAACCTATTTATGATCTTTGGTGCTGCCATATCTAGGAGTTGTTGCCTTGTTGGTGTTACTGGAGGGCCTTTTTGTTTAATTTTTTTTTTTTTTTTTTTTTTTGCTTGTTTATTTATTTATTTTGACAACATCTTCTTTAGGTTATTAGTATCCTTAAAATTCATTAAGTAACCTTATATCATGATCCATATAGTTGAGGGGTGGATATTTTATTAAGTTCATGCAATCATTGGATGTCATTATGTGGTGCTTTAAGATCATTTTTTTGGTAATTTGGTGTCTTAGTTTTGTCGCCGAGATAACCTGAGTCATCTGATATATGCATTTTTAGGTATCTATATGATGATTATGATGAGAAACTTGAACATAAATTAAGGTGCATTGTACACTATTTTGGGAGGATATGCTCATCGACACCAATGGGCAATGTCTCGTTTGAGCGTAAAGTTCTTCCAATGGAGTCTGATCCCTTCTGCATATCTTATCCTGAACCAAGTTTTTGGAGTGAATCTACTGTTTCACTATGCCCTTTTGAGGTATGAACTTAAGAAACAAGCTTGGACTCAGTTCTGGCATCATGTGAGGTCTGTAGTGGAAGTTGTATGTAATATTTTTAGTGAGGTTGTTTCCTTGCGTTTAAAGTTTTAAACCATGACCTAATTGTTTACAATTAAGCAATTGGACAGTAACCATCTATTCTTTTAGTCAGAGGTTGTCACCGTTGACTTAACATATGCATTTCTAATTCCAATTCGGTGTGGCTGGTATTACGGGAGGTAGTTTGCCCGACAAAAAGAAAAATGAAAAACAAAAAAGAAAAGAAAAGAAATGTATAGACTTAAATTTAATCTCAAAAGGACTATTGACAAATATTTAAGGATGCAGGATTACAGGGAGCACAACACCATGATATCATAACTTTGTATTGCTGTTATGTAGTAAAATAGATGGAACGCTTGTGGTTCTTTGTAGGTTTTTAAATCAGGCTTAATTGAAGATCAATCTAGTGAGGCTCTTGAAGTGGATTTTGCAAACAAGTATATAGGAGGTGGTGCTCTTAGTAGAGGTTGTGTCCAGGTTCGTTAAGTGCACTCCTTTAGTCTATCTTTTTTCTTGTGTCCTATTTGTTTACTGTGTACTTTATTAAGCATATATAGACTCTTCTTGCATTGACAAAAGAAATGGTAGTTATGTTTACTCCTCCTATAAGTTGAGGTTGCCTTTAATGATTTTTTTTTTTCTTTGCTCTTGGTGTTGGTAGTATCTTATACTTTGAGAAGCGGACAAATTGAAAAATAATCAGGGTCACTTCTAAGTATCATTTTATTTTGATTCTTTTTCTTCTTCTTCTTGCTCTTATGTTGTTGTTGTTGTTGTCATTAAAGTAGATTGGAAGAACCAATGTAAAAAGAGCCATTCAACTATTTTTGAAGGATAGCCCAACTACATATAGTCGTACATACACTTTAAAAAAAAACATTTTGTTGCTTATTGGTAAAGGGGTTTTAACAGTGGCTTTTGGTGTTTCAGTAAATCATGGTGATTTTTGTAGTTTTAGTAGTTCTTTAGGAGTCTAGGTTGTGGTTATCATGGATACATAGTTACATACAATGACATTTTTAGGCTTTAATGCAAATAAAGATTCTGATAGTAGTTAAAAGTAATAGAAGACATACATGATAGAACTTGGGAGTTGGGAAATGGATTCCACTTTTAGGATATACCGATATACTTAAGCCTGCATTGCTCATTTTTTATGCTGTACATTAGTGTTTATTGAATGTCTCTTCTGAATAAGTTCTAGCAACCTTACTATCTTGATGATTTTTTTTATTTTTTTATTTTTTTTAAAAAAAAGAGGAAAAAGTCATCTAAGATATATTTTTGCAACTATCTTGTCTAGGAAGAGATTCGCTTCATGATCAATCCAGAGCTAATCTCTGGTATGCTTTTCTTGCCTGCAATGTCAGACAATGAGGCTATAGAAATTGTTGGTACTGAAAGATTTTCAAATTATACAGGGTGAGTATAACAGAGTTTAGTCCATGTTGTTTTCATTTAGGAATTGTCACTCACAGTATGCAACTGAGGGCAACTTCACTCTGAAGTTGATCATCGTTTTTGCCTATTTCACTGTGTAGTAACTCAGGACAATGTGTTTCTGTTTCTTGTTCTTTTAACTCTCTGGTTATGCAAGTTTCTTTTGTCTATTGTATATATATATATATATATATATATATATTATATAGATATGCTTCTTCGTTCCGGTTTTGTGGCAACTATGTGGACGAAAAGTGCATTGATCATCTTGGAAGGCGTAAGAGGAGGATTACTGCAATAGATGCATTATGTAGCCCCGGAAAGAGACAATACAAACTTGAATGTCTTCTCCGGTATGTCTGGTTCTTGCAGTTTATGTAAATTTTTATTTATGATAATAAAATAATAAGAAATATTTATACACCCATATAGCACATCCAAAATGATTCATATAAAAAAAAAACATGAAGTTTGTTTCTATTCAAAAAATTTCGAAGTGAGCAGATATTTGTGTGATGGAACTCCCATATAGCATAACATGGTACTTAGAAAATCATGAAGTATGTTTTCTAGACACAAATTTTCCAACTGGAGCTCATTCAAGTAGTTTGCTTTAAGACTTCAGAAAACTGGATTGCCTTTCAACTCTGGCATGTCATAATGACTAAGCACATGGATAATACCAATTTGGCAGGGAGATGAACAAGGCATTCTGTGGCTTCTCTGATCAAATTAACCTTCATCACCATCAACAATTTTGTCAAGCTGGTTCACTGTTTGAATGTCAGAATGGTTGTGGTGATAAAGACTCAAGTGAAAGGTCCATAGATAATCTCTCGGTGAGATATCATTTCAAACTCTAAATTTCCCCTTTTCATCACTTTTGTCAATTTTCTCTACTTACACCTTACAAGCATTCTTGACTTTTATGGCTTTTTATTTGTTAACTCTCTTTGTGGACATATTTTTCATTGTTGTGTGTAGTCTCCTGAACACCCATCAACTTCACTTCAAGCAATGGAAGGAAATTCTGGCAACCTGCTGAAAAGAAACCATAAGAATGAAAATTCTCAGGTTTTGGGAACTCGAAATGAAATTGGAATTGTAACGGGTAATTGGGGCTGTGGTGCTTTCGGTGGGGATCCTGAACTGAAAGCAATGATACAATGGCTTGCTGCATCTCAGGTATTATCTCTTGATTCTCTTTTGGTATGCCTGTCAGCATTTTCTTCTTCATAATAGTTTCATTACTCCCTTCAATGTTGTTGGTGACATAGATAAAATGTGTTCTCAAAATTTCAAATTTTGGTTGTAAAGCCTTAACCCTAGTGGTCATACTCTACACCAATCCCTCCCCACCTTTATATCTATTCTGCATTGGAGTATTATCCAAGAAGGATATATATAATAAGTATGAGTGTAGCATAGATATAAAGGTGAGGGAAGTCAATTACACCAATCCATATGTGGGAAAACATGAGCTTTAATCCTCCATTTAGTAAATTTTGTGAGATAGTAACATTTGCTTTTTGCTCCATTGCGAGTTGTGACCTTCTCAGGATTTTTATCTCAAAAACAGCTCCTATGGCTGTGTAAAACTAATAATCTCTGTAACACATGTTAATGTGGGAGCTCATGCATTTGGCTGTGTTTCCCTCCCCCATTTTTTCTTCATTTGTTTCAGTATTAAAATTCAAAGGCATTCCAATTGATTTGCCTTTAATGAAAAAATCATTTTTAAGAAAAAGATTGCTGATAACCTTCCATGGTTTTCCCTTAGTATAGTTTCTAGATAGATTCACATTTCACTCATCTGACAACATTAAAATTTCATTGTCTATGAATCTCACATGAATGGATCTTTTGTCACAAGTGCAGTGGGCAGGTATTTTAATCCTCTCTTTCTAGTTTGATTAGCATCAATTTCCCTTTCTCTGTTTTCAGGCACTGAGACCTTTTATCTCGTATTACACATTTGATTTGGAACCACTGCAGTTGCTAGATCAGGTACACCTCATTCTGAAATCTTAAAAATATTCCTTGCAATGCATACCTGGCAGAACAAGAGGAATGTAACACATTACACATGAATACACACACTCACGCTTATTGCCCGTTTTACAAATTTGATACTCCAGTTAATCTGTATGAAATAGTATGTGGGGGTAAAGTAGTACAGTGCATTTATTGTTGCTTCATACATATTTTAAAAACGTGGCAAGATAAATGAAGTGGGAGTTAAATAAATACGGAGTAGGTTGATATGAGAATTTACAGAGATGTTCATCAAGGAACTTGTGAACCTGGCTTATTTAAAGCCTTTGTGAATGCATAGCTCGCACTGCCTCTGATGTTGCCTGTATATACGGGAACATCAAAACCTTTGTTTTTCCAGTTCTTAATGGAAGGGGGGCAAAAGGCATGCACACACATCACACGACATTTTTCTGTAATATTTTGTAATATCCTGCAGGTGGTGCAATGGATCATATCCCATGAGTGGACCGTCGGGGATCTTTGGAATATGTTGGTGGATCACTCATCGCGGAGATTAAGCGGAGAAACCTCTCTTAGCTTCTTCAATTGGCTACTTCCATCACTGCACTCGCCTGAGGCCATGGAGTTGGACAACGCTAGTACACCTTAATCTCCTTTAAGTACATTGTGCTGTTACATAATCTTTGTATAAACTTCACCAATTGATTTTGTTTAATTTTAATGAGTTTAAAAATTAGTGTTGCGAGTCATGTTACTTTGTGCATTGAATATACTTGCTGAAAGTTCAAACTAGAGAAGGGTCTGTGCAGAAGTTCTCTAGAAATTGCCTTCTAAGTTCTAATAGTTGGTGGAATTTGTCAGTTTCTCTGCAAACACTTTGACTCAATCAGATAAGTTCTAATTTCTAAAAGAGATTATACCTTTCACACTATTCTCTCGATTAAACTACTTAGTCTGTCTAAATAATCATATAGAATAATTGTCCTTTTGTTTGTTGTATGACTAAAGAAAAGCTAAATGATTTGTACATTTATAACTTATAAGGTATATTAAATGTTTACATTTTATATGATTTTCTTAACTATACATCACATTATTTTTTCTTATTATTATTATTATTATTATTATTTTGCATATATCTCAGGGTAGAATTAAATTTGTGACTGTTTATTTAAAGTGATGAGCTTATTTTGTTCGACCACAAAATTTTTGACGTGTCACGTTACCTATATATTCATTTGATTAGGAAAATACTACTTAGATAATTAGATTCTTAAGTTATACTCACTTTTATTTCCTCACTAAAAAAATTTTTATGTTGACATTTTTCTTGGGACCTAGAGGATGAAGATAGTTATTATTTCTTGTCACAACAAAAGTAGAAATTAACAGTTCATGTAGTAGAACTTCAAACCTACTAAAGATCATTAAAAATTTTATCTTTTGACCAAAAAGAAGCAAGGGGCGGAATACCACAAAGTGAAAGTGTACCTAATAAAAAAGCACATTTGGTTATCGAAATAATAGTCTCCATTGAATGAATAACGGATCCAGCTGCTAAGAATAGAGTAATCAATTCCTAATGCAGTTTACTATCATGTGTAATTTACGAATTATTACAAAAGAATATGATTTACTCAAATATACACCCTCAAAAAATGACTCTGAATTTATCTCATTATTAAAAAAAAAAAAAAAAAAAAAAAAAAAAAAAACGTTTTTGCTAGCTTCATCCACTTGTCAAACTTAATTGTATTATTTGATTTGGTCATCCACCATAGCAAGCTAAGTCGTCACAAGAAAACATCGGAAAAATAGAAGTCATTATTGCCAACTAATAACGCACCCAATTTACAAGTGGTTCTAATTAATGACTTACGTTCTAGCCTCTGTAAACTTTTAGAACTGAAGACAACATTTTGGACTTTCGCCCTGTTTGGTAAAATATTAGGCTATCAATCAATTTTAGTTTATTTGACCACCATTAATTATTTGACTTGGTTAAAAAATCAACTTTAAAATGTTAAAATTCAAATTTTTTGATAAAAGAAATTATATCAATTAAACAGCTAATAGCTAATTTATCAAACACCTTCTACAATTAGTTAATGTTATCAACTAGTTATACCATCTAATTAACCCAATCAGCTAACAGCTATCCGCTAACAACCATTTACTAAACAGGGCTTTTATGCACTAAACTCTTCCATGCAGCACCTTACCATTTATTAATAAGATTGTGTACTATTGTAAATAAAAAATAACAATGACATTTTCTTAAATATATTATTGTATATTTTTATTTTAAAAAAAGTATATGACATTGTCTTTTATTTATTTATTTATTTATAATAATCTGTATTCTTAATATTTAACGTTATAAAAATGTTCTAATGGCAAATACTGTTAAACTATGAAAGTAATCCCTAAAATGATCATCATGTAATTGGTCCTTGGATTGTTTTGTTGATTGCCAATACCCAAATACTTCAATATATAAATTTAATTTAATTAAAAAAAAAAAAAAAAAAACAAAGGTGAAAGCTTTAGTGATGCAATTTTGCTTGCATTTAACCTTTTGAATTGAACAACAATCAAGTCGAAATATATATGTATATCGAAAGCAATCAAGTCGTATATATATATAGTTTAATTGTTAGTTTAAATTTTTTATTGAAACGAAATATATTTTTTATTTGAAATACTGAATCACATCCTTCAATTGTTTTGGTTTTCGAGTCAATTTTTGACTCACTTGGGATGACAATATTATGGTTCAATATTTACATGATCAAACCTGAATCACAAACAGGTAAAAAAAAAGTAAAATAAAAACTCACAAATATACACATTTTTTTCAAGCTTGTCCTTCTCTTAGTATGCTCCGGTCACGCATGAGAACATCCGGTGGCTCTTGAACCTCACAAGTTGTTTGGACGACTTATTAGAAGCGGCTGCGCCACGCTCCGGCGAAAACCCGCCGGAATATTCCACTTGGAGGGACATGTGTCGCCGGTGTCTCCTCCCATCTGCGCCCACGCTCTCTGCAGCACCCTTCCGACGATCACCGTTATAATCATAATCATTCTCGGCGATCATATTGCCGCCGCCACCGTAATAACCATTTGGATAGAAATCTTGTATGTTGAAGGCGCCGTCCGCGGCGGCGGTGGCGGGGGAGAGACACTGGTATTGCCGGCGAGTTCTGGTTCTCTTGATAGTCCGGTAAACCAACGGAATCAGACCCTCCATTAATGTCGTTGTTGTTGTCTTTGAGGCAGAAAAGAAAGAGAGAATATTTTGTTGATGAGACTTATTATGGGGTTGGTGAAGAAGCTTGCCTGCAAGTTTTTTTTTTTTTTTTGTTCATTTTTCAATAAATTTATATCCTTCATTGGACCACCACCACTCTATGCTTCCAAGTTTGAAAATTATTTGTCTATTTCTTGAAGGCATCATTTTTTTAATGAAATAAAATTTAATCAAGAAACTAAATATTCTAGAAGCTATAGGAGGGCAAGCTGGGGAAGAACGTACTATCCAATATATTTAAAATAATAATAGTTGAACTAGCTTAGTTGTTAGATAACATCATTAGAAAAAGGTATACTTAATTGAGTGGATTACAGTATAATTTTTACGACTTTATTTATTTGTTAAAGCCTTAATCGAGTTCATCGCACAGGGTCTTTCTAATGCGATTTATTATTTTTGTGTGATTTGATTAAGCTCGTCATCACATATAATATTTATAGTGTAATTTATCATTTATGTGTAGTTTGGTTAATCCCGTCACACAAGTCTTCAATTCCTAGTATAGTTTATGTTAATTTAAATCCTTTATGCACTATAACTTGAATGATAGTTGATTACATGTAAAATGATGACTTTCTCTAAAAGTTAATTTGAACAATTTTTTGAATTTTAGCATTTTGGAGCAATAATTAATTTGTAACAAAAAGCTAATTAATAAAACACTTATATTGATTATTTAACCAAGTCAAACGTCTAATAGTAATTATAGTGATTAAATTAGTCAAAATTGACTAATAAACTAACTATGTTACCAAACAATGCCTTAGTCTCTAAAGAAAGAGAAAATGATGGTTGAAAAAAAGTACTCCATAATTTAAAGAAAAGAAATATAATATCAAATAGTTAAGAAAAAAAAAAAAGAAGATTAAATGGGTACATTATATTAAGTATCAACTATCAAAGGAAAAAAAAAAAATTAAATATAAATTTTGATGAGATAAACTATATATTTATGTAAATTTAGAAGTGGATTTGTACCAAAGTTTTACGTACCCAAATAAGTATCAATCCTAATTGAGTATTGACCTAACCTTCTCTCACCCACCTTCTATCACCCATTATTACTTGTAATCTGATCTGGTGTATATACATCTAGATCAGATATATATGCTGATCGAGATAGATAGATAGATAGAAGGGTCTGTACGTGATTAAAGTCTAAGTGGATATAATATATGAGGTCGCTTCTTTACCTAATCTGTTACCTAAGCTAAATAAGTCGACATATATATATATATATATATATATATATATATATATATATATATATATATACATTATACAGAATTATGCACTACGGACGACCAACCCTCCAATAACAAAGTCAGCAAAGACAAATATTACAACTCGGTCCAACATTGCATAGAAAAATTTGTGCACCACATTATATATGCATAAAGGCAAGAAAAGCATGCTTTGAATGTCACGCGCGCGCGCACACACACACATATATATATATATATATGATCAGGTGCGGTAATAGGTAAAAAAATATATGGTGGCATTATGATAATTTTGTATAAGTTTATAGATTAAGTGCGTAAATTTATAACTTAAGGTGCGTAAGTTTATAGTTGTAGGAGCTTAAGTTTACAGCTTAAAGTGCTTAAGTCTAAAACTTAAGTGCGTATGTTTAAAGTTTAAGGTACGTAGTTTTATAGCTACGTATGTTTAAAGCTTAAGGTGCATCACTTTTCTAGTTTAAGGTACATCAATTTAAAACTTAAAGTGCGTAGTTTTATATCTTAAGGTACATTGGTTTGACACAGTACGTTGATCATTTGCATGCAGGTTAGCAGGAAGTCAGTTTTTTTTTTTTTTTAAAATAAAAATAAATTCCTTCAGTTTAAGCCATTGATCTAAATTAGATCAACGACTCAAATCTCACCCCTCTCGCGTGAACTATATATATATATATATATATATATATATATATATATATGTGTGTGTGTGTGTGTGTGTGTGTGTGTGTGTGTGTGTGTGTGTGTGTGTGTGTTGGTTCGCAGGTTCTCACGGGAGAAGATCGAGTTTTCATTTGATCATTAATATATATATATATATATATATATATATATATATATATATATATATAAAGAGATAATGGATAAGCAAAAATGATTCGGATTTTGAATGTTTCAATAACGCATACTACCTCAAGATATTAGTTCATACATCATAATCACTCATTTATATAGTTGTTCCAAATGCTTGCTTGAGCTTACTTATCTCTCACGCTAAGCTAATTCTATAATTCTATATTCATAGTTCCCTTTGATTAAAGATAGTGTTATAACTTGAAGGCATTACTAAAAGATTTAAAGAGTGGCATGAATATGATCATCTATAGTATAATTAACATCATACTTTTAGTAATTATAAGTGGAGTTGTGGTTATACATCTGTTCCATAAAATTCAATATGACACCTTATTATTTAATTTAAACGTAATAAATTTTATATATGTAGAGAGAGTATACTTTACCTATTTTTATTTTTTAATGGAAGTGTTCCATCATGTATGTGATTATTTATTAGCAAGAATAAGGTGTCAATATTTGTCATTGAAAGCCCGGCGATTTGGGATGATTTGGAATGTGCATGGATGAGAGGCTACAGAAAGATTAAGGTTCAATTTGACTCGGATCGGATAGAGTGATTAAGTGGATTGTTGGCATTAGACTACCATGAGACCTTTTTTAGATATCATCGTCAATTGTAAACATATGATAAATAGAGATTGGGAGGTGAAAGTTGTGTACATCTATTGGGAGTTTGGTTGATTTGTTTTGTTAAGTTGGCAATACACCAGAACAATAACTAAAGGTCTAGAGTCAATAAGAGAATCCTCACATGATGAGAGTGTTGTACGAGTTGGTTTAATTTATGACATCATGAGTATGATTAAATCGCGAAGAGTTCATCAAAGATGCTATTAGCGTTATGTTGCCCTCAGGTCCCCCTCCGTTCTATCTAAAAAGGGTATTGGACAAGTATTAGAAGTTTTCCAAAATCAAAATTTCATTTGATCTATTTGAGGAAATTGTTGTAAGAAAGATGCAAATTAAGAGCCACTTGCACACCATGGCTGCATTCACTTCATTTTCAGTACATGGCCGGCTTGGAAGTCAAAGGGATTGTAATGCACAAAGACTTTTTAGTTTTCATTTAGTTGCCAAATGCACCCACCAGGGCACAACCTCATTAAATTAATTATATCACATATCTAGAACATACTAGTAGTGTTATAAAATATACTTATAAAATCAAGTCACATGTATTTGCCACTTTTTTTTTTTCTTTTTAAAATACTCATGATTTTTTGGAAGTTAAGGTAGTGTCTATTATATACTTTTTCAAAGATTTTCAGTCCAAAAAATTTAAGTCCCTACCACCAGAATTCAAACGTATGACCACCCATAACCCCATCACACTACATGCTAGTTAAGTGGCCAAATCTCACACTAAATCATCAAAATGAATACATAGTATGATATATTAGACTACATAGGATATACAATAATGTGTGGCCCTAATTAGATTACTAACAAGTAATAGTGTAAAATAAAGTAGTTTGTACTGTGTTGGTCTGACCCAGGCCCACACTATTATATGTCAGCAATTAAACAAAATCTATAACATAAAACATAATTACTAATTTGTTTCACATACATAATTTATTATTTTAAGATACAAAATTTTATAATATAAATATAAAAAATTCACAACATAAGACATACACATGCACCAGGGTCCACAGTGTACTATGGTCCTTATCCATGGTATAAGGATTGCTAAGCTTGCAGTATTATGGGCCATTCTGGAAAATCTCAAGTTAGGCCCAAATCCCAATTAGCGACGAATTTGTCTTCTCGTCCCGTTGCGTTTGATTTTTGAATGTAATGCCGACGATTAAATTCCATATTTAATTGTTTAATCGTCGCGATTTCGCCGGTAGTAGCCGAAATGAAAAATCTCTCCTCTGCAGATTTCAGTAAAGAAAATGGTGTTTTCCATAGCCTGAGAAGTTGTTGATCTTTGTAGTTTTTACAATGAGAGATCAGAGCATGAAACCAGATCCCCAGAAGAGGAAAAACTATGAGAAGAAGAGGATTAGAAGTCCATTGTTGGATTTAGGTTCCAATGGAATTCCCAATTCATCTCCCCTTAATGGCGGCCATAACCCCCGCTTTCATTTTCTAGTCTCTTCTAACAATCCCTCTTCTTCTTCTTCGTCTCTTTCAGGAAATGATCAGCACAAAAAACCCAAACTTTCTTCTCCTGCGATCAGTGGGAAACAGAGATGGAAATCCACCAAAGAGAACATTTTGGTTTCACAGAAACCCCAGAAGAACGCATCTCGCCTGCATCAATGCCAGACTGGGGAGAACCCCATTCAGGTATTAGATTTGAATAGTAATGATAGTAGTTCAGAGAACTTTACACCTGTTGGGAAAAGGAAAACTGCCCCAGATTGTGAGGGTAACAACAATGTTGGAGAGGATTCTTCAAGTGTAAAAACTAGTACTAATGTTGTCAAGACTCCTCCTATTAAGCCCTCAGTATCTCCTGAGATTCAATGTAATGTGTTATCTGCAACCTCTGCTTCTGCTGTCACACCTTGTTATAGTGCCGGCCATGTTCTCTCAGGAATCAGTAACAAACGAAAACGCAGGCCTATCGGGATCCTTACTGTGCCATTGGAGTATGAGAAATCTAGCAAGAAAAGCTGCATTATTGGGATGATTGATGATGAGAAGGCAGATTCTTTAGTGCCACTGCCTGCTGAGGCCTCAATGCACTGGCTTTCACCTTCGTGTGGCGACGCTGATGGGGAGAAGAGTGGCTCAGATCCTAAATCAGGCAAAATATCAGAGTCTAAAATGAGGATTTCGTGGCGGGATGGAGTAATCAAATCAGATTTCTGAGACAGATGAAGAAAATGAAGCAATGGGATACAGTAAAAATCATCTAGTGTTACCACTGCTTGCAAAAGCAATCAAGAACCTTGCTTTTCTAGGAATAGGAAGGGAAAATTCTCACCACAAATGTGTAGTTCTTCAGAGGATTCAACTTGGACTATGCTGCAAAAATAAAATTGTTTCTATTGATGAATGTTTTGCATTTCTTGTAGTAAAAGTTTTGTTCTTCAGCCCAGAACCTCTTTTTAACTTCTTGGGGGGAGGGTGGTCTGATTCTTGCACAAATAATTGTCATTCAATGTTACTGAGAACCAACCACAGTTTCATTTTATAACACTATGTTTTCTGCAGAACATAGGATTATGTAACCTCTGTTGCAATGCTGTTGTAGATACTATTGAAACCTTTGCAGACACTATACAATTATGTATAATATATTTAAAAAAGTTGAACCCTAACCCTAAGGGCCCCACATTTCGACCCGACAGAGCATCTGGAAGGATGTAATCACAAGGATCACCCCTCACTTTGAGAGATTGTTCTCACACTGCAGTTATTAAAACTCAATCTCTGGTCATTCTTTCCAAACATCACTTCTATGACCAGTTCAGCTGCCCATACGTGTATATTATTGGTTACAAATTTAACTCCTAGTGAGAATGGTTTATTAGTCTTCTAAGCAACATATAGTCAATCCACTATAAACAACATATACTACTTTATTTCATTGTGATCATCTATCAACAACTATCATTCGATGGCTACAAATTTTTCTCCGCAGGCATTGTCCTAGGGTCGGTCACCCAAAATAAAAAAGTAAATTAGTACAACAAAAAATCTCAATAGTTTAATACAAAAATGATAAATAAATTAAAATTTTCTAATAAGCCAAAACTCCTGAGTCATGATGCACTTCGCAAAGTGGAAGCAACTATCCTTTTGCTATATTTCTTTTCAAGTATTATAATACTAGAAAATAATAAAGATAAATAGACTTTTAAAGTTGCGTATAATATTTGCATTGCACATGGAAGCAATAATTTATGAATTTCAAGTAACAATAAGGCCATGTTTGGTTTCGGTGAATTTCATAACTGCCACAGCTTGGCACCGCTGCTCCAAACCTGTTTTGGGATCTCCAAAATCTTCCGGTTGTAGCAGAGATTTGGGATAACCAAACATGACGAATGGACGCAAGAAGATCATCATTGACACTGATCCCGGCGTTGGTATTATCTCTTTCTTCTTTCCTTCATAGTAGTTAAAGCTACAAGTTTTGGAATGGGCTGCCATTTGGGTGTGTATCAGAAATGGGATTTTTGGCTTCTGCTGAACCTTCCAAGGTTTTTTTTAGGGTTAATTTCGTGTGGAATTGAAAATTTTAACATTAAAATTTGTTAAATAGATGATGCCATGGCAATATTTGTGGCTCTGCAATCCCCTGATGTGGAGGTGATTGGGCTCACTACTATTTATGGCAATGTTTACACTACTCTTGCCACCAGAAATGCCTTGCATTTGGTAAAATCCCTCAATTCATCGCTCATACTGTCCATAGTTTCAATCTTTATGCTTAGTTGAGTAATTGATGGCGTTTTGTTGCAATGAATTGGATTAGGAGTCTGAATTAGGATTATGATTATGATATGCAATGCATATTTGCACATAATTTTGTCTCTTCAGCTAGGTTGTTATAAATGTTGATTTTTGGATCTTGATTCTTGATGATGATTCAGCTGGAAGTAGCTGGGAGGACAGACATACCAGTGGCTGAAGGATCTCATGTCACAATCACTGTATGTTCCGCTTTCTTTAGATTGTTTGTCTTGTTGGATTATGCTCCGTAGATCTATTGTGCCCGAATCATTCCTGCAATTGACTGATTTAACACTCGTTTAGGGTTATATGGTAGGGTAGTATTGGGTGGAAGCATGGGAAGTAGGGGAAAGTGCATTTGGAGTTCTATAGTGTTAGTTTTGTTAATTTATCATAAGGTTGATAATGCGATGCGGTATTCAAGTGTAATATGCTTTTCTTGATAGTGAAAGATATTTAACTTTACCAACATGTTTGCCTTCTCCTTATGAGTTCCGGCTTAGCGACATTATACAATGTTTTCTTAATGCTTTAGTGTATTATTTATGGTGGGTTCATATTTTTACATGTGAAGAATGGTACAAAGCTTCGAATTGCTGATTTTGTTCATGGTACGGATGGACTTGGAAACCAAGACTTTCCTCCACCGGAAGGAAAAGCTATTGAACAGAATGCTACTGAGTTTCTTGTCCAGCAAGCCAATCTTTACCCAGGCGAAGTCACTGTCGTGGCGTTGGGCCCATTGACAAATATTGCATTGGTTCGTTTCTTGGCCTCTTAGCTCAAGTATGCAACAAAATTAGAAATAGCAGTTGTTAAATCTACATGTCACAGGCAATCCAAAGAGATCCCGCATTTGTTAAAAACATTGGCCAAATTGCTATTCTTGGTGGTGCATTTGCAGTCAATGGAAATGTGAATCCGGCAGCTGAGGCGAATGTAAGTTCCTAGATATACATCCATGCTCGTGACTAAATGTTTTTTATAGCTCTTCTCGTAGATATACATCCATGCTCAAGCTTTTTTTCTTTTCTTTTTGTTGGGCTTCAAATTAAAAGATTTTTGGAGATCCAGATGCAGCTGATATAGTGTTCACAAGCGGTGCTGATATTCTGGCTGTCGGTATAAATGTTACACACCAAGTTGTGCTTACGGGTAAAGAGTTTTACTTCATTGTGCATGTTATGTAGGTTGTTCTCTGTCCTCTGTTTACCGTGTTCTCCCTTAGGCTCTGACCACATTTTATCGAGATTCAAGAAGTCAGTTGGTCAGAGTTGCGGGGAGAACACTCCGGTTCTTGTGCATACTCACTTCCAGAGAAAAACAAACAAAAAGAAATGATTTGAAATTCTCAAAGACAATAATTTTTTATTTTGGGCATGAAAATGGAAATGTATTTCTTCTGCAAATATCACCCTACACTTCCATCAGAGCTAATTATATAATTTATATTCATACCTGAATCATATATTTGTATCATGATTATCATTATTGGAGCTAGGAGCCGTAGTATCCAAGCCTTGATTAGAATTGAACTTAAAACCCGCCTTATATCATCCAAGTTTCAACTTTTTTTCTATTTCAGATGCTGATCGTGATAGGCTGGCTGAGTCAAATGGAAAATTTGCTAAATACATAAGCAAGATTATGGATGTCTATTTTGATTATCACCATGATGCCTACAATATAAAAGGTTTGTCTCAATGAAGATTGAACCAGGAGATGCCGGGGTGTTTTACTATGAACAGTATGCTGATTGTTTTGAAATTAGCTTGACATTTTGGCTCTGTATAGGTGTTTACCTTCACGATCCAACTACTCTGCTTGTTGCTATTGATCCTTCCCTGATTACCTACACGGAAGGTGCTGTTCGGGTCCAAACAACTGGCATCACGAAGGGTCTCACGTTATTCTACAACAAACAGAAAAGGTAGTTGCCTCCCCACTTCCGTCCAGCAGCTTGTACTCCACAATTTTTTTTATATATAATTCAAGAAAATTGTCCTTGTGAGTGTAGTCTATCTTTGTCTGTATCTTATTACTTGTGTTGTTAAAACAAGGTTCGCGGAAGTCACTGAATGGACCGACAACCCATCAGTCAAAGTGGCGGTCACAGTTGATGCTCCAGCTGTTGTGAAGTTGGTGATGGAGCGGCTGATGAACTCGTGATTATGAGCTAACAATAACATTCTGGTGCTTGAAGGTTTTCTCCTTCACCTGGTATTAGACATTTGAATGAACTGCATAGCTTTCCATAGGGTAATTGAATCTGAGATTAGATTTAAGTTCAGTGTTGAAATGTGTGGTGGCAAACTTGCCAATGTGCTAAACATTTTTTTCCATCTCTGTCTAGAGGTGAAAATGACTTTACAACGATGAACATTAACACTAAATGTGTGAAACCAAGTGTAATACTTTTTTGTGTACTCATAAAATGAAAATTTTGTGTGTACTCATAAAAAGCTTTTCGTTGTAACACTTATAATCAAATTTTAAGTATTTCTTACCAAAATTTAAACCGGCCTGTTTAGTAAAATAATTAGCTCCTCCGTCAGTTTTATCTTATTTAACTATTATTAGCTGTTTGACTTAATTAAAAAATCAATATAAGTGTTTGATTAATTAACTTTTTACAACAACTTATTGTTCCAAAATGTTTTTAAAAAAAAATGCTCAAAGTAACTTTTTTTATAAGCTTTTTGAGAAAATCATTTTATATGTAATCAGCTAACAGCTAATTTACCAAACACTTTTCTACAATCAGCTAATACTATCAACTAATTAAACTCACTAAATCAATCAATTAACAGCCATTTACCAAACACCCCACAATCTAAACCACAGAGGTCTTAATACTTTTCATCTGATTCAGAGCTTATATTGTTTAGGGAAACAGACTAGACGTTAGCATTTTTATTTGATTCCTATGTAGATGGAAACTTTGGTTGCAAACGCAGCTGTAAAATGTAAACTTTACTCATACAAGTATAGCTGTAGGTTAATCCCGCAGGTTCTGTTTATTCTAATATACAGGGTTCGAAACAAAGAAAAGTGCATATGTTCATTCTTGGTAGATTCTTCAATACCAACCCCTCGCAACACAGTAACTAACTCCGATATAGCATTACTACCAGCTGTCCCGCTCTATTAGACAGACAGCAATAGTAAAACCGTGTCATTAATACTGCACAAAAGAAGACATTACCAGCCTAACACCCACAAGACATGCATGCTATTGTTGTAATAGCAAACCCATCATCAAGCAGTTTTCACAGCGACTGGTTTTCCTCGACCCATTGAGAATCCCTTAGTGCCATCAGGCATTCGGGGCACAGAGGGTTGCTTGGCTGTAGTTGCCTGATCAGCATTGACTGAGAGATTTGGAGGTGGTGCATTATGATTTCCTCGGTTGCCATTTGATGTTGAAGAAGTTCCTAGGCTCCCACGGTTGTTGTTAGGAGTCGGCCGTCCCCTGCCCCTGCCACTGCCACGATTTCGTGTTCTCCTTGGCCCATCCTTATCACTTTCTTCCACTCCCTGTCAAGTTAAAAACCCCAAAACATAACCAACAAAAGAAGCATAAAAGAGAGAAATGCTAAGGGAAGGAATCTTTCAAGTAGTCTCAACCAAATATGACATTCTTCCACTATCATGTGTCATGATTGCAAAGGAAAATCAATGTAAAAGGATGAATGCTAAAGTCTATTAGGAAAGCCCCAGATTGCCAGTGAACATCAGAAGGAAAACATAGTCACCCCAATTAGAATTATTTAATTAATCTCCCACAGAGAGAAGCCTAGCATGTTAGTCTCTAAAGTATCAGTTCCTTTACCAACGAACAAACAGCACTTACTGCAAGCCCATTAGATTGAGAATCAGTATGTTGCAACGAGAGTTGCTGCTCGGGGGCAAATGCATCCTCTTCCTTGAAGTTTGACTCGCTATCATGACCAAACTTCTTTCCTCGTGTATGGGCCAATTTTGCCTATGAATTGAAAGATAAAAACTTTTAATGATACACCACTGATTAATTTATATTATGCAGAGGCAAAGCACTGTAACTTAATCAACTTTGGCATCTATTGAGACTTCAAACATTATGCAGACTTTATCAATGCATCTGTGAAATCATTGCAAATTTGCAAGCACCACAACTTATTTAGACTACAATGTCTGAACAATGTTAGAAACATAAATATCAAGTGTCTATTCAAACTGTTTTTTATTCTATAATCAAGACTTTCTATAATTCTACATTTGTAAAAGAGGTTCTGACAATAGGACAAAGGACGTTTCATGCTGAAGACTAGGAGGGCTTTATTGGAAGAAAAGCATTTAATGCTGAAGAAAATGTATTAAAAGCATAGGACATACAGTGCGTCTAACCAGTATACGAACTTTGAGATTCCTCCAGTCACCCGCATCATTTAGCTCAGCAACCTGCGAAATAAGATTACAAAAGGATGAAAAGGCATTTAAAATTGAGAGAGACAACGGATGAATGTGTGTTTGTGTAGGGGATGGGTTCTACAAGGAAAAAAGCATACCGCTTTTTCAGCCAATTCAACAGTTTCGTATTCGACAAATGCATGCAACTGCATATGGACATGAAAGGTTAGAAGTGATTCAAATATTCCAATTTGTCAAAAGAGTAGCATAAAATTTCAGAGAAAATCAATGTAGTATTTGTTGAAACTTTATCTTTTGGCATCCAACTTTCTGTTAGCAAATAAGACATGCCTTGTATTAAATAGTGTAAACAGACGTGACAAGACAAATAAGCTCTAATCTTTATTTTTACTTCATAAATCAATCATATGTAACAAGGTTAATGGACTTTGAAGGAACCAGAACAATGATGGATGGTATTCAGACACTTAAGTTTTGGATTTCACATGGGACAGCAATTAAAGCTGAGGCAACTAGAAGTCTAGAACTCATGGCAGGCTTGATTGGCACAACAATAGTAAATTTTGAGCATATTCAGCCCAAGGATTGATTCATCAAGCTTCACTCATCATGATAATCAAGAGCTCAAGCTTGGTTTGACTTAACCACTAAATGAAGATTTTACAACTTGGTTAAATGCAACTGAATCATAAGATATTTCCAAGAAGTATAATCTTTCCAATTTTGAGATTTCTTCATTCTGTAACCAAATATAAGGGGATTAGTTTGCTTACTGTAGCTTTCAGTCAAAACTGTCAAGCTTACGGAGTTATGGTATATTAGTCTAGTGTGACAACTGACTACAGTATGGTATACCTTGTTGCTGAGGAGCATACTATCTGACTTTGCTGTTCTAGTTCCTGATGACGACACACCATTGGAAGTCTGAGGCTGACAGGTACGAATCATCTTCACACTGGTACAGTTAGGCAGATGGATTATTAAAAAAAAAAAAAAAAAAAAAAAAAAAAAAAAAAAAAAAAAAACTAAAAAGTAACAGACAACAGTACATGTCCTTAGCAGCTATATTTCTTTACCTTCCAACGGTTGAAAAAATCTTCATGAGGTTCTGGTGGCAGTGATCCTCAGGCAGGTTTTCAGCAACAATTATGCGAGACTACGAAGAGCGATAGCACAAATTGAAAAAATCAGAAATAGAAAAGCATTTGTTATAGCCTTGATATATAGAGTATCAACCAAGAAATTTGGAAAGAGGCTTAACGACTACGCATTTATACTTCTCAATTGGTAAACAAAAAATCATGTAGTAAATGGTTCACAAGTTAATTCTCAAAAATAGGATTTATAAAGGTGATTCAAAAGGGCAAAAGCAAAAATAAACAGGAGCGAGAAAACAGAGGCATACTTGCAATTCTTCCATATCTGTTTCACTCAGAGGATTCTGGCGTTTGACCTTTTTTCCATCTTCACTAACTACCTAGAAAATAGAGGAATCAAATTGAGCAACAAATTAACACATATAAGTAAATGAAAATGAAAAAGGGCACAAATGTCAACTTTATAATTGCATTGCCTTTAACAAACAAAACAAAAAAAAAAATAAAAAAAAAAAAATAATAAAAATTGGACAGCAATATTGAAGCAAGGGAAAAGAACCTTACAAGCTTTGTTGAGTTGCGAAGAATTTTAGCAAGGTGGGCATGACTATTGATTAGAGCTTTGATCTTCTTGAATGATGCAACAACAGATATTGGTACTGGATAGCAAGGAAAAAAGTTTGCTCAGTCTTGGAGAATTATCAAGTAACAAAATGCAGGAGCAACCCATCTTAGGACACAGAGAGTCTATAGACTACAGAAGAGATGCCACTAATGAATCATATTTCAACTATATACTTCCAAAAATTTAAGCAACCATCTCTTATGTTCAACCAAATAGGTGACACAAAATGGAACTAACAGAGGCAGAACAATCTGTGGATGAGAAGACCATAGAAGTGATTATATGAGCAAAATAAATTTCACCTTTAAATGCAAAAGCTCACACAAAAATCAATTATGGTTATACGTGACACTAACAAAAAAAGGAGGTAGCATGAGGAAAAACATCACCAATCTGCCTCCCTAGCATTACTAAGAAATGAATAACTTGAACAAAAATATAACGCAGCTGGAAAAAAATAAACCAAAGGAATATCTATAATAAAGGAGCAATGCACTGAATATATATGATAAATGAGTAATCCACACAAAAAATTGGAGGAAAAACAAAAAACAAAAAACAAAAACAACAGTACACTCACACACAAATAAACAAGCAAAAAGGTTAGGTATAATTGTATTGTATTATTTGTATAATTTTGGGAAATCTTACCATATCCTTCAGGATCCTTGCTCATAACCCTCATTAAATGATCTGTAGTTGCCAGATTTAGGTCACTGAAATAATACTCCACCTGTAGGCAATTAAATTAGAAAGGTAAACAAGAACAAAAATACAAGCTTTAAAAGAAATACTTGTTGCAGTTACTCGGGATGTATAATCCTTAATCTCATACAGACGCTCTGTTCAAGAAAAATTAAATATAAATTAAGAAACCTTTCTAGAGTGCATACAAATTTTGAAGTAATGTTTGCACATTAACTGTTATTCTACTACCATTGGACAATTAAAATGTCTCTTACTAGTGATTTCTCTCCATCATGAACAATAAGGTATATATAATTCACAATGCAATCAAAGAATAATAGAGTGCTATGAGGCATGGATATGGAGCAAGTGTGGTGACATGAAGATAAGCCTAATAAGGAGAAACATAAACATATATTCTCAGTACTCCTGTTAATACGGTGCAAATTTCTACAAATAACTGCAATATTAAGAAGGCCATTCATAAAGAAGTTTCAGTCCTTATAGCACGCAAAGCAGTAGAGAACTAGAGATACCTGGTTAAGAATCTTCTGAGAAGATTCTTCCGATACTCTCCCATTCTTCAACCCTTTATCCAAGTCCTGCGGAGGGACGGCATGAATTGCAGCACCAGAACCAGCCGCAGCAACCTCTTGCCCTGCCTGATCCAAAAACCCTCCAACCATATATTGGGCGGGCATCTGAGGGGCATAGAGATAGTGACTCTGGACTGGCACGTGGGCGGGGATTTGGTGGAAGGCACTACCTCCCGGTGTGGTGTAAACGTGTAGCAACGTTTGGTTATGCTGAGGAATCACGAGCCCTGGTAAAGCCGATGACGACGAAGACGGAGAAAGCGCTGGAGGAGCCGGAGATGGTGGCAGAGACCCCGATGCCGCAGACGTCAGCGAAGGAGAAGTCGCACTTCTAGGGACAAATGCAGGAGCTCCGGCGTTCAGCTTGCTGAGGGAGAGGTTCCTGGAGAGGGACGGCGGCAACTGATCGGACGGTGGAGAAACAGAGGTGGATGACTCTACCGGAAGATCGAGCGGCGGCGGCGACGACGACGGCGCTACTGTTGAACTTAGGGCTCCAATTACTGATTCCTGTGAATCTCCAGCTGCGTCCAGTGCTGATGATGATACAGACAACTCATCTTGAGCCATCTTTTCTGATAATTCGAATCGAACGTTTTTGTTTTTAGTAACTTTTATTTTTCCTTCTTTGTGTCTTTCTCGGAGGTGGATCGACGACCAACAGATCCAACAGTAATAGTAAAAGTAGTAAATCCTAGGGTTTAGCACCAGGGATAGGGGAGATTAAGGCGGAGAAGGGGATATCTTCCCTGCGATTTTCCCTTGAGTAGCGGTGAGAGCTGACTGAGCTGATCAGAGACACTGGGACAGGGAGAAGACGATGGAGAGAAATTCTCGATTTCGGGGTCGACTCCGGTTGACGTATTTATATAGCGCCTATAGCGTTATTGATTTTATTGACCTCCGTATAAGGGGAGTATGTATAAACTCCTCCGTATTTATATATAGTAGGGTATAGGGTAGGCAAAGAGGTAGCCTTCTTACAAGAGCATTCCCAATATCTTGGGGATGTGAACTTACCTTGCTTCTACTTTTATTGAGGGGGCAAATTTAAAATTTTGTAGATATTTAACTAATAATTTGACTAAATTTTACCTCTTTTTACTAATTATCATATTGCATCTTCTTATGTGTCAATCACAATTATCATTATTTATCATTTTATTGCTTTAATGTCAATTGTCGGGTTGAATATTGCATAGTTTCTCCACCTCCAAATCCACCATAATGTTATGACAAAGAGTACATTGTTGTTGGAGGGATTCCTCCTATTTTTATTTTTTGCAATACCATTCGTAATCCAAGAGAAGAAAGGAATTTGCATCGCCCTTGCATGGCTCGAATGAAATAAGGCTTTCTAAATTTCATTCGCTGTCGGACATCTGTGTATAACATGTTCACTATTCTCAATTGTATTGGAGCATCGCCAACACTTATCGTTTGTAGTGAAGTCACGCCTTGCTTTATTTGCATTGGTCATGATTTTGTCGTGGCATAATTAAAAAAAAATGCATTAATGAATAATAACTCTTCCCTCCTCTCCAAAAAAAAAAAAAAAAAAAAAAAAAAACTTTTTCCCCAAAAGATAAGTTAAACTTGTTTTCTTGTTTATTAATGCATTTTAATAAATAAGAAAACTCTTTCCCCAAAAGATAAGTTAATATTGTTTTCTCATTTATTGTGGACTATTGTCCATGTAGCAACATTGACTATAAAGTAAAACCACGTTGTATCATTTTAATTACATTTTAGTTTTATTTTACAATATTACTCTGTTTTTTAGTTTTATTTTCACGCACACTAATTTCATTATAGCAACACTAAAATATCATTTTAATTATATTACAATTTCATTTGACAATATGCGTTGTTGTATGAGCTATATTTTTGTAGTTTAATTTTTCACACATACTAGTTTAATTATAGTAATGTTGAAGTATAATTTTAATTAGACTTCACGTTCATTTGACAATATATGTTATTGTACGAGCTGTCTTTGCTAATTTCATTTTTCACACACACTAGTTTCTGTATATCAATACTAAAGTATCATTTTAATTATGCTATAGTTTCATTTGACATTACACGTTATTGCATGAGCTCTGTTTTTTTGTTTTTTTTTTTTTCATTTTCCATACACACTAGTTCCATTTAGCAACACTAACATGTCATTTTAACTCTACTACAATTTAATTTGACAATCATATTGGACCATGGTCCACATAGTGTCGATAGTTATTGCATGGATAACGGTCAAAAAACGACATCATTTCGTGTAAAAAAGTCACGCGACCCACTACAACATACATTTTTATAACTCATAATGTACATTATTTTAACTAATTAAGTATATTATCTTACTCATAAGTTTCATTATTATAACACATAGTTGTACATTATTCTAAGTTTCTAACTCATAAAAATTAATGATATTGTTTTTTTACCACGGTCCACACAATAATTTGTCACATAGTGTAGTGTAGACATGGTCCACTGTATGATAAATTATTTTGTGGACCTGAACTCGTGTCCAAAACACAATTTACACATCTAATGTTCACAATTTCGTAAAAGGTAAATGTGAACATTTAGTATGTAAATTATGAAAATATTTAAATTATGTATGTAAATTGTGAATATTCAATATGTAAATTATATATTTTAGACTCGAATTCACTTTGCTAGGTGGACCTGGTCCATGGTATAACATCATTAAATACTCGGCCAATTATAATGTGCATCCGTATGCACTGGATGAAAAAACGACGTCGTTTTGCATCAAAACGCGCGTCTTACTTAAAAAAAATCAGTTTCGATTCCCAACAACCACATTATGTTATTCATTTTTTAGTTCATTCATTCTGAATTTTTAGTTATGAAATTCTGAATGTATAGTTATGCAATTCTGGATGTATAGTTATGCAATTCCGGATGTGTAGTTATGCAATTCTGAATTTATAGTTATGAAGTTATGGATGTGTAGTTATGCAATTCTGGATGTATTGTTATGAAGTTATGGATGTGTAGTTATATAATTATGAAATTATAGATGTGTAGTTATGGATGTGTAGTTATGCAATTCTGGATGTATTGTTATGAAGTTATGGATGTGTAGTTATATAATTATGAAATTATAGATGTGTAGTTATGTAATTTTAGATATATAGTTATGAAATTATAGATGTATAGTTATACAATTATGATTTTTTTTATATAAGTTAAACGTCAAAACGACATCGTTTTTACATCCGGATATACCATGCATGGTGCATACGGATAACTATGGTAAATACTCTTAGGAAGATCAAATATTGAATTAATGCAAAACTTGAAGGCTCATAATCCAGGCCCAAATTTATGGGCCAACGCGGTGTCTGACTAACCATTTAGTAAATTACTCTTCAAAATTAGTATTTTTGAGTATTATTACTCTTCAAAATTAGTATTTTTGAGTATTACTAATTCTGTTATAACGTAATATTTTTAAAATTAGTATTGTATATAAAATATAGGGAAAATGGCACTTTTTCCCCCTATGTTATATATTTATAGCACTTTTTCTCCCTCAATTATTTAAGTGGCTCTTTTTCCCCCTGAAATATTAAATGGACATATTTACCCTTAAAATAAATATTTCATTTATTTTTATTCTCCAATAAATTATTACTATAATTTGGTTCAAACTAGATACTATAGTAACCAAACCAAAATATTCCAATTACAATTTATAATCAAAACGCGATATTTAGAGTTTATTAAAATCGCGAACTGGAATGGCCGGTTCATGTTCCGAACTGAAAAAATAAAATACATTTATTGTTGAATTTAAACTATTTTAAAATAAAAAATAAAATTTTAAAATAAAGACGGTTCAAAATCACGAACGGGATCCGAAACCGCCGGTTCATGATCTAGTTTTTTTTTTTTATTCTTAAATTTAATAAATTGAAATCCAAATATTGGGTTCTAGATCTGAATCATAACTGAAAACTTTTAATTCGATTGCTATAGTGTCTGGTTCAGTTCGAACCGAACTGTGGTAATCGCTACATATACGCAATAATTTGTTGGAGAAGTAAAATAAATAAAATGTTTACTTTAAGGGTAGAAATGTCAATTTAATATATTAGGGGGGAAAACCACCACTTTTAAAATAATTGAGGGGGCTAATGTGCTTACATAAATAATTGAGGGGGAAAAAGTGCTATAAGTATATAACATAGGGGGAAAAAGTGCCATTTCCCCTAAAATATACAATGAAATTAAATGTATTATTATGATATTATAATATTTGTGTCACAACACACATGTTTTTTTAAATGACGAAAAAACTTTATAATCATTATTTGAATATGTGCACTAGGTAAATATTTCTCAATGTATAATAAAACACTCACGTTTTAAAACCATATCAAAATTACATAAATATAAATTAAATTATTAAATATAAAAGGAATTGATGTATTTATTTTTTAAACACTAATAATTCTTTATAATGTAGTATACATTTTATACTTTGTCAATATTTTTGAATCTAAAGAATCAAGCTTCGTTCTTGTGATGCCATTTGGAATGGTAATATAAACAAGAAAAAGAAAGAAAAGAAAAGAGAGACGCAACCGAGTAACGATCGAACGGTCCATCTGAGCCGTTTACATTACGGCTCGCAGTCTATTCTGCAATCAGTCGTAAAACCCTCGATCACTTTCGCATTGCCCTCCCCACCATCACAGATACAAAGCTCGTCGGCAGCACAGTGGAGCTAGATTTTCTTCGCTTCACATATCCTTTGTATCAGTTTGGTATACTCGCGATTTATATATATATATGTTTTTTTTAATTTTCCGATAAATGAAGTTGAAATGATTTTTCCGATATATCTTCCATAGTGCTCCATGTTTTCCTTTTGTTAATAACTCAATAATCTTGGATTTATTTGAGATTTAGCTTTATAATTTTTCTTCGATTGTGCTGTAGTCTGTCAAATTTGATGTTTATTGCATTTGTGTTTTCTGCAAAAGTTAAAGCTCGTAAATGATTCTTATTGAGAAGGGTAGATTACTTGTATACTTCGATATCATATTTCACCTTTCTTCTTTTCTTAGATTTTGTGTTCTGATAGCGATTCTATGCCACTCTGTCGCTTAAATATTTATGTTTTTATTATGGATGAATATGTTCTGATGAAATTTGATGATTTCTTAGCTTGCCTCTGCCTCATTGTTCTCACTTGGCTTTGCTTTCATGGTGAATATAGTCATTGACAATGGCAAAAGAGGAATCTGGTACTGGTGTTGTTCTTGAAGAGGGAACATCAGAGCTAGGTAATGGTAATGTTGAGTCTTCTTCTTCAATACAGAAAGATGTTGAGGAGAAAGTTGACGAGTTGACAATAGAGGAGCCAACAGGTATTTCTTAATGTTCAGGAAATACCTAATTTTTTAATTTTGACTTGAATTACTTTTTCAATGAACCAAGTATAGTTTGCTTCTCTTATCTCCCTTTTTTTCTTTTTTTTCCTCCCGCAAACCTTATGTAATTTTCTTTAATTATGATGGATGCAGCTATCATTTGTTTTTATCATTTGATGAGCTGAGTTGAATTTATAATTGGTCATGATTTACATTCTTTAGTCCATAATCCTTAAACCATTGCGAGGATATTCTGGGTGCTCATATTTGTTTTAATAAGAGTAGTCATTCTAAAACAATGTGGCTTAGCTCATAAACCACAAAAATCTAAGATTAGGTATTGATTATATAGCCATGACAATCATTGTTTCCCTTCTAATGTTTGGCAAGTATAACCTGTCATTTAAATACTATAAAAGTTTCTATCTAGTGGGATTTTCATTAGAA